TCTTCAGGTGATCCTGAGGGCACAGATGAAGCTCCTAGTCGCCGCAATGACTCCAAGAAAGAATGCTAATGACCAGATGACTGCTAGGAATACAAATCCTTCCATTCCCCATCATTCAGTCAGAACCGAAAAAGCTTCTTGGATGAGAGGTGAAACATCTTAAAGGAAAAAGAAAGAAAGTTCAGTTGCCTCTTGAAAAAGCACCTTTGGGACAACCATGACTTGGATGACTGAAATGCTTTCTTCCCCTAGCCCTTCTTTGGACTTAAGATTTCATTTAACAGACAGTTGTTGAGGTTGCGGCTCTTCCTGCCGTCTCCCAAGTTCACTCCCACATACCCTCACACATGTTAACACACATCCTGTATGTTGTAACACAATCGATGAATCAAAAGCTAACTGAATGAATATCGTAATGCACACATGTCCAGAAAGAGAAGCTGTAAACCCCTTTTAGTTTGTCTCTGTCTCCTGTCCAAATCTGTGATGACCCGGAATGTAACACAAATGCAACAAAATCCAAAACATACATAAATGTCCTTTAATGCCCCACTGTTCAATAATTCTCAGTTGGAGATAAAAAGTACTCATAAATAGTCTTCAAAAGAAAGCAATACAGTCTGAACTTAATGAGCAGATAGAGGTGAAAAAAGAAAACCAAACAAACTACAATGATGAAATTTCCACAATGGACCAGGATAAGTAATTACCAAATTCAAGGAGATAACAAGGCACAGTCTGTTGGAAGGACGCCAACCAAGATAACTTCAACCCAAAATAAAACACGCTTTGCTTCTGGCAACGCTGTATTGTAATCATCTCTTTTATAAACTAGTCTCCCCAGCTGCAACCAATGAGGAGGATCATGGCCGCTTCCTCCCTCGTAAGCCAAGTTGTTGCCTTCTCCGTTCCTCCCTGCGTGTCCTAGGATGCAGAGGGGATGGGCCTGGTTCTTCCTCTGACTACCCAGCTGGCCTCTGTCCTTCCCCAGCCTCCTCCAAACCTCCGGAGCCACATTTCCACTCCCTGTTGGCTGTTCCTCCTCTCCCTCAGAGTCTGATTCTACCAAGGGCATGATAAAATCTATAGACCAATTCAAGTAAAGGCGTTTTGGTCTCCAGCTTAAATGAACTTAAAACTTGTCCTATGGATTGAAACCACAGCATCCAAGAGCTTAAAGTTGGATGGAGGCAGACATTATGCATCGTGGTGGCTTTTGGGACAAGAGTCATAATAATTACAACATTCTTTTTGTTCCTCATGTAAGCCCCCCTTTCCCTCAAATTGCCAGAGGTTGGCAAAACTTCAACTGCCCTAAAATTCAATTAACTTTACAGCTTAAGAATATCTAAGAATGAAATAGAGCAAATATGAAAGGAACCATGGATGCTTTCAAGTAGGTAATTTGATGAGAGAAACATGGTTGACATAGTTATCTGATCAGGCTGGGCAGGCAGAAAGGGGAAACTCCATTTATTTCTATCCATAGATAAACTCTCAAAACATCAAAATATTACAGATGTTGTGATATTTATACTCCTGTGAAACAGACCTCTTTTATTTCTATCTATCGTGTTGTAATTAACTTTAGCCTAGCAGGGGAGCCTCCAGTAGCATTTTCCAGTGACACATTCATGTCTTAAAAGAAACACAAACAATTTATCGTAGCAAACAGACATGTCTAACTTCCTGAGAAAGAAATATTCTAAAACTTTTGAGAGGACGTGGGCATAATTGGTTTTGGGAATTTTATTTGATATTACTTTTTCTATTAGCCAGAAGTAAGATGATAACATGCAATATAATTATATAATGTATGAGCATAACCAGGGGTGGGATGCTGCCAGTATAACAACTGGTTTGGTGATTGCGCACTTCGTGCCTAATGCGTGCTGCGCATGCGTCAACACAATGCCAAAGTCCTTACCTGCTCTGTTACTTTGAGGGAGTAACACAGCTGAGGAGTGGCAATCCGCTCTTCCACGCTGATCAGCTGGGAGGATAAAGATTAGTATTGCGCAGGGGCAGGCAGGTGGGCCCATATGATTGTTGCAGTGAACTGGTTTGGAGATAGCTGATCTTTGGAGCAAGGGGTTCGCCCAAACCAATCCGAACCAGCAGAATATACCTAAGTGTTTGATTTAGCTCACTGCAGATAGCTGGGATGTTATGTGGCCATAGAAATCATTGCCAAGTTGATAACTCCATTGGCAAACTGGGATCTTATTCATACACAATCATACATACTTTCTAAGACTAGATTCTCAGTCATTCAGGTCATGGTTGTTCCAAAGGTGCTTTTTAGAGGTAACTGGACTTTCTGTTTTTTCTTTGGAGACATTTCGCTTTTCATCCAAGAAGCTCAGAGTTAAAGAAGCTTCTTGGATGAGAAGTGAAATGTCTCCAAAGAAAAAACAGAAAGTCCAGTTGCCTCTTGAAAAAGCACCTTTGAGGCATGGTACCAAGTACCAAATGTTGTACCATTGTACCAAGTACCAGGTATTAAAAATGTGATAGATTTACATTTTAAAAAATTACATATGAATTAAAACAGGGAGTCAACTCCAACAGCATGAATTCATTCATATGTACATGCATGCAATTTATTGGCAATATGACTATCAACAATGTTGGGTGGGTTACAATTAAAAAGTTAAAAAGGACAACCTCCCCCAAGGGACATATTGAATAACCCAAAGGCAAACATATTAAACAATCCAACCCCATGGAGCAGCGGGTCAATCTTCACTCCATCACAAGGTCCAAGAGAATAATCAGATCATTAATAGTTTCCTGAATATCATCAGGGTGGGAATCATCTGGACCAATGAGGAAATAGCATATTGGAGGCAGGCACCATGATAAAGAAGGCACACTTTCTGAGCTCCGCTGGATGACACTGCTTGATTGATGGGACCTAAACATGGCCAATCTGCCCAGTCTCACCATATGGGAAGAAACAACTAAAGTCATGTAGCCAGTCAAATAATCAGGCCCTTTGTTATAAATCAGTTTGTAACCAGTACTTTGACTTGCACTGAAAGCCAACTGACAACCAATGTAGTTTGTGGAGTTACATTGCAAAACTAGGTATGCTCATCACTGACCATGACACTACATTTTGGACCCACTGAAGCTTCCAGGAGTCTTTAAAGGAATATAGAGTGCATTACAGTAATCCACTGGTAGAATGATAAAGTCATGAGCCATTATCTGAAGGGAACTGTCTGAATGGGAGCCAATGGCACGCTAGACTTACCTGTGTGAAAGTCCTCTTGGTCATAGTTGCCACCTGTTCTTTAAGTAGAAGCCTTGAGTCCAAGATAACCCTCCCCTCAAAATATTGTGCCCCCACCCTTGATTAAGGAAGTCCAACCCCATCCAAGACCAAACATGAAAATTCTCCAGTCGGGGGCCCAGGTATCCACAGCTACTCAGTCTTGCCATGACGGAGCCTGAATATTTTTCCTAAGCATCCATACTGCCAGATATTGAGACTTCAATATTATTGTTTGGCTATCCCAGGATCAAGATATATAATTGAGTACAGTCAATTTATAGATGATATCTGACCTCAGACTGATGGATGTCTTCATCTGATGGTTCCATGTAGATGTTAAACAGAAGGAGTGACAGTGTTGAAAAACGTTCAGCATCCTATAGGTGATGGGCTGCAGACTTTTGTTCTTTAACCTCTCCTTAACACCAAGAGAAACTGGCCACAAAGAAAGAACAACCACAGAACAGTGTCCCTTCATCCCAAACCTTGAGCTGGTTCAGAAGAATACCATGATTGACAGTAATGAAAACTTCTGAGAGATCAAGAAGCACAAGGAAGGATGCATTATTCCCATCCAATTTCTGCTGCAGGTGATCAAATGTAATCAATCTGCCTCTGTACTGTAAGCCAGCAGGAAACCCAACTGAAAGGAGTCCAGATCATCTCCTGGATCTTACAACTTACATCCTGCAAATGATACCTTTAATACCATCAAGCAAAATCGGCCAATCTTTTTGGAAGGACTCGACAGGTGGATAAAAATGGCAAATCCAGTCCAAACATTGGGTAAGTATGCGGCCATCCATAGTAATAACACTTTATTGATTAGCCGTGAGGCCATATCAAAATACAAAATACAGAACAATAACATCACACCAACATAACAATATACAGTAAAAAAAGAACTAGAAGAACACACCAATTCATAGTTTTGAATCACCTCAGCAATGTATCCTATTAGAAATAAAAGCAGAAAAGTGGTGACAGTTGAACAGTATCGCTGGTGGATTCAGTTCTTTTTTCTTTCTTTCTTTCTTTTTTTGCAAATTTTCGAGTCCTTGAAGAACAGGAAAAAGTGATAGCGATGATAGTTACAGCTGACTTATATGAAGTGATTGTGGATGGATTGTTAACCGACTGAAAGTTTGGTCTGATCAATTAGAAAGTAGATGGAATTTTGAGAACTGTAATTTTAAGAGTGTAATAGATATGGTTTCATCAGGCATATCAAATGATCTTGGTTAATTAATAGGCTTGTATTTTTTTAAAATATACTAACTCTGTGTTTCTATGAATCACTATTTTATCACTTATATGCCATTCAAGCAATTAATTTTATTTCTATAACAACCTTGCCTCAAACACCCAATGTAAAAAAACAACAACAGGCTTCCATATACCGCAACCCAATTTTAAAAAGGTTTCATCCTATAACTGAAACATCTGATGGAAATTAGAATAACAAAAACATCAAGTTAAAAATCAAAAGAGTTTAACTAATTGTCAGTCTTAAACTTTAAAACAGAGGTCTCGCAACTTGGCAACTTTAAGGCTTGTGGACTTCTGGGAGTTGAAGTCCACAAGTCTTAAAGTTGCCAAGTTTGGGGACCCCTGCTTTAAAATAACCAAGTGGCTTCTTGGCTTCTTAAAAACAACATCAAATGCCATGAAAACTTGTTCCCTTCGCACTCCAAGCGCACTTAAAGAAACATATTGCAAATCACGTAAACATGGTGTTGGGCAAGCCATATAGAATAGAATCAATAACCGAAGGATGAATTGGAGTCTGGTTTGGCTGACTGGGACTTTTGCTTTGGTCTTCTTTCTCAACTCCGGGGGATTCAGGTGATCCTGCCAGAACAGAGCAAAATTTGAGTTACATCCTAAGACAGCGAGATTTCAAGAGCCCAGGCAAATCTTTTGAAGAATTAGATTGAGATTTTTCTATTAGCATTTGGTGGAATTGAGTTCAGAATGTTTACTTTTGCTTGCTTCAACAGCCAGCCAGTGTGTGATACAGTGGTTAAGATACAGTGATACAGTGGTGGGCTTCAAATTTTTTTTAGCAAGGGGCTCTGTCCTAAAAACTGGCTGGGTGGGCATGTGACTGAATGGGTGTGGTCAACTCAGCATCGCTTCTTTGCCCTAATTACCTAAAAAGATATATACCAAAAAGTTGTTTATTATTTCATGCATTTAATACTTAAATAAAAGACTGGGTGAAACCAGGCTTAATAGTTGTGATTGTGAGAGGGATCTTGGTGTCTTAGTGGAATTTCTGGTGAGTTACATGATTCTTATTATTTGGGAATCAATCCCCTCGGAAGCTAGTGACTATGTTATCTGATTTTCTCAATAGTTCTCCCTCACAAGCGCTGAGTGGATTGTTTATCTAGCTTGCAACACTTTTATGAGGTGTGAAATGCTAAGCCTATTAAGAACTTTCACGCTGCTTGTCTTTCTGAGGTTATTTCTGAGGTCTTTCTGAGATTATTGGGGCCTCTCTGAGCCCCTCAGAGTCTTAGCTAGGGGTCTCCTGGGCCCCTGTGAGCCTCCAGCAGCCCAGCCCTGGTTAAGATGTTGGACTGGCAGCTAGGAGTCTCCCTTCAGCCGCAGAAGGATGTTTGGGCCAGTGGTTCTCTCAATCTAATATACCTTATGGGTTGTTGTGAGATTGTGCAATGTATATCCATATAAGAGGAAGTTGTGCCGTGTATGTTTCCCTGAGCTCCTGAAGGAAAGGCAGGATAGATATTAAATAAATAAATAAATGTTCAGACCCATTCAAGCATTATATATAAAGCCCCAGTCCCACTTCCTCTTCAGACAATAATTAATAAAATTCATCTACCTAGGAAAGAGATATGATTTAAAGAACTATTATTAGTAACTAAAGAATTATTGTTATGTTAGAAAATAAGGCAGTGCCTGTTTCCTTGGAAAAGACACTTGTTTTTGCTGTATTAGTAGGGATTGGTGGCCAAAAAGGGATCTCTGAGAAGTTTATCAGCAGACAGTTGTGAGCACATGTATTACATTCTTTTTCTACATTTCAGTGTCAGGTGTATAAAGGCACTGAGCCTCTTCTGATAGGTCATTGTTTCTTCATTCAGGATTAGCTTTTCATTTTGGCTTTTCACTGGTGTTTTAAAGATTATTGAAATCACAAAATAATGGCATGTGTTAAGCTCCAAAATCAGCTCAGAGAATAACCTGTGACCTGAAACTGTGCTATTGCAAAGGTTAAAGTAGTGTCTAAATTCAAAACTAAAAGCTAGAAAATATCAAAGGCCAGCTTAACGGTAAGGCTATCTGTCAGGAAATTCTGCCTTCTAGCTGATTGCCAGAAATTGTTCTAACCACCAAAACCTATTCGGAATGTACAGAAATCTCTGATGAACAGAAACCAAATAACATTTATGGGACTGAATAATGCATTTCAAGTACTACGTTGGTAATGTAAGTTACAAATCCATCTCCTGGTGATGCTGTCTAACCCCACATTTTTCTATCTTATTAATAGCAGTAGCACTTATATAGTACCTATATACTTATACACTCCATCATAGTGCTTTACAACTCTCTAAGCCATTTACAGAGGCAGCATATTGTCCTCAATAATCTGGGTCCTCATTTTACGAACCTCAGAAGGATGGAAGGCTGAGTCAACCTTGAGCCAGTTAGGATTAAACTGCTGGCAGTCGGCAGAGTTAGCCAGTAATACTGCATTCTAACCACTGCACCACCATGGCTTTCTTATCAAGTAGTAGGTTGTGGTGAACTTTATCAAATACCTTACTGAAGTCCAAGTAAATTATATCCATAGCATTTCGTTAGTCCACTAATTTTGTCACTTTGTCAAAGAATGTGATAAGATTTGTCTGGCATGATCTGTTTTTGACAAACCCATGTTTGCCTCTAAGTGTTTGCAGATTTGTTGCGTACTTATTTTTTCCAGAATCTTTCCAGGTATTGATGTCAGGCTAATAGGTCTCTAGTTTCCTGGATCTATTCCCCCCTCCCTTTTTTTTAAAGATGGGAACTATACCAGCGCTTTCCCAGTCCCATCAGCTTTGATAGTTCTCTAGTGTTCCAGGATCTTTAGAAGGTATAGTTCAGTGGTTCTGTGAGCTTCTTTGCCAATTCCTTCAGAACCTTGAGGGTGTAATCCATCGGATCCTGGTAATTTGAACTCATCCAGAATGGATAGGTGTTCTCTAATCATTTTCTTGCTTATTTTGGCTTACAATTCCTAATCTTCATTTTACAGTATTTGTTTTTTGGTAGGCTGGACTTGTGTTTTTTTTTTTTTTTACTTTTGTGTAAAGACAGATGGAGTATTTTTTGTTCAAAGTACTTTGAAATTAGCTTCCTCAGTCCCTATCTCCAAGTTGCTACTTTCTACATGGATGAAACTGTATATTTTATTTCATAGGACAAACAGTACAATTCAGGAAAATGCTTTTATATTATAAAAATAAAATATATATATAAAAATAAACAATTTACTTTCTGGCTTATCCCAGATCGTCTTTTTCCTCTGAAGGATACGAACAGCTTGTCCAGTTGTTTTGCCTACTTTTATGAAATCTATAAAAGAAGAGCAGTTGCTAAATTAAGACTCGCATACATACATAATAAAACATATGCAGATTCAACAGATAGTGTTATACATGTAATACATTGGCTTTAGGCATTTACTATATATAAAATATCCCACCTCCCATCCCTGTAAACAAATATTTTCTAGCATCAATTTATAGATAGCCCTCATTTAGTGAGCACAATTGGGATAACAATTCAGTAAGTGAAGTGATTGCTAACTGAAACCACAACTGGGCTTATGATCTCACTTCACAGCTTTATTTTGCTTAACCAACTTGCAAAGGTTGTAAATATAAGGAATAGTTGCAAGGTTATTTTTTCATCATGTTATAGTTATGAACATTGCCTGTACAAGGTAATCACTACAGGTGTGGACTACCTGTATTACAACCTTACTAGGGTAAATAGCAGTTGCAGGCAATGGTTTGAGTTTCCTTCAAATCTAGCTTAGAGCTCTGACCTGGATTGTGACTATTCTCTGCCTTTGATTTTAAACGCAAAATAAATACTTGATTCAAGAATTTTTGAAAGTACAAACTTGATTTGAGAAATGGCTGTCCAGAGTTTGGACATAATCAAGGAATTGCTGGACATACAGGAACCACTTGACATTTATTAGAAATGAGCCAAACCCTAAATTCGTGCTGCCTGTTCATTATCTATTCTCTAAGGTCATGGATCTTAAATTCCAAATGGCTACACTTTGGCTGGCATGGCCCCACATTCGTGGCAGTTGACTCTGTTGCAAAAGCATAAACAGCGATTTATTCAAACGTAATGCTTTATCTGAGTTAACAGGCTGCATTCATCCTGAACTAGTGAAAGAAAATACATTGATTTCTGGATTTAATTTTATGTAGCAATGCTAATTTCCTAACAAGCACACTTTAAGTTTGCAGCCTACATTCAGAGAAAACAAAGTAAGATTCTGGCTTGAGCTGTTAACAGGGGAGCCTCCCTACATATTGCAACTATGTTAGGGATCTGCCCTTAAAGATTTGTTATCAATTGCTGGTAGCAATAGACAAGTACATGCTTGTCTCAGCATTTCTTTCCTTGGAAAACTAGCATTTGAAAATGACAGAGGCAAGAGTAATGGCCATTGCACTGGTCATTTGCAAGATCTGCTGACAATGGATCTTGCCTTGGCAGGCTTTAAGTACACTAGAAAAAGGAACCAGTCATTTATTCTTCTAGGAAGATAAGTGGGAAACAAGATGTTTAAATCCCAACTTATTCCAGAGATCAAAGCTTCACAAAAGTTGTACACCTCTCCTAGATCTTGTTCTTGGAATCCACCAAAGAAGAAAGCTGCATATAAATAATGCAACTGTCTTCAGTAAAAGTATTTTACTATCTTTTCATAAGCTATATAAATTAGACTAGACACAAGAACAGATTTTTCCTGAATGCCATCACTCTGCTAAACAAATAATTCCCTCAACACTGTCAAAGTATTTACTAAGTCTGCATTATTATTACTATTACTATTTATCCTCCCATCCTTCCTTTCATCCATCTCCTCCCACTTATGACTGCAACCTTGTTGCTTGTATCCTAATAATTTTTATTGACTGGTTCCTAGTATGATTTGATTGTTTAATGTACCCTATGACTATTATTGTGTTGTACCTTATGATTCTGGATTCTTGACGACTATATCTTTTCTTTTATGTACACTGAGAGCATTTGCACCAAGACAAATTCCCTGTGTGTCCAACAATCACACTTGGCCAATAAAGAATTCTATTCTATTCTATTCTATTCTATTCTATTCTATTCTATTCTATTCTATTCTATTCTATGTAAATTAAAAGGTGAATTTTTATTAAACGAACATTTAACAAAATTATCTACTGCATGAACAAGAGCTGAACAAGAGCTACAGGACAGGAACATTGGTTATAGTGAATTCAAATCTATACATGCTGTTTGCCTGGATTCACCACAATTATTATACAAACCATAATTTGACAGTCAACTAAAAGTGAAGCAAATGTGTAAAGCGTCATAAAACCCTTTAATTTTTCCTAAGCCCTAAGTTCCCACTGGATTTTATTTTACATGGTTCAAACATTTCTGGAAATGTTACAGATTATATACTATTGACAGTTACAGGAAAGAGCGATTATGTGATTTTGGTCGTAAATGACAGTTCTACTTGTTCAGTGAGTGCCCTGCATGGATTTAGAGAATATCAGGGTTTCCAGAATTCTTGATAGCATACATGACGAACACATAGGTTGTTTTTTTTTAAGAAAAAGATCACCTGTTCCAGAAAACCTTTAGGAGTCCAGATGATTCATTTTCTAAAATTAGAGATATTAATCAAAACAAAATGACATGTAATAGAATCATGCTTTTCACTGAGATTGCTTTTACATACTTTCACATAAACTGTCTAGTCGCATTGTATTTTCTTCCAGGGTAGTAAACCACTGGTTGATTATGACAGAACGCACTCCAATAAGGCTTAGAATGATTGCAGTTTTAGTTGTCTTCTCCAGAGATAAGCGTAAAGAGCTAAAAAAAAAAAGATATTAAATTACAAGTATTCTTGAATAACTTTAATAAAAAGGCAAACACAAGGGCATTCAAAATTTGTCATTACAGCCAGACTGCCAAGACATAATTGTAATTTTCTTAACCCTAACCCCAACCCTCATCAGTACACTGGGGATTAAATATGGGATGTGCAAGATATGAAAGGCTGTAACATGTCATATAGATGTTCAGGAGATGCGTGAAACATGTACTGTAGTTTTGTTCAGAATAAAAGTGTCTCACTTGGACACTTAATGTTCCAATAAGACGTTCTGAGTTGACAAATACTGTATCAGAACAAAAGCTGGACAGTTCAAGTGCTTTAAAAAAAATTAAAACAACATTCTCAGAACACACTTTTTGTTTTGAGAATGTAACACTGAAAACCAGCATGATGAATTTGAAGCTCTGCTGTTGGAATTAAAACAGTGAATTAAATTAAGTTTTGTTCCAATCCTCAAAACAATCAGAACACATATATTTTGTCTGGGTTTGTAGTGTTCAAAACTGAAATTCCAAGGTAAAAGCATTTTATTTATTCCATGTAGTTTATTCCCGAGGTGTAATAGAAGATCATTATGAGAAATTGTTCATAGAATATCTAGATGTGTTTAAGTCACAGATGAAAACAATATTTTAGTAAGTATAAACAAATAGCAATTTGGTATCCATGACACAATGTATTCAGGTACATGTTTCTATAATGCTTCAATTCTACTCTGGATGATAGCAGATCTTCTGGGGTAAATTTAAGGATGCATATGTAGTAGCTTATTTGTGTAATGTAGTATATCAGCCCTGAAATTTCAATTTTGAAAAAAAGGAGTGAGAAATTTAACTGTCAATAGAAGCAAACCTAAAATGAGACGCAGTGGCGCAGTGGTTAGAGTGAAGTACTGCCGGCTACTTCTACTGACTGCAGGCTGCCTCCAATTTATAGACTGGTAATTTATAGACTGGGTGAAACCAGGCTCAATAGCAGTAACTGTGAGAGGGATCTTGGAGTCTTAGTGGACAACCAGCTAAATATGAGCCAGCAGTGTGCAGCAGCCGCCAAAAAACTAATGCAATCCTAAATTGTCTTAACAGACGGATACAATCAAGATCAAGGGAAGTACTAATACCACTCTATAAAGCCTTAGTAAGAGCACACCTAGAGTACTGCATCCAGTTTTGGTCACCACATTATAAAAAAGATGTTGAGACTCTAGAAAAAGTACAGAGAAGAGCAATCAGGATGATTAGGGGACTGGAGGCTAAAACATACAACGAACAGTTGCAGGAACTGGGCTTGGCTAGCCTAGTAAAGAGAAGGACCAGGGGAGACATGATAGCGGTCTTCCAATATTTGAGGGGCTGCCACAGGGAGGAAGGGTCTATTTTCTAAAGCTTCTGTAGGCCAGACAAGGAATAATGGATGGAAACTGAACAAGGAGAGATTTAACCTGGAAATAAGGAGAAACTTTCTAACAGTGAGAACAATCAACCAAAGGAACAGCTTGCCCTCGGAAGTTGTGGGAGCGCCATCACTTGAGACCTTCAAGAAGAGATTGGACTGCCATTTGTCAGAAACGGTGTAGGGTCTCCTGCTTGGACTAGATGATCTACAAGGTCCCTTCCAACTCTGATTATCTGTTATCTGTTAATTTGGCAGATCAAATCTCACCAGGGTCAAGGTTGACTCACCCTTCCATCCTTCCGAGGTAGGTAAAATGAAGACCCAGATTGTTGGGGGCAATATGCTGACCCTGTAAACCGCTTATGAAGCAGTATATAAGTCTAAGTGCTATTGCTATTGCTAACAGACATGTTGTAAAAGTATGTTGATGGATATTAAATTACATCTAATGTAAAATGTAAGGCTTAATGTAACTTTAATCTTGCATTCCTTTCTCTTGCAAGATATATGTTGTAACATTGATTTTACCTTCTTCCTTCATCTTGGTTTCTTAATCGTATAAGACTTGGTTTGGAATGCACACGTCCTGAAAGTATAATCAATTGGCATTCTGAGGAAGAAAGAAACAGCAAAGCTGAGGTCAGTTCAGGAGCATCTCAAGACCTGAGGGCAGACTCTTCCTGAGCCTTTCTTAAAGATCAAGGAATCTCAAGAATTTTGTGGTATGCCTGGGACATCAAAAAAAAGGGAGGACATCTTTTGGCAGAAAGTAACAGAGGTGACCTTGGGCAAATAGAAAACTATTAAGAGACTGGGAAGAAAGAAACAGAACAGAGCCTAGGAAAAAGGACCTGAAACAATTGTCAAAATTAAGGAACCTATGGGAAGCAACATAATTTGGGAGCAACATTTCACAACAGTTAAACTCGGTCAGAGCTTCCAGGAATCACAAAAGGAAGCACAATGTCCATTTTACTTGGATTTAGCTCTGCACGCTCTCATCTCAAAGTATCCTCCATTCCCCCAACCCATGTAAAAACTTCTGCCTTTATCTCCTTTTCTCTTCCTTGTTCTGTATTTCTGCAAACAGGGATTCCTTCTTCCTTTTGGAGAAAGAAAGAGGGAAGTCAGCTGAAGTGAGAGAGAAGGAGAGAAGAGGCAGAAAATGGACAAAGCTAACGTTAAGCTGCTTCAGCAAAACCACCACACAGATGATACAGATAATCCTTGGCTTATGACCATAATTAGGACCGCCATCTTGGGGATCTGACCTATGTTTCTGCAGCCCTTTGGAAGAGTCTCACTCTCCTCCATGCATGGAGGAAAATTCCTTCAAGGGGCTGCAGAATCAGGGCCAGCTCTTTGGGATCGGACTTCTGTTTCTGACGGTCTTTAAAGGAGCCCCCTTCTCCTCTGTGTACAAGGCCTCCAAAGGGCTGCAGAAACAGGGCTCAAATCTTTGGGACATGATTTTGCAGCCCTTTGAAGGATTTCTCCTCCCCTTCGTGCGTGGAGGGGTAACTCTTTTGAGAGGCTGTAGAAACAGGGCTCAGATCTCCAGGATTGGATCTCTGTTCTTGCAGCCCTTCTTGCAGTAATTCCTTAGTGCCTTCTGGGGGGGGGGGGGGGGGGGAGGGAGAAATTTCAAGTCTGTGACAGGAGGCATCAGCTTGCAATCTTCCCCGACTTCCCTACTGACTTTCTAGAGAAGCTGGTAGAGAAGATTGCAGATGACGACCACGTGATTGCAGGGTGTTTGGCAACAGGCCCTAAGTGCTAATAGATTGCCAAGCATCCAGATTGTGATCATGTGACCATGGGGGGTGGGTGGGGGGGGCACGGCGGCAGAATGTTTTAAGATGACTGGAAGTGCTTTACACCCTTTCCAAGGCCGCTGTACTTTTGGACTCTTGTTAAACAGGTAATCATTAGTTGAAGACTGCATGGAATAGAAACACTGACAATAATACATCTGAATCAATTAAAAAAAAATACATTCTGCAAAGAGAAAGAAAAGAGCCTTTTTAGGCTTAAGTGAATCACCTGGGATGTTCATAGCAACTAGCTTGTCAAGTGCTACATGGGCGAGGAATCTTGCCATTGCAGAGAAAAAAAGCATACTGCAGTTATTCAATATGTATTCCCACTCTGTGTAACTGCAGGGGGAGGAAAATATCAAATTTTAACATGATTTTCTATTTAGGGAAAACCACAACAAAGTGTGGTAGTACTGTAACAAATGCAACCTTCATTGCAACCTTCTCTCTCCCCTCCCTCCCTCTCCCTTTCCCTCCCTCCATTGCACCTTTCTTGGGAAGATTTCAAAATGGTCTGCCATTGTGTTCTTCCTAGAGTTAAGAAAGAGTGGCTGGCCCAAGGCGACCCAGGAGGTTTCGTTCACCTGGCTATGCCAAATTGTTTACTCCAGCCAGTCTAGAATACTGCTACAGTTAATACGGGATGAAAAGCAATTTATACTTAAATTTTTAGAGATGTCATAGAATATCAGCATTAGAGATGGATATGCTTTAAACATTATTTGGATATTTCTATAGCATATTATTTCAATTGGGTTTCTTAAGGTCCACTTCAGTGCTTTTGTCATAAAAGACTGCAACACTCTGTATCCTAAGGTATCCTGAATCCTATTAATTTCAACATGAGTTTTGAAAATTTTTAAACTAAAATTGATAACAAGTATTGTGATTCTTTCCGTTAAAAATGCACTGTGTTATTTTAAGACTATTTTTTTTTTTAGAAATCTCTTAGGGGTTCACATATGAATGCAAACGTCTTTAATTCTAAAATCAATGGACAAATGAAAATGTTGGTATCATACTGAATTTATCCTTTTTCAAATATTGCAGTGGGGTTCACCAATTAAAAATGGATGAAAGGAAAAGGATTGGTTGAAAGTGGAAAAAATTGGAATTGTGTTCTAGCGTAATAACTCCTGGAGGTGGAATTACAAATAATGAGACTAGGAAAAAGGCACTTTATACATGGGCAAAAGCCTGGTCTGTACACTATTTGGGGAATTTACTAATGTATTGCTCTGTATTTTTTTAACTGTGGTTCCATAAAAGAGTGAGAAATAGAACTACAGATAGCAAGAGCAGTCTGTCTTCACAAAAATAATATGAGGCGTATCATCATGGAAAATTCTTCCTAAATATGTCTGTTAGGATAAACTGCAAACAAAAATACATGACTGTAAAAATTTGCCCCCAAAATATATATTTTAATGTAAACCTTTAAAACACCCCTCAGGTTTTCAGCAAATGATACTAAACAGATTCGCAAAAAATGAAAAAAAAATGGGAATAAACAGAAATGAATTCACCTATTCCTGATGAATGTACGTACCTTGGAAAGTGTATATCGCCCATTATGCCTTCCCAACGAATGGTAAATGGCTCAAATTTTTCTAGGATCCCTCTAAAATTGTTTGCAGGATTTTCCACTTCTATATAATTAACAAAAAAAGATATTAGCATTAGTTAGACTTTCCAAGTTTAAATATAAATAATTGTTAATTAAAAATATAATAAAAGCAGGCTTATAAATAAGCACACAAAAATTAGATCCCTGCACGAAGATTTGTAATGCTTGATTTCATACTGGATAGCAATACACAGAAGGCGTGAGCATCACTTGCCCACATTACAATGAGGAAAACCAGTCAGGAAATATAACCAGACAAGCTAAATCTATTTTATTGTAAGACTTTATTAACAAAACCTTGCAAGTCTGAAGGTACAAATTTCCTACTATCACTTTAAACTATCTGACCAATCAGATTTCTTTCTCTGACCCATTAAGCCTGTGTTCCCCCCGAACCCCAACCCTAGCCCACCCTTGTCTGATTTTTTTCCTAAGCCGCATCTTTTCCCTCATCCCCCAAGGTCATGAAACACTTTCCATTACAGGGGGAACTTGATAAAGAGAATTGCTAGTCACCTACAAGAAATCAGGCAACTTAATATAAGCTTGTAATACGCTACTTATTATACTGGGGTGGGGCATAAGAATGACTATTAATTTTTAACGTTAAGTCTTAGCTTTGCTAGCTATAAAATTGATTTCTGTGATATTGCAAAAAGACAGCATAAAGCATAACACAGGCTTATTTTTCATGGTTAAGAAATAATTTTTACCAGCCTTACCGTCTTCTCTGCCATCATTATATGGATCCACAATATCTGAGACAAACAATTAAGAATCTATAACCAAGGTGGGAAATGGGCTAGTCTGAACTGGGGTATTCTTTCATACTGCCTACCTATAAGATACCCTCAATCATAATATTGCAGAAAAATAGCCCCACTGGGTTTGAAGAACAGGCCAACAATGAGTATGTATCTCTTTCGAAGAAATATTAATGGCACCCCAACTTATCTGAATGTATGTGAATGTAATTTCATCAGTACCATCATACTTCTGATCCTCTTCTCCCCTTCTGTGCCCCCGCAATCCTCTTTGTTCCTTCCTGCTTTCTAGTCGTATGGATCAGCAGATTCCCATTCCACATACTTACTCCAGCTTGTGGTGCCTGTTCTCCCATCGTGAAATGGCCTCCTTTCACATCCTAACAGCAATTCTTTTTTATTATTCAAAGGTCACACTCAATAACTCCTCACATTTATGCTTCCTTAGCTGGAAATGCTAGCTAACATTCACTTGACCTTTGTATCTTCATCTTAATTCTAATTTTATCCCTGCTAAGATTCAAGAAGGAAGCTTAAAATGATCTTCTTTTGCCAGATTTCTGGATCTTAATCTACTGCGGGTGCTGCTATTATATTTTACAGTTGGTTGTGTTTACCACAGCCATATGTTTATAGTTTTGTTTTTATTTATTGCAAACTAGCCATATGATTGGTGTATACAGAAATAGTATAAAATAACAAATAAACATATAGTATGAGGAACATCCTTGCATTTAGCCATTAGTAAGTCAGACATTTTGCTCTATTAAGGGTGTATTTTTTTAGCTCTCAAATTTGATTTAATTTCATTCATTCATTCATTCATTTTAGGAACTCCAAGTAACATATCCATTGTTCTCTGCTGTGGGAACCTTATTTATGAAAGTTGTTATGAAAAGTCATTCTTTGGATATTTATTTGACAAACAGCTATTTTTAAAGGATACATTTCACATTGTGGACATCAATGGAAATACAATTAGGTGGCAGAATACGGTTAAGACTTGGCTGTTTTATAATAAAAAAAAAACAGTTTAATTTGCATGCAACAGCCCCACCACTGAAAAACAAAACAACTTCTCTAAACAAAAGCCTAATTTGAAATTCAAAGAAAGTAAATAGCACCAAGCTATTTTATTAATCTAAGTAAACATAATTGTATGCTTCTCCGCAGGTATTTCAATATGTGATAAAGAACCCAGTGTTTTTTTCCTTGATGGATTTTCTCCATTTTCTTGATGAATTTTCACATTTTTACCTAGAGTTATACCACTGGCAGGAGTGAGGAGAAAAGGCTGAAGATGGGCAAACCTCATGAGGAACTGAACTGAGTGAGCAAAATTATGTTTCCCTCAAATGATTCTCAATTTTCTTTTTTTGTGCTCTCTATTAAACATACATATACTGAAAATGTCTAATTAATTATCTAAATAGGAAAGAAAAAACCCTCACAAAAATGTTTAAAATGTAATTTTTTTCCTGAACATGAAATTTCAAATGAAAATCAGGTTTCCTTCTTTGGTTTGTTACAGGACTTAGGACTCTTGTGGGAGCATAGCAACTCCAAACTAATGATATGTTTGACCCTGCCCTCAGGCTCAGCCTGGTTATCTCCTACGATGTAGTCCAGCAAGCAAGGATTACTTATATTTGCAACAGATGACACATATACTACACCATTTATTTCACTTGTATAGCTTTATACAAATATTTGATTGGAAAAAATGCAAATGTGTTTGTGCATACATGTGCTAATTGGGAAAAATGAGCTGCCCGTTATCTCAGCGACCACTGTTGAGCGGTCTTGGGTAGAGGGAAGAATAGTTTTTCTCTTTTTTTCTGGAATGTATAGATTACACAGAAACTCCTAGATTGCTACTGCTGTAATAGGCAATGTTTTCGGATGAGTTGAAATCTGCTAGCCAGTTTAGCAAAATAGTTTACTACTAGCTTGTACTTTTCACCCAGTTCCCATATGCAGTTTTGATCAATACAGAGATTTTCACAGTCTTATGAAAGTTTATTTGCTATATTTGCTACGATATACCTAATGAGACAAAACCAAGGAGCTAAGAAAACATGTAACTTTAACCGTATTAGGTATGCTTAAAATAAACAAAGAAAACTATTAAAATAAATGTAATATTGACAATGGCATGAAGATATTAGTTAAACATTTCAGGGAAACTCTACAGAATATATACTTACTATTTTTGTACTTCTTCTTTGTTCACTTTTTGGTTTTGCACTCTTTTTTCCTTCACTATCTATAATCATAAAAAAACACCATGTAAATAAAATGTTTTTCTCTGTAGACCATGCATGCTCTTTATTCTGGTATTTCAATAGCACTGTTAGGTAATATTAATAAAGCAATAAACGTGTAAGTTATTGACTTGTTTATCCATTTAACTTGACAATCATACTTCTTGGGGTTTTTTTAAAGCCTAGATACAAATTTTTCTTTATTTCAGGTTGGATCTCTTGACCAAGAAATCTAAAAAGTTTGGAAAATCATTCAGATAAATATAAAGCTTGCATTGCTGCCTCACCCTCCTTTTTAAGATTTAGCACATACCATTTCAACACTGCCTCATAGACTGACTAAATTCTCTAGCAGCATCAGAAGAAACCAAGATCTGAAATGCTAGCCTTAGTGAGGTAGTCTATTTCTACAGAGGATGCAAACATCTGAAAAGTGTATGAGACATGAAAGAGATCTCTGCATATGATCTGATCTCTTAGTTCTTTAGGCTGAGCAGAGAACTGAAAGGACCGTTTCCTCATGCTGCAAGTTCTATTTACATAAAAGTGAATATCTTTTCAGACCTTTCTGCTCAATCCAGCACTGCTGGGAAGTGGGAAGGCTAACCTGAGACACTTACGTCAGGATGTTCAAATCTAATTACACAAATGAACACCACTGGTTGTGGAGGAAGACTTAAATAGGATTTCTGGATGACTAATTAAAGTACAGGAAGTTTTGATTATATTTTCAAATGTTTGTTAACATAGCTGCACCTCCTTCGTCTTTACGTATCCGATTGTAGACCATTTGGAGAGAGAAATCTCTAGACAGAGAACTTATTGCATCATCTTGGAAAATAGTTAGAGCTTCCAAAGGTAATTCCAGAATATCTTTATCTGCCAATAGAATCACACACTCTCCTATGTCTTCAGCACCTGATGATAACCGGAAAAATTAGGTCAACCACTTGTCATACACAAAAAAATTAAAAATAAAATCTCTTTTGACATTTTCCTTTCTGTTCAAATGAACTAATTTTGTTTTCAACCTTAAATTTTTGACCCTGTCTGATAAGCTCTGGGAATATAGTATATGCTATGAGCTACAAACCCCTTTGTTTGGACAGGATCAATAAAAAATATTTAATTAACTATGTGGCAACATTTCTTTTCCCACTTAAATATAACAACATTTTGTTTTATTTTAATATGCATTATCAGATTTGAACATATAACTTGACCTCCAGTCTCTTCTGCCTTCATATTAATAAATGTTATTAGGAGCACACAACCTTAAATTAAGGCAACCTTATAGGGTATTGTTTTGTTCAAATTTGTAATTGGAAAACTGGAATCAAAACACCCTTGTGGGATAGTTAATTTCTATGAATCAGAATTTTGGCTAGGAGAAAAAGTAAGAATAATGCTTCCAATCTCATTTCTTGTCAGATGAGTACAACTGGAGGGTAAGCATAGTGGGCCTGTGACTGCTCTTTGAAACCAAATTTCAGTCACTGAATGGTTCCAAAAGAACCAACCCAGGCGCAAACTGTAAATAACATGCAAATTAAAAAAATAATCATTTTTATTTAAGTGCCCAAATATGCTTTGAAATATAACACATACCATGACTTGCTATTTTAGTTTTAGTTTTCCCTGAATCATCTGTCTTAGTTTTCCCTGGACTCCCTTTTCTGGTTTTTCCTGAGTCAGCTGGAGATACTGCTGGACTCTGGCGTCTGAGGAGATCAAAACAGCAGGACGCATCTTTACAATATTACACAGGATATAAATTTTAAGGAGCACTAATGATATCCATCCATCCATCCATCCATCCATCCACCACCCCAGAAATTAAACCCTAGGCTCTTTTCTCACATCTCTTCAAATCAATAGAAATTTAACCATTCATTTCCTCTGACTTTGAAACTTGAAGTATTACATGTTTATAAAACAATTTTAACTGGGTAGAGTCTTATTATTTCCCATCATGCAAGCTTCAGCCTTGTGCCATCTTCCTGTTTATTTTTTCGATTCCCTCTCTATTTGGACCTGGGGGCACAAGGTACATCTTTTAATTGGGCAGAAATGGTGTAGGGTCTCCTGCTTGGGCAGCGGGTTGGACTACATGACCTACAAGGTCCTTTCCAACTCTGATAACCTGTTATCTGTTACTTTAGGAAGGAATGGCATTACGCTTCTCCTTCTATTTCTATTTATTGGGCGGAGGGTGACAAAATATCCTCCCCCTGAAACCCTCCTACCATTCCCTCCTGCGTTGGGAATTCCTATTTCTTCTTCAGTAGGTTTTCTCTCCTACTCCATTTTTTCTTGATATCAAAATCATAAATTGTGTGTGGGGGTGGGGTGGGGGTGGGAGTGTTTCTAACTCTTACTTCATCAGTGCTCCCTTTATTCCAGAAATTTTCCACTTGTATCTCAGACAAGCAGCTTCTGCCCCTCTATCATTAATTGTACACATATTTTCCTCCCCTTCCTTTTCCCTCATTGACGGTAGGGGCCACAATCAGCATACACCAAACAGTAATGATAATTTGAGAGACCTGGGTGATGCCTAATTCAAGTTCAAGTTCAAACCTTTATTGTCAATGCACAACATGCGTACAATGAAATTGAATGAGCCTTGCCAATGGTGGGCTGTGAAGGCCTGTACATAAACTTGGGTTGTTAATGTATCACCCACTTTTATTATCTGGCAAGATTCCTTTTTGAGCCCTGGGTCTCACTGCAGAGCTGATGTTGGAATCCCCTCAGCTATCAACCTTGAGGAACCTCTGTTCAGAGCTCTGAAGGTTCAGGACTTTATAGCATACCAAAAACAAATAGATCTTACTGGTTTTGATAGCTATGACCCAGTAGCTTTTTCCTTTTAAGGAAAGTCATTGAGAAGATGCTGGAACTTCAATTGCATAGTGGGTTAATTAGCTCCCTCTCAGGGATGGCGGTGGCTCACGTGGTAAGACGCTGGGCTTGCGCACCACTGAGGTCGGCAACTCGGCAGTTCGATTCCCGTGAGAAAGAAACCGCAGGGACAAGAAAGGATTAAACCGCAGGGACAAGAAAGGATTAAACCGCAGGGACAAGAAAGGAGCCTCCCCCTAATGCCTACTGGCATTCAGGTGTCCTTTGAATAAAGATAACACCACCCGAAAAAATTCCTTTCACAGAGGTGATCCCTGGTTAACAGGTGCCATACACTAAATAAATAAAGCTCCCTTTCATCAGGATTCACATTTGGGCATGAGACAAAATCACACTAGTTGCTCTATTGAAAGATCTTCATCAGGTCCTGGATAAGGGAACCCCTTGATTTTCTTATATCCCTTGATGGCTTTCAGTAACCTTGAGTATGGTTTGGCTCACCTGAGAAAGCTAGGAGTGGCAGGCTGTGTGAATGCACCACACGCTTCTGAGTGGGAGGCTTCAATCAATGGAATTGAAAGGAGAGAAATTGGCTCCCATGGTAAATGTCTCAAGGTCTCTCTCTCCCTCTCTCTCTCTCTCTCTTACACACACACACACACACACCATGCAAAACACCCCCCCCGCTTTTAAATATGTATATAAAATTTCTGGGGGAGGTCATTCTTGCCACTGCACCTCAAGGACAGATTACAGCAATGTGCTCTATATGAATTTCACGGTGTTTGGATATTGTAAAAAACAATAAATGTATAAACATATACACTAATTACCTCAATTCAGAAAGATTAAGTTGTGACAGTACAGGCTTCAAATATTCTTCCATATCTGACAATATCGTTTCAAACAGGGATTCCAAATCTAGTCCCTCTTCATCTTCTATATTCTAGAACATAATATCAACATATTTTAAAAGAATACATGTACAATTTAAAAGGCCCAAGAGTAAAAAAAAAAAAAAAACCAAAAGTTTGTATAAAATACAAACAGAATAATTCTGTGTTGTTAGCTTTCCTCTTGCTACTTTTTTGTTCAGTAAAAATAAAATATGTATGCATGGCATTTAATAACCATGATTCCAAATAAATAGAATTATAAATAGAATTATAATTGCAATTCTCATAAAATTCTCTTAGAACTTGCTCTACAATTGATGACTTTCAAAGTTAGCCTCTACTTTTACCTACACTTGTATATGGCGAAACCTCTAATTTTCTAATAATAGATTGTAAGGGTTCTTTTTCCCTTTCTTCAATTGTTGATGTTCCCTAGTTAATCCTTACAGGTCTTTTTAATACGTATTTCAGAATATTTTTTAAAAATCATTAATGTAGTGGCTTCTTCTATAGGTTGGCAGACAGGTAGCAATTATAATAATTACTACCAAACCTAATCTTGTGACTCTGGGTAAAAAACAAGGGAACGAGGTGCTTCTTCTGAATGTCTATTGTTTTTGTGGCCAGAACACTCAAGCATAAATTTTGTTTCCAACTTTGGTGTTTTATCGCACCAGAATGCAGTTAAAACAGAATAACCCATTCCCTACTTTATTCACATCCCTGTTGGGGACAGAAACTTACACAGTATAAGCAACTGTTATATATTATTACATCAATAAAAGTAAAATACATGATTATTTTTCAAACATGTTATACTATTTGTAAAAAAAAAATCAACATGAATCCACCTTCTAAATTGCCGAAATATTTACGTATTCCATTAAAAAAAAAAATCTTACACTCTCTAGTTTGGCAGATGACACTTGTTTTCTTTGAAACTCATTTTCTTCTATTTCTCTCAAAAGACCCACCATCGTCTCCTCTTTATAAACCTCAGCTCTTTCCAAAATGTTTAAGAATGTTTCAGGATTCACAGGGCTCCGGACAACTTTAGCCTGCACTGCAGTTAATAAAAATTCAAACCAAAAAAATGTATTCAAACGTCTTAAAAAAAAACAATGCATTTTTTCTTTTGCATGTCCTCATTTATGTAGCATACAGACATAGAAATGAATGAGTAGTAGAGATAAATAATAAAAGTGTGTTTAGTTATTATTACACAGCAGCTATATTTCTAGATAGACAATCATGAAGGATATATGAGCACTGAAGTATCACCCTCTCAGTTCTTCTAGGTGTAAAATAACAGAGATACAAGGAATTGAAATGATCTAAAATTCAGTAAAATCTCAGTTTAACAGAGCTCCTTGTCCTTCCAACAAAAGGTATGTATCTTGCCTATTAACAACTCTGAAGTCACCCCTGCCTAAGCCCACATCTTCATTCTGAAGCTTCTTCCACTTTCTCAGTTTTGAACATGCATACAATGCAAGCTGGATTTACCCAATACACACCTTTAATGGATGCCTTCTTGTCCAAACGAATCCATTAAACTCAGGCTTTAAGCTATAAGTTCCATAATTAAAATGAAGGTGGGAATAAATCAAAGGCTACTTTGGGCTGCCATGAAAATTATTTCCCTGGTTCAGAAATGAACAGGGAAGGCAAGGGAGAAAATAATTCATCCAGGCAAAATTAATTTTCAAAGTTTGAGTTAACTTTATTATGTGGTTATACAAACAAATCTGATGGGGCTGTGTACCAATGTTTACAGAAAAAAAAATCATACTGAGATTCTTGTCAATCAGTGGGGGCATGAAAGGAAGACGTAAACACCAGGATATACTTTGCTTGCTAAGAAACTGTACTTTCATCACCCAAATACTCATGTGTGACTTAACTCAGTGCAACTGTGCAGCAGAAAAATGCAATTGTGTTTGCGTTACTTAGAAATACTTACAAGTTGGTTGAGCAGATTTTCCTTTCTGTTGCCCACCCTTTTCCTTCCCACCTTTTTCCTTCTGGTGTTCCTTTTGCTCTTTAGGGTTGGCTGACCTTACTTTCTCAAGCACAGCGCCATACAATAAAGACCTATCAAAAGAAACAAAAATGGTAACTTTATTTTCCTGAACACGAATAGTTCTTGTTTGGTGGCTGCAACTGGTCGTGGTGAAATGGATGGCTCTGGTGAAATGGTTGCTAAGTAAACCACATGACTGAGGGGGAAAGAAACACCCTACAAAGACTGCCGATTGCTGCCATTTCATTGAGATAAAAGTTCTTTCATACAGTGTCTTGTGCCTGAACTGCTTTTTTCCCCAATTTTTGTCCCCACGGGATGGGGGGATGACTTAAACCAAGAATCTCTTCCCGAGCTGCTTTTCTTTGCAGCTTGGAGTGCCCTTCCAAACATGCTACATGCTACTCAAGTTCACAAACTCAACTCTGTAACCCTAATTAGTTGATTAAAAACTCTCTGGCCACCTTACAGCTCCTGACCAAAACTGACCAGAACTTGATCAGTTTCATACTGAAGGCTTTAGTTGTGGTAATTGTACAGATTGGTCAGAAAATTATTTTTTATTACCATTTATTATCATTGTACTTGTGAATAGTCACTGTCTGGACCTGTTGCTGCACAATAATAATAATTACTTATAATTACTTATAATCTTCCAATCCGAATATATTTCCTATATTTAAATGCCACTAAATTCAAGAACAACTCAGGGCAATATATAATTAAAAACAAATCCAATACATTATATAGAAAAAGAATAACCAGGAATTTAAAAAAACCCAGTAGCTTAATAAAATCATGTCACTGGGAGCTGAGTAATACATAGATTTAATTAATTAATTACAGGCAATAAAATGAAAGGGAATTCTCCTAACTCAGTACCTGGGGAGATCTTTAAATGGCAGAATTATGGCAATGTGAAAATACTATGTGATCTATGGTCTATGCCCATCAGATAACATTGTTTTAACTATTCACTGGATAATGTCCATTCTCTCTGATGTTATTGGCCTGTGAGAAATGGTGTGAGACCTATGACACGAAGGCATATGTCTCACTGAAAGCCAATTCTGCTTATTTAACAGAGTTTAATGTGAGCATAACATCGAGCAAGCCTTTTGGATGATCTACAAGGCCCTACTTACCCTTAAATTACTTATTTTTTATTTATTCAACTTATACACTGTCCATCTTCTGGCAACTTATATGCCCTCATCTTCAGTATGATTATATTATACTGATTCCATAAATAAAACAAAAACTTTCTTCATATGGGGAGGAAAACTTGTTTCTTTCATATGGGGAGGAGTTTATTCCCATAGTATTGGTAATTGTAAAATGGACCTTCAAATATATACAAAGTTCGGTGGTTAATCATCACACTATGTATTCCTGAATGAATTTCACAAGTCTATCCAATATATTACAGCTGTATCAGCTGAAATGGGAGTATGGCAAGTGTCATACCTAGGGCATGTATTTCACATTATGGGAAAGGATTCCTAATAAAAACCTCTAAATACTAGAAGCTTTTTAACAGAACTTTTCACATCATCAGTATGTAGAATTCGAATAACAGAGTTGGAAGGGACCTGGGAGGTCTTGTAGTCCAACCCGCTGCTTAGGCAGGAAACCCTATACCATTTCAGACAAAAGATTATCCAATCTCTTCCTATCTCTTCAAAAACTTCCTATGTTGGAGAACCCACAACTTCTGCAGGCAAGTTGTTCTATTGATTAATTGTCCCAACTGTAAATACATGAATTGCAGAAACTATGTTGAAAAAGTAGTGATGTTCAGCGGTAATCATGTTTAAATCTTATGCTTGAACCAGTTATTCATGAGCATTGTTATATTCATACCTGTCTCCTGAATGCTGGAGAATAACTATATGAAAATTTGCTGGCAGTTCATTCATGATATTAAAATGATGTGAAGAAATAGCGAGGCTTCCCCATGCCTACCAAAAAACAGAATAATTATTTTTCAAAAAAGTTCAGAATGCCATTCATAAATGTTAGAACAGCATTCTCTTTGATTGGATATAAATATTTTTATTTGTAAATATTTATATGTCAGTGATTAACATGTACAGTAGTCCTTGACTTACAACAGTTCATTTAGTGACCAAAGTTATAACAGCACTAAAGAAAGGTGACTTATGATCATTTTTCACACTTATGACTTTTGAAGCAACCCCATGATTATGTGATCAAAATTTGGATGCTTGGCAACTGGTTCATCGGACTGTTGCTGTGTGCCAAGGTCATGTAATCAACTTTTTCAACCTCCTGACAAGCAAAATCAATGGGGAAGCCATATTCACCTAACAACGGTGTTACTAACTTATTAACTGTAGTGATTCATTTAACAATTGTGGCAAGAAAGGTAATAAAATGGGGCAAAACTCACTTAATAAATGTCTCACTTAACCAGAGAAATTTTAGGCTCAATCGTGGTGATATGTCAAGGACTACTCATAAGCATAATATCTTAAACGTATAGAAAAACTACTTATAAGTTATATGCTAATCTATAAAGATACTTCATTACAAAATTATGACAAACTATTTGGGGTACTAAGAATATGTATAAACGCATAAACCTTTCAATATTGGAAAATGAAATGACTATATTAGTTCACTTACCACTTGTTCAATGACGCAGTAAAACATCTGCACAGTAATAGAATTAGGCAGTCAATTACTTATGTAAAATAATTGTAATATAACTGCACTTTTTAGAAGGAACTCTTTCAGAATAATTTGTAAGAAAAGAGAATGAGATATCATCTATGCATCCTGACAAGTGTTTTGATGACCTGTCTCTCTGTAACTGAGTGGGAATCTCAATTTCATTTAACTGACCGAGTTACCTTTGATATAGCAGTCAACCTGTGTTCTGTAGTTTTGAGGAGGCCACTTGTTTCTCCTCTTTGTTGTAAGTGGTGCTGTAGGTGCAACATGGCTGCCATCTGTGAACTACTGCTGTTCAAGGTAGCTGCTAACAGGATTTCTTTCATAATCAATGATGCCGTACAACTCTGGAAGATTGTAATATTAGATTTAATAACAGGTAAGCAAATGTTTCTAAAAGCAGATTTCTACTTAAAACCCAAGCAAGCTATTTATGGATACATTAAAATATTGTAAAACCATTTTCAACCAGATTGACAGTAAATATAAAGAACATTTCCAACCATTTACTTTCTTCTAGGGAACAGCCTATACATAATTCTTAGCCGTTTTCTTACCTTAAAAAAAAGGATTATGTAACTTTTATGTAAACACTGATTATTAAAGATCTTCCTTCATTCCGTTTCAAGAAAATTTCAGAAGAAAAGCATTGATAATTTTCCCAGAAGAGCATTTTAAATTGTTTGCTTTGCATTGAAAGCAACTTAACTCTTCTGGAGAGTTCCTTACAATGTGCCTTAAATCTCTAGATCTCTAGATGCTAACCAAGAGAGATGATTTGCATTGATCAAGAGATCTCAACTACATTTACATCATATTCAAAATAATAAACATTTAACACAATTATAGTTGAAGCAAGCAAGACTGGTAATTTCATTCCATAATATAATGGTATGCACTCATAGCTCCTTTATATTTTAATATGAATTTAACTGATTATTGTTTGGGTTGTGAAAAATATTCTGATTCCAGAATGGACATTTTAACATTACTACCAAGTTTGGAATAAAAGTATTTCAATCCAAATCTAAGTGATCAAGAATTGAATTATGCATTAGCTAAAAACCCAGGAAGCATAGGTTTCTTTCAGGCTGTCATTGGTTGGAGCTAACAAAGAAAAAGCAACTGGGGTCAGTGACAAAAACAGACACACGATACAGATATTCTTAAATTCTTTACTATAGAAAGGGATAGCGATATATTATACATTTGTGCTTCTTTTTTAATCTTGAAACAATTTTAACACTACCCCAAGGAGACGATCTCATCTACAGCCATCCAACTTATTTTTGTTACCAGAGGATAAAAAATGAGAAAGCAAGGAACTTATTTCAACTTCCTATTGTTCCCTATGGTGTAATTCCTGGGTCATTTCAAGGTTTTTCCCACTAAAATAGAGTATTTTTAGAGCATTATGATGGAACATTCTGAGGTGAATTGTTTTATTCTGAGGTTGGAACAAAGCTTTTCCTGTGTTTAGCACACAACTACAATTACTATTGTAGCTTAATTGGTAGCAGACATTGTGGTTATTATTTTGATTTACAGTTCTTGTCTTACCTGATAAAGGGCTAAAAACTGACTTGCTGAAACTGGATCAAATTGTCCAAAGCACTCCACCATTTCCAAACTAGCAGCTGCCAAGGTATCGACCAGGTTGTTATTAATTGCAACATTAATGCACTGCAGCAAAACCTCAGTTGACTGAAATATGTATTCATAAGTCCACGTCTGTCTCTTCTATACGGTTAAAAAAAGAACAACATTCAATATTGCTGGAGTTACTCTCAGAGATGAGAATGAAACACATTCCTTTATGGAAGATATATTGCTCACTTCAAAAATCAACTGGGCAATTTGAATGGTTAGCCTTTCTCTATAGCAGGGATGTCAAACCCAAGATCCATGGGCTGGATCCAGCCAATGGAGTGCTTAGATCTGGCCCAGAGGGGCAAGGCTACCTTGGAAACAGCATGAAGCCCTCCTGAACTCTGTTATCACTGGCAGAGGGCGTCAGGAGGCAGTCGCAGCCAAAAACAGAGCTCAGGAGCCCACTTTTGTTAGAAGAGCACTCGGGCTAGCACAGGTAGCCCTCAACATGAGTGGCCATACCCCCCCTGGCCGCCCCCCCAAGGTCAAATACAATTCTGATGTGGCCCTCAATAAAATTGAGTTTGACACCCCTGTTCTACAGTGATAGCTTTGATTCATTTTTGCACAAAAATTCAAGTCAAGGTTGCATAACGGATTTCCTTAGTTACCAATTCTCAACCCACATTTCCCCATCTATTTCTCATTTCAAGAACAACTAATATCTGTGGTAAGCAGTGCTTTCCACAAAGTTTCTCTTTTCCATCTATAGCCAACCAAGGAGGCAGTGGTGGGATTCAATTTTTTTTTTACTACCAGTTCCATGGCTGGTGGGCGTGGCAGGGGAAGGATACTGTAAAATCTCCAGTCAGAAGTGGTATTTGCTGGTTCTCCAAGCTACTCAAAATTTCCGCTACCGGTTCTCCAGAACTGGTCAGAACCTGCTGAATACCACCTCTGCAAGGAGGTCCTGTGCCTCTGCAGAAGCCCTAGGCGTAAGTTTGACCTCTAAAGACTGGTAAATTCTAAATAAAAAGGGCAGTCATGCTTCACTTTCACATTTTCCCCAGATTGTTAAAGGATTATCTATCCTTAAAGACCCTCCTTTTAATGTTTCCAAATAAGATATTGATTTTTATATGAAATATTGTTGCTATCAGGGTTTGAATTTGCATCAAACTGCTTTCCCAAAAAAGAACACTGTGATTCAATTTAGAGAGATTTTTTATGAATAGTGGACCTCTTTGCTCTGCATTCTGTCTCTCTAAAAATTGTAGGTGAATTGTATACGAAAACCCTATTGGAAATGGAAAGGTTATCTAGGGTTAGGGTTAACCCCTGCAAGTGATCTGGTCCCCAAACAGGCTTCACTGTTTACTTTTAGAAATTATGCTTAATAGGCCTGTTTCCATTCCATTCAACTCTCTGTAGAAATACTAGGTAAATTGCATGTAAAACCCCATTTGAAATGAAAAAGTAATCTATGGTTAGGGTTAGGCCCTCATGAGGCCTGTCCCAAAACTGAACATCATGGTTCAATTTATAGGTTCTTTATGCCTAGTAGACACGTTTGCTTTCCATTCCATCTCACTAGAAATCCTCGCCAAATTTCATGAGGAAACCCCATTTCAATGAAAAAGTCATCTAGGGCAGTGGTCCCCAAACTTTGCGGCTTGGGGGTCTGGCTGGGGGGAAGAAGGAAACTGGGCTGCATGAGCGGCAGGCTGGCATGCAAGTGATGATCTGGTGGGCATGAACACTGCTTGATTTGTGTGAGTGGTGGGCTGGCAGGCCGCCACTCACGAAAGTTGAGTTGCGTGTGCTCTGGTCAGCCTCTTGTTTAGCCTGGTAATTGGGTTGAGGACCCTTGATCTAAGGTTAGGATTAGACTCCCATGAGGTTTGGCCCAAAAATGAAGATCATAGTTCAATTTAGAGCAGCGGTTGTGGGCCGCAGAGAAATCTCACCCCCAGAGCACCCCGCCAAAGCAATTAATCCAGGCTGTGCAGAAACACAAGGTTGCACCGCCCACATGGCCCATGGGAACCCTCCCCGCCCACTCACTCCTTACCCGGCAAACTTGCCTGCTAAATTGATATTTTCCTTTTTTCCGACCATCATCTGTTCTGCTGTCTGGGGAGATTTAGATTAGCTAGGAAACAGGAAATGGTTGGATTTCTTGCTTTCTAGCTAGTCTTTAGATCTTCGGCTCTGCTTTTAAGTACAGCCGAACCTCCTTTAGGACTGAAGGTTTGCTTGCAAGCAAATTCAGTGCAGACTCACGGCAAGCAAATTTGAGAGACTGAGCTAGCTGATGGCAGATAGATAGATCACTGAATGATTCTGTGAGCTACTCAATCTGCCTGCTTTGACTGATTTTTAGTAAAAGTTGCTCTTTTTTTATAAAAAAATTCAATATTTTCATACATGGTGTGTTGTGAATTAATTTTGTGAGTTTGCTTGCAAGCAAATTTTATGGGACAGACTGAGCTAGCCGATGGCAGATCGATAGATCTCTGAATGAATCTGTGATTTTGTGAGCAACTCAATCTGCCTGCCTGCTTTGCCTGATTTTGGGTAAAAGTTGCTCTTTTTTTAATAAAAAAATTCAATATTTAAATGCATGGTGTGTTGTGAATTAATTTTGTGAGTTTGCTTGCTAGCAAATTTTATGAATTTGCTTGCAAACAAATTTTATGTGACAGACTGAGCTAGACAATGACAGATAGATAGATTTCTGAATGAATCTATGATTCTGTGAGCAACTCAATCTGCCTGCCTGCTTTGCCTGATTTTGGGTAAAAGTTTCTCTTTTTTATAAAAAAATTCAATATTTATATAAATATTTATAATATTTACATACAAGCCATGCCCAGCCAGTCACATGACCACCAAGCCACACCCACAAATTAGGCCACACCCACAGAACCAGTTAGTGGTGTCTGGGATCTAAAATTATGAGTTTGGTGGTCCCTAAGGTCCAAAAGGTTGGCAACCTTTTGAGAACATCTCTAGTGGATTACTTCACGTTCCACTACATCTCTCCTGAATCCTAGACAAATATTTGGTAGCATGGTTATCACCAATATGTTCAGGCCAAATCATCTTTCCTTACATTGCATCCTTTACAGATCTAAATCCATCTGAATAACTTTGAGAAGAAATGAATAGTTCCACCTAAGTTCTACCCTCACCACTCCCACTTGCAGGCTGTTACTATTGAGTCATTTTTTGCTCTATTTATGGAAGAAAAATAGAAGCCACTAAGTTTTCATCTCATTTGAGAACCATTTTTCAGAAATTATTTTGGGAAAGAATGGATTTAATACACAGGGAAAAGAGCAGGAAAAGCATAAAACAGTGCAAGAAAAAATTGCCATTTTTAATAGGTCACCTTTCTGATTGTTCAACTTTCTTTCTTTTAAATTAATTAATTAATTAATATCTTTGCTTATAATTGTTACTATAGTATATTCAACAAGTCTCTGTTCTTGAATCTGTCACACTTTCAGTACTGTGAGCTGCAGCTCCCAGAATTGTAAACCAGCATCGCTGAAGAAATACTGGGAGATGTAAATCCAGCACAATTGATTCGTGTCAGGATATGTCTTAATTTAAATGAAACATACCCTTAATTCATTGGCTATTTTCCTGTGGTCATCGAGCTGTTTTTTAGTAAGTTGCAACAGAGGACTTGGGGCTTCATTTTGTTCATCTATTGTTTCTGCTTCTGGTGGTGGAGATTTCTCAGAATTAACTTTAGGCACCTCCTGTATATGACAATTATATAAAAGAATCATAGTCAAACAGAAATGTACATGTTTTAGAAAAGGATGCAGCCCAATGCAAAGTTTAAAAACACTTGAAGGCCCTTCCCTTGAATGTGTAGCAGAATGCTATAAATACAATCTTCTACGAGCATTTAAATATGAGTGATATTGCTTTCAGTTCACACCAATTATTCTCAAAAAATATACATATGGATCATGTGCTTTAGAAAGAGAAGAAGCAGGTGATACAAACTCAGAACTACTTGTATAAACAGCAAATATGTATACAGTGATAGAATATTTTTTTACATTTGCTTTAGCTCATATTAAATCCTGAATAAATTCAACAATAGAAAATGAATAAATTGATTGTTTAAACAGAACACCAATCCACAGTACCCTTGACAAATGAATTCAACAATAATTAATGAGTTATCTCTATGTTACATTGACTTATGTGGCCAATGATGTTATTTTATAGCTTTTTCTTTCTACTCATTTTTCAGAAATGATACACTTAAAAAGGAGATTTAAAGCATTTCCTTATCTTTCAGCACAAGAAATCAAAATACTGCTGAAAGTAATAATTTGCTGCATCTCAATATTATTACTCCAAATTCTTCTCGGAACAGTGCAAATTGCTTCGTAACTCTTGGAAAGTTAAGATTCAAATTGTAAAAGTCAACATTGAATTTTTTTTCATCAATCACATAGCTAAGCAGATGGAAGAGTAATTTCTGAAGAAACCTCATTTTATTCAACAAAAATAATATTCAGGAATGAAATTTTCTTGCTTATTGCTCAGAGAAGGTAGCAGTATTAGTGGATTCATCGGAGTCAGGGTGGCACAGTGCTTAGAATGAAGTACTTTAGGCTACTTCTGCTGACTGCAATTTGGCAGTTTGAATCTCACCAGGCTCAAAGTTGACTCAGCCTTCCATCCTTCTAAGGTTGGTAAAATGAGGACCAAGATCATTGGGGGCAATATGCTGACTCTGTAAATCACTTAAAGAGGGCTGTAAAGCTCTATGAAGCGCTATAGAAGTCTATTGCTAAAAAAAACTTTGAGACTTGCTGAAAAACCACAAATTATGTCAGGGAAAAAACAGAAGAAAAATCAACCCCTAAAAAACTGCCTGGTATGGACTGAGTGTGGCTAGAGGCACTTGTGTGGAGTCGGTGGTTTCAAAAATTCAAGATAGTGACTGTAATCATGTGATCAAACCCTTGCCCCTCTGCTTAGAAGACAGCGGATACTGATTGGTGGAGAGACTAGATTTTGTTGTGGGTCTTATATAACATATCATAAACTTGCACTAAAAATGGCTAATGAAATCTATTTGGAAACAACACAACCACATAATCCAACAAAAGAGATTTAAAGAACTTTAATTATATTGAGTAATCTGTGCCTTACGATTGCATTTTCACACCACTGAATGTCCAAACTAAAAGGCCCAATATGGTTAGCTAAGAAATGTAGACTCCTTCCAGTGAGATAGAGGTACTTGGCTCTGATGTCAGGACAACCAACACAAAGACTCGGTAGGCTTGTAAGTTGAGCATGGGCATTATGACACGCTGTTTGCCCAAGGGTGATCCAAGCCTGTTAAGAATCCAGAAAATATAAAATAAAATAAACAAACTGTTAAGGAGATCCAAAGATTAAAATCTGAGTGTTGAAAAGGGCTTAAAATACACTTGCATTCAAAATTTTTTACCAAACATAGAAATAAATTAGTGCTATAGCCCTAAAGTATTGCTACAAAAATTACACACGAGAGACATTCCTGAAAACCTTTGGAAAACCTAATATTTAGTACTTGCCATATACTTGTTTTTTAGCAAGGAGTTTGAACTAGGATATTTTACACTGGTTAAATGAGATCAAATACTTGTGAACTTCCGCATGGCTTATAAACTGCTTTAGTACTTTGACGGTGACCAGCATTGGGAGAAAGAATGGAAAAGTAAGTTCAGTTTTCTGGTACCTCTAGCAGAGTTTGATATTGTCAACATGCATGTTTCTAGCTACTCAGGATGGAACTGGGAATTTTGTACCCCAAATAGCTACTTATTGTGGATAGTGACTAGAGAATGCTGCTGTACTCTATCAGCAATTATACTAGTAAGTTTCACATAAGATTTTAAAAATAACATCAACCTAAAATCACTGAGAACATTCAGAAGTTTCTGCTCTTTCGGAAATAATAGATTTGTACTCTGTGAGTAGTTTTGTTTGTTGCCTAAAAGTTGAAGATATCCTGTGATACACAGGGTTGGTTTCCCCAAATATTATGAGACTTTTCCAAGAGATGGCCACAATTTTTCAATCTGATGATACTTAATTTATGGCAATAAATTGAATGTAATATATTATACCTTTGTATTAAGTACATTAGATGACTCACAGATAATGTTGCCCGCTTGAATAGCAACCTTGTCTACAGTTATTCCTTGACTTGTAACTACAAATGAGCCCAATGTTTCTGTTGCTAAGTGAGATAGTTGTTAAGCGAGTTTTGCCCCCATTTTATGACCTTTCTTGCCTCGGCTGTTAAGTGAATGCAGTTACTAAGTTAGTAGCACAGATGTTAAGTGAATCTGGCTTTCCCATTGACTTTGCTTGTCAGAAGGTCGCAAAAAATGATCACATGACCCCAGGAAACTGCAACCATCATCAATACGAAACAGCTGTCAAGCACCTCCATTTTGATCATGTGGCCATGGGGATGATGCAACAGTCAGTGTGAAAAAATGACCATGAGTTACTTTTTTCAGTGTCGTAACTTTAAATGGTCACTAAATGAATAATTGTAAGTTGAGGACTACCTATGTTTTTACCTTTTCTCATTCCTTAGTCTTCAGAATTCGCTATGTATATTTTTCAAGGGTGGAGGGACTACTGTGGTAAGCAAGAATGGAAAGATCTGCTTCTATCTGCTTTGAGGTACTTACTTGTATCTGGATCCAACGTTAAAAAAAATCTACCAGTGTTTTGCTCATGTTTTCAGCGAGACTTCCATGATAATGATGATTTCTATATGCCACAGATTGTATGTGGAAGAGATTAATTATGAACGCATTGCACAAGGGCATACCTGTTCACGTGAAGCAGAATCAGGTGTAAACCTTACAAAATCCTCAATAATTTGCTCAATTTGATGTGCCCTAGCTTCTTTGTTCTTTGTTTCAATGTTGATAACAACAACAATATCCAAAATGATCTCTACAAAGTTCACCTTCATGTTTGCAAGTCTTCTCATTAAAGGTGTATTTATATTTCTAGTCTGAAATAAATAAATAAATATACCAAACATGGGAAAAAAACCCTTTAAAACCAACCTCAATTTCAGAAAAGATCAAGATAAACATAGGACACAAGTATGGAGGAAAGAAAACCATGATCACCGTGCCTCCTTTCAGCCACTGACTTTTCTGCTATTCTGTTTTTTTGACAATTTGGCTGTCCTCACACAGTGAGAAGCAAAGGCCTACTAAATACTGTATAAAAAGAGAAAACAGTATACAGTATATTACTGTATATATCTTAATATATATCTAAAAGCATACATACCTTCTTCTCCTCTGTATTCCATTTTGCAGTTGTTTTCTCTTTTTATACAGTATTTAGTAAGCTTGTGCTTCTCACTGTAAGAGAAGCTATACAGTGAAACCAGGGATGGGATTCAAATTTCTTAACAACTGGTTCTTTGGGTGTGGCCTAATTTGTGGGTGTGGTTTTGTGGTCACGTGACTGGGTGGGCATGGCTTTGTGGTCATGTGGCTGGGTGGGCATGGCTTGTATGTAAATATTTATGTAAATATTGATATAAATATTGATTATTTTTTATTAAAAAAGAACAATTTTTACCCAAAATCAGGCAAAGCAGGCAGGCAGATCGAGTTGCTCCCAGAATTACAGATTCATTTAGAGATCTACCATTCTGCAATCGGCTACCTGAGTCTGTCTCATAAAATTTGCTTGCAAGCAAACTTGCAAAATTAACTCACAACACACTGTGTATGTAAATATTGATTTTTTATTTTTAAAAAAGAGCAACTTTTACCCAAAATCAGGTAAAGCAGGCAGGCAGATTGAGTTGCTCACAGAATCACAGATTCACTCAGAGATCTATCTGTCAGCTTTGGAATCCTTATTCATTGCTGCCACATAGTTTGAGAAAGTGGGAGGGAGTAATTTTTATTAAGTAGCTCTAAGTAGACAAAATAGAATTCTTTTGTTAATTCAAGGTCATAGAGTGTGGTGCAGAAACAAAAAGGAACTTACTTTGGGATTGGTTCATGTGACGTGATAACGAGAGAAAAGGGGATGGTTTGTAGGTTGGGACATTGTGGGAAGTCCGGGAAACTTTTAGTTTCAAAATTCCACAGATGTGCCAGGTGCTATTCTAATAAAGGTACTTTTGAGATTATGCTTGTCTCGGAGTTACTGATAGGAATGGAGGTTTCCTGGAATGCTGACACTACCATTCTGCAATCTGCTACCTGAGTCTGCACTGAAAAATAGAAGCTTCAGTCCTAAGGAAGGTTCAGCTCTGCTTTTAGATTAGCTAGACAGCAAGAAATCTAACGATTTCCTGCTTTCTAGCTAATCTAAATATCCCGGCACAGTTGATAGTAGGAACAGCTGATGGCCGGAAAATAAAAGGAAAAATAGCAACTTACCAAAAATTAGGCTAATGCAACCAAGTTGGATGGTGTGCATGCCAGGTAAGAAGTGAGTGGGTGGGATGGGGTGGGTCCAGCCAGTGGTGCGATTTGCCGGTTCTCTGAACTGGACAGAATCCTAACAACCGGTTCTATAGAACCAGACCGACTAGGTAGAATCCCACCCCTGAGTGAAACTATATTATATAGATTATATAACATTTTACTTACACACACACACACACACACACAAACTTTTCACAAGAAGATTGGCATGAAAATTCCAAACTTAAAGAAGTCCTGTACTGAATATTGATAAAGATCACCGGTGGTTATACATGTTCACTATTTAGAACCTGAATGTACTTCAGATTTAGCTCAATCCTAAACTGAATTAGACATATTTGGATAGATTCAGGAGTTAAACTGAAGTAAACTAAACGAAATATGAACTGATACACAATCCTAAATATGGTGATGTGCAGAAAAAGAGGCTTTGGATTGCTAATTACAATATGCTCTGCTTAAGTTAAACAACAGCTTCCATGTTTATACCACATGGAACAACAGAAACCATATTTTGGCATTGTAGATTGTGTGAGCATGTTTAGTATGCCTGTAAAAACTGATACATTTTCTTTGTACTCTTCCAGAAAAAGAAACCCCAGGGAGGAGAGGGAGAAAAGGCAGATTGTCTGATTGATAGCCTATATGTGAATTAAAATGTTTGGGATGTCCTTTATATACATATACTTCTGTTATCAAGGGCTCTTCAACTAGCAAAAACCAAAAACCTTAAATTAAACTGAAAAGTAGTGAGTTTGGTGTTTCCAGGTAAGGCAATTGCCAATAATCCACCTGTTAAAATGTTGTAATTTTGTCTGAAATTTCACACTGATCTCCAAAACATGACGATTCTGCAATATTTTGATAAAGTTATATTAAACAGAAAAAAAAGAAGTTCTGTTTGTTGATTTCCAATTCTTATCAATGGAAAAGTTGGATTTACAATCAAAATTAACATTTGGATCACACATTGAATTGGGGACTGCTTCAACTGGATTTGGGACTGAAGACCTGTCATACTTTCAGTTTATATCTACACAATCCTGTATTTCTGAGATACTTTAATATTTCCATTTAGCAATGGTCTCTGTGTTGTGGATGCTGATACATAAACATCATACCTCATTAATTGGAAGTATATTATTAATATGTTGAAAAAGCTCTTCCATTTGTGATACTGCACATTGTGCTAAACTATATGCATCTATGAAATGGCTCTGCTTGTCTGCAGCAAGTTCTGTATATTTACCAAGTATCCTGTAAAAAATACATTTTAAACAGAAAGAATATTTAGTACCTTTCTAAATAAAATAGAATGGAAAAAGAAAACAAATAAGCAATACTAACTTACCAAAATCAAATTACTTAAAATAGCTTTAAAAAAGAGATGAAAAAGGATATTGAAAAAGAGTTTTTGAGTTTCCGATGTTTTCTTTTTTACACATGTTGTAGTTTAAGCATACAGTTGCCTTATGGGTGAGATGGCCAGAATATACGTACATGACCTTTAGAAGACAGTCTGTAGTTATATTTGCCATGCTGCATTGTATTGTAGATATAAGAATCATTTTCTATAAAATTAATTTATTAAAACCCAAAGCAGTTGTGTTTGACAGGAGAAATGGAATGAATAACTTAATGTCATACTGTACATAAATGAAAAAGTAAATTAACTTGTGTATCTTGGTAGAATATTTACTAAAGATGTAAAAAATAAAGATATTAAAAAAATAAAGACGTAACCATGTCAATTTTTAGGACCCATAAATACCACCAGAAATTCACTGGTATATGAAAGAAATGAAAGAATGAATACTACTCAAAATAAGTGAAAATGGCTGTGTGTAAAAAATGATTTTTGCCTATAGTGTGGATTTACCTATTCAGGAGTATTCAAAACAATGCAGTAAGAATAGGATGCTTAAAAATATGTGTGTTAAAACAAAAAAAGAATAACAGAATTGCAGGACAAATACATGAAGGATGAGTGAATGGGTTGAAACGAAGGGAAAGACCACGTGAATCGTGTTTGTATAGAACTGATAAGATCCTCAAAAAGAGAGAAATGAGAATTTTAAAGAACAAAAGGAAATGTGTGAAGTATATAAACAGGCAAAAATAGCCTACAACACGGGTGTCAAACTTGATTGTGTATCATGACGTATTGTGTTTTCGCCTTTGTGGAGCTAGGGTGGGCATGGCCTGTGTACGATGCATCCAGCTTGCAGGCTGCCAGTTTGACAGGCCTGGCCTACAAGGATAGAAAAGCTTGAAGAAATGAATGGTGATTCCCTTTCTTTTTCTTACCTCATGCTTTTAATTTCTTTGACTCTTTTCTGTTCCTTTCGGCATTCTGTGAAATGTTACTTAAAAAATGCTGCTTTAAAAAATGAATAATATCGTGGTATATATGCATGTATTTATGAAAAATTCTATCTGAGGACTTACCCATGAATATTTGCACATGCCATCAATGCATCAGCACTACGATCTTTATATCCATAAGACAGGAAGATCTTCTTTATGTGAATTAACTTATCGTAGGATTCCAGCAATATTGTTGCCAACTCATCAGAAAAACCACTAGTATTAATGAGATATTTAACCAAATCTATCTGTATATATGCTTTCCTGCACAGAAGAGTATATGAACAACATAAGGTCAGAGGGTTCCTCCATAGTAGCACATATATTTAAGCAACTCTTCTTATTGCTATAAAAATAGCTCGACTAACTTTTAATTAATTAATTAATTAATTAGTACAGAAAAGCAGAAAAGCAGAAAAATCTCATATTATACTCAGTGGCAAAAAATAAATTTCAGCTTGTTTGAAAAAAAATTGAATGAATCAATAAATATCAAATAAATCTATGACCAAAAGTGAAAGTTAGGCAGACCTTTTATTTATAATTTCTTTATGCAGGTAGCCCTCAACTTACAACAGTTCATTTACTGACTGTTCAAAGTTACATACAACTTCACTGAAAAAGTGACTTATGACCCTTTTTTCACACTTGGTCTCCCACCTGGTAAAAGCAGCCAGGACTCACAGTTTGGAGTAATCTACGCTTTATTCCAGCAACCCAAACAATGCAACAGCAAGTAAGAACTTTTCCAAATAAAGCCAATGCTGAGAGCCACTGCCTCTCACTGCTTTAAATACCCTAGTTCTGCACCTCCCACTCATCTAATCTGCCTAACATCTGGTCCTTCATTATACTAACATCCGCCTATCTGCAGCTCCCTTCACCTGTGTGCTTGCTATCCTTCCTTATTATCCTGCGATTGTGCCCACATTGCCCAACACCATGGCCATTCTCCTCCGAATGTCAGCCACCGCTCATCTCTCCTTCAGTCCTGGATTCAGTAGCTGCCACCCATTCCCAGCCTGCTGCAATCTCCCTGTCGCCTCCTGATGACATCATCCTAGTCTCTCCATAGTGGTGGCTGGGGCGTTGTCGAGGTAAATAGCAGTTCCTCAGGCGCCCGACATCATTCTTGGGCTCCGGCGCATGTTGCGGCATGTCTGGAGCCTGACACTTATGACCACTGTAGCCTCCCCATGGTCACATGATTTACATTTGGATGCTTGACAACTGGTTCATATTTATGACACTTACAATGTCCCAGGATCATGTAATCATCTTTTGCAACCTTCTGATGAGCAAAGTCAATCGGGAAGCCAGATTCACATAACAATCATGGTATTAATTTAACAATTGCAGTAATTCACTTAACAAATGTGGCAAGAAAAGTTGTAAAATGGGGCAGAACTCATTTAACAAATTTCTCACTTAGCAACATAAATTCTGGGCTCAATTGTGGTCATAAATCAAGGACTACCTGTATAGAAATAATATCTCTATATAATGGCCTGTGTAACAAAAAAAATATTGTTACTGCACTCAACAGCATCCCTTGCGGGTGAGATCAAAAGTGATAAGACAGTGGCCTGGCATGGCAGTGCAGTCAAAGTCCAGGATTCCCCTATGCATATTGTATCTGCAATGCTGACAACCAGCTTGGTGTAGGGATTAAAAAAACATCAGGCTAGAAACTGGGCGACTCTGAGTTCTAGTTCCACCTTAGCCACAAAGCCAGCTGGACGACCTTGGGTCAATCACTTTCTCTCAGGCCTAGGAAAGAGGCAATGGCAAACCTTTTCTGAAAAACCTGGCCAAAAATTCCTGCAAGAACTAATCCAGGCAAGTGACAGTTTATTTAAGACTAGTGACAGGAAATTATTTCTATGGCAACACAAAAAAAAGTTCAATATACAAAAGGGGCAAACCTTCACTCACACAGCTGCAAGTGCCATCTTAATTTTTTAAAAACCTTTTCCTTCACTCAGATCAGGGGTGTCAAATTCACGTTGTCATGGCGACGTCATGTATCAGGACTTTTTCCCCCATTGCTAAACCGGGCATGGGCGTGCCAGCGTGTGACGCACCCAGCACGTGGGCCACGAGTTTGATAGCCCTGACTTAGATGCTGGTGATTGCACTTGAGGCAAGCCTCCTTGCTAATGATAATTTAGGAGGATCGACAAGGAGGATAATTTAGGAGGATCTACAAAGATGTTATTCAATCCAGAGCCTCCTGTTTTCACAGTCACATCGCATTATCTCCTTAAAGCAGAAGAATATTTTTTTCTAGGCCCGTGTGGAATTCTGGGGAAAAAAAGTTGGATTGCTTTAAAGCAAAGAGCACATCTACTCACACACAAGACCTAAAAAAAACACCTACATCATTTTCAAAGCAGGTATGACTTTATTAAACTAGGTTAATAGATTGAGGAGGGTGCAATGTTATTTCCGAAGAGGCGTGTGGAGGATTGCATTATTACTTGATCATAAAAGTAAAGCCAAACTACAATACTGTCTTAACTTGTAATCATTACCTGGCTTCAAAGCATGCAATTATAAAACCCACTTCAGATTCTCGGTTGGGTCTTTCCTTCAATAACGGCCTCAAGACGTTTATGTTTTTTTGCAGAAAATGGCAAGCCTGCATCTATGAGAAAACTGGTTGTCAAAAATACTGACAATATATTTCAAGATAAACTGTATATCCCTCTGATTCTGTAAAGCAACAGAAAGCTGGAGTAAAACCATAAACACAGTTGTGGTCACATGGTTTTTACTTAGTGACCATTTTACTCCAGACCAATTGTGGTTACTAAAAGAGGATTGCCTGTATTGATTGTTAGTATGAAAAGAGTAATCTGTTCAACTGTAAGATACATACTGAATGCACTACTGGATATTTGAATTACCTAAATAAATGAATTGTTTACTTACCATTTTTTCATTTATTTCCTGGTCGTCTCCTAAAATTGCATCGGTGAGAGCAAAAGTGCTATTGTACCAAAACTGTTCATTTCCACCTATCAAGCGGGCCTTTTCAAGCAGTGCTTTTGCTTGGCCATGGTTTTTTTCTAAATTAGCTAGTACAGCTAGAAGATAAAGGCATCGTGATATACCACATGGATCATTCATTTCCTAAAAAGAAGAGATTTCAAATATGCTTTCAAACATAAGTTGGAACATTATTATCAATAACATGCCAGAGCACTCCATCCCATTCAGTCAGTGGAGGATTAAGGCTCACTGGTGCCCTAAGTAGTGACAAATCTTGGTGCTCCCCTCCTTTGTACATACAAGATTTTTTTATAAATCTTCACTGATTTTTTTCTTTCTTTCTCAACTTTATGGTGCCCCCTTTGGACTGATGCTTGGTGCTTAGTCTGCTTGATACATGCAGTTCCATTCCATTCCATTCCATTTTGTTCTAGGTCTTTATATATTGCAAAAAACAGATTTCAGAACCTATCTCCAAGTTTCTGTCATTTATGGCATGAAAAACTTTTTTAGAATAAATTCAATTAAACTGAATCAGGAAACGAAGAATAGCTTACTTAAGCTAAGACAATTTATCACAGAATTCACTCTTTCCGAAACTCGAATCATAAAAAAGCAGACTTCTTAAGCTGCAATTTTCTATACAGCTACCTTGAGAATGGTCCCGGGTTATCACTTCTCCATACAGACACAAACTCAATTTCATATTCATTTTTGTGTTCTATTCCATATCTTATTACTATTTTAACATTTTCTCAATAATTTTCCCTTCTCTTAGTTTTCTCAACCTTGCTTTTAATTATCTCATCCCTTTCTAAATTCAATTATATGTATCATTTTCTAAGTTTCAATATCTTTCTAATCATTATATTTATACTTTTCTCTGTCCTGTTTCAATTTCATATTTTCTTTTCTCATTAAACAAAATTTTCCCCTGTAGTTACTGATTGGAGTATGACACCTTTGTATCTTTTAATTTTTGTCCATTCAACTCTCATTTAAACTTCAATTTATGCCTTTACGATTATAACATTCAATATAACACATAACTTCCAGTCGAATTCTGCTTGGTATATTCTTAAAATACACACTAAGTTCTTAAAGAGACAGTAGATATATAACAATAATAAATAAAATACTTATGCTATTCTCTATTATTAATGTTAGTTATAATCTTTAACATCTTTAACATTTATTTTCAAGGGGATATCATACTTCCTTAGGAACACTTATATTTCCATTTTTTTTCATATTTCTTTAATATTCCTCTTCACTTAAATTTTTATAACTCATTAATAATAATTAAAATGTTCCCATCTTTTCCTAATTTCATTCTCTCATTCTCTTTATTTCATTTATTTATTAACAAACATTCCATTACATTACAATGAGTATTTTATCTATCATTTTAATCACACTTGTTTCACATTTTCTAAGTTTATTTCTAGTTCTAATATAACAATACTATCTTGTGTATCCTTGCAGAATCCCTCTTTCAATTAATTTTTCACCCATTATCTCTATGTCTTCCAAATAGGCTTATTCCTTTAATCCTTGTATGGGAAACAGTGGATATTCTGTAGATACAGCTTTATTATTATTATTTTTAAGTTTAAAAAGCTCTGAAATTTGACAAACTGAAACAAGGCCAAGTCACTTGAATTTCTGACAATTACGGTATGCTACTTCTGATCAAAAGTTGTGCACCTACTATTGTAAGACTAGTCACAGGTTTTCCTCTTATTGATAGTTATAGGATAAATATTTCCTGGAAATGACAAATCAAAAGAAACAATTGGTGACATGCATTTTTAACAACAAAAATAATAATAATTAAGTTACCTGAGTTGCTTGATGAGCTTCTGAGAGTAGTAATCTTGCTGGCTGATATAAACATAGTTGGAGTAATACCTCAGCCTTTTCTATCCACAAGTAGGGGAGAGAAAGCCCATTTAATTCTTTTTCAGTAACTGCATTGAGTTCCAAAAACTGCAAATGATTTATTATAGAAATTATTCTTTTTAAAATATCTACATTTTAAATCATTAATTATAAGTTAACATTAATTATGTTAAAATGATATGTACTTAAAAGCTCAATCAGGGTATATAGCACAGTATATAGTTAATTTTATAGTTTGCCTTTTTTATTAGAAGAGCAATAAAAATATATATAGGCAGAAAAATGGGTTGAGTTGCCTTGCAACTTTCATGCGTATGTAGAAGAGGAATATTGGTTACCTTATCTTTTGCAGTAAATAGCTTCTTTCTTTGCTCTATATCTAGTTCTGTCCAATCAAAATTTTTATTTTCCATTTGATTATCCTGTATGGCATTCTCATTTTTAAATGCAATCTCTTGTCTAAATCTGAAACAGGGAAAGAAAATATTAATGTAAGTGGTGTATAGACACAAAACTCTATTATATTAGCCTACTATCAGGTATGGTATCCTCTTCAACTTTGTCATGCCAGCATAATAACCTATATATTTATAAAACTTATTAATGCAATCAATTGTGGAACTGTATGAAAGAGATGAGATGGGATTTTAACAAATTTTGGAAAAGTACTTACGAATGATCTGAGTACTCCATATAGGCTACTTTAGACTGGAACATATACCAATTTGTTATGACTACAAACCTGTCACTTAATTATGCCATTTGTTACATACCTTCCTTGTTCCTTTTCATTAATAAAGATGTCACCCACTGCCTTTTCATGGAAAGATGCTGCTTGATACATTTTTAAATCTAAACAGATTTTGGCAAGCCTGTGAAAGCAAACGAGACATCTCATACACTATATACTCACAAAGAAAAAAATTGATTCAAATCCACATAAAAGAGCAAGTGATGTTTCCAATAAGAACAAATCAGCCAACAGTGCTTTTAAAGAGCAGGAGGAGGAGATGCAGAGAGAACTTCAATTGTGAAGCCTAATTGAAAAAAAATGGATTATTCCTAGATCCATTTAGAATCGTATTTAACTTAGACTTCACGTTTTAAAGCAGCAATGTAATAGGCTGAGTTATTAACCATTGCTTAAAGGAAGCGATATAATTTGACCTTCAATAAATTGGAAAATTATTCAGCACAAAACTTTCAACAATATCAAAATTAGTTCTCACAGTCAGAATCAAACAGAGATCTCTGCCTGTCTGGGAAACTCAGATGAAACTTACCCAAAGTAGCCAATGATGTCTGTGATTACAACTGAAGTGGAAAAGCGGCTGGGAAAAGCTGCTTTTAAAAGTTTAATGCTTTTACCTGTTACATCTCCCAGCAAAGGACTCCATACCCATTGACAGTTGAGTTTCTGTATATGCCTTGGTCACATAAAAAGCAATGAAATATGGAAGAAGCAGCTTCCAAGTACTGGTTTCTATTGCAACATATCCACCACCCTCTTATCACTTCTCAAAAGGGTAATATTTATTTGATACCTAAAGTTTACAAAGGAATATGCTTGGCATAAACCAATGTATTTTTGGGAGACCCTAATTTCAAACATTATTTATTCTACAATAAAGATTCTAAACTAAGCATTACATCCTATCTTCATGAATGACTCCCACTAAATGTATGCAATACATTTCTAGGTCGTCTTCCCAATCTAGCATCTTCTAGATATTTAGATGAGCATATCCATGAGAACTTGAAAATAAATAAATGCTTATGGAAAGATGAAACTGAGCAAATAGAAATTCTTCCCCTAGTAGAGAGGCAGCCAGAAGATCCCCAAAAGAAAAGAGGAGTCCTTCCCCCCACACCGATGAGTGGCTTATGGGTATTGTTGTCTATGGGATTTCCAACTTACTGACTTAGAGACAAAATTTACTGCCAAATGTGCTGGTCACTCTCTATTGCAGCTGTCGCCGACCGGTGGGCTGTGAGAAAATTTTGGTGGGCCGCAGAGAAATATCACCCCCAGAGCACCCCTCCAAAGCAATTAATCCAGGCTGTGCAGAAACACAAGGTTGCGCCGCCCACATGGCCCACGGGAACCCTCCCCGCCCACTCACTCCTTACCTGGCAAATTTGCCTGCTAAATTTCTATTTTTCCTTCTTCCGACCATCACCTGTTCTGCTGTGCTGGGAGATTTAGATTAGCTAGGAAGCAGAAAATGGTTGGATTTCTTGCTTTCTAGATAGTCTTTAGATCTTCGGCTCTGCTTTTAAGCACAGCCGAACCTCCCTTAGGACTGAAGGTTTGCTTGCAAGCAAATTCAGTGCAGACTCATGGCAAGCAAATTTGAGAGACTGAGCTAGCCGATGGCCGATGATAGATTATTGAATGATTCTGTGAGCAACTCAATCTGTCTGCTTTGACTGATTTTGGATAAAAGTTGCTCTTTTTTATAAAAAATTCAATATTTACATACATGGTGTGTTGTGAGTTAATTTTGTGAGTTTGCTTGCAAGCAGATTTTATGTGACAGACTGAGCTAGCTGATGGCAGATAGATCTCTGAATGAATCTGTGATTCTGTGAGCAACTCAATCTGCCTGCCTGCTTTGCCTGATTTTGGGTAAAAGTTGCTCTTTTTTATAGAAAATCCAATATTTATATAAATATTTATAATATTTACATACAAGCCATGCCCCGCCAGTCACATGACCACCAAGCCACACCCACAAATTAGGCCATGCCCACAGAACCGGTTAGTGGTCCCTGGGATTTAAAATTATGAGTTTGGTGGTCCCTGAGGTCCAAAAGGTTGGCGACCCCTGCTCTGTTGAATAGGTAAGGGGCTGACTATCAGCTCATTTGGAAATGTTTATTCTCAGATCGTTTTGAAGGTAGAAACCCTCATATATATGAATAAATAGCTCTCACTGGGGAACTCTTTCCAAAGTTCACCAAATGATGGCAGGGAGCTCAACAATAGTTTTGGAATGTTGCCCAAATCTTCTAAAAGTGACAAAACATTCATTTAAAGTTAAATTTTATGCTATTATTTTAGCAAAGACATGGGCTCAAGGAAATTTTGATTTGAGAGGCAATGCAGTTGACTCTTCTGAGGCTGCATACCAGTAGACATGGGTGGAAAGGTCTTGCTGTTCTCCTCTCAAATAAACTTAGGGGATTAAGAAGTAAGTTTACCTTATGCAACTTACTTGAGATGGCCCAAAGTTTGTAGCTAGAATGAAGCTACTTGGCCAGAAATGCTTACTTTCCTCTACAGGTATTGTTATTTCAAGCAAAATAGCAAGAATATGACTCTGTTCACTTGAATATAGTCATATTCAGGTGAACAGAGTGCAATATAGTGCAATCATAGACTGAAACATCCTAGGACTGTAACCATATTACTGGGTAATTTCAACTCTAGAATGTTTCAATTAATCACTTCAATAGCCACTGCTATACAGATTACATTGCCATAGTTCCGTGATGGTGCACCTGTGATATGCATGCTGGAAGTAGCAGGCAGAGCCTTTTCTGCCGGCACGTGAACTGTCACCTGGAACAGATCCACTGCGTATGCGTGCATGCCCCCACCAACCAGCTCATTGTTGGGTATCTGCTGTGTATGCATGAGGAGAGACGCACGTGGGGGAGGTGCATGTGACGCACGCATGTGTAGGGGGGTGGGTCGAGCATGCGCAGAGGCACGCAGCATGGGAGGTTGCGCATGCATGTACAGAGGCACGCAGTGCACAGTGCGAGGGGCATGCACATGCGCAGGGGGTGGGACCGCATGTGCATTGCATTATGGGTGCAGGCACATGTGCGCACACACACACACACTTTTGGCATGCGATGACAAAAATATTAGCCCTCACTGCCATAGTTGGTCTAAGGGTATCAGTTTTCACAGATAGTAATTAACTCATCTTTCCAAAAGGCTTGATCAAATTCTACAAATGAAGTGGTTGATATGGATCAGAATGGGGACTAAGGATCCAGAATAAATAGTAAGCCCTTGATAAGCCCTTGCTTATCAATGGAGACCAAATGGAGCAAGTGGCCAGTTTTAAGTTTCTGGGTGTTACCCTAAAAGAGGACCTGATCTGGGGTGCTCACATTGCAGCCCTGGTCAAAAGGGCCCAGCAGAGATTATACTACCTGAGACTTCTCAGAAAATAATTGAATGGAAAACTGCTGGTGACCTTCTACTGCTGTACCACAGAGAGCATTTTAACATACTGCACCTCCGCATGGTTTGCCAATTGCACAGTGGCAGATAGGAAAGTACTCCAGAGGGTTAATGTCATTGCCCAGAAGATCATTGGTTGCCCTTTCCCCTCTTTGGAAGAGCTTTATAGCTCCCGCTGCCTTAAGAAAGCTCAAAACATTCTCAAAGATCCATCTCATCCTGGGAACCCTTTTTTTGAGCTATTACCATCTGGCAGATGGTACAGAATATTAAAAACAAGCACAAATAGGCTGAAAAACAGCTTCTATCCCAGGGCAGGAGCTCTTTTGAATTCTACTGTACAGCGCAGTGTTGGTGTGGTGTCGGGGGTTTTCGATTCAATGTGTGAAGGCCGAGGGATGTGTGTGTTTATTTTCATGGTTATGGTCATGATATGCACTGAAGATGGTGTTTGATTTCGTTGTACGAGGTGCAGTGACAATAAACTAAACTAAAGTATTGGTCATACTGTGGTCTCAAACAATGTGATAAGTGAGGTGGCTTTTCTTAGTGATCACATTGTTTTGACAGCATGTTTTTCCACCACAGAATAGTTATTGTATCGTAACGTTTTCTTCTGCATTGCAAGGGCAATGCAAGAGTTTTGTTATGTTATAAGAATTAATTTTATGCCCAATTCTAGTGGCTTGTCCCCAATACAGGTAGTCCTTGCTTAACGACAGTAATTGGGATCCTGAATTTCTGTCACTAGCATTGTAGTCATAAAGCGTGATGTCACATAACAACATCACTTAGTGATGGTAATCTTCACCGGTTCTGTTGCTTTGCTAAGTGAGGGTCATGGGTTGTTGGAGATCACCTTGCAATTTCCAGCTGTTTCCAACAAGCAAAGTCAATGGGGAAGCCAGCAGGAAATCACAAGTTCCAGGAGGCTCATTAACAGGCTGGTGAAGAATGAGTGCATCGGAAACAGGGATGGCTGCTACTGGGTGGGGGAAGGTGTGTAATCTGGTTGCTAAGCATCAGGATCACAATCATAGGACTGTGGTGATGGTGGTATGGCTGGAACTTTGAGGACCATCATAAATACCACTCATTCAGTGCTATTACAACTTTGAGTGGTCATTGAATGAGTATTCATTAAATGAATGTAGATAAGAAAGTCATGAGAAGGTATACACATATATGAAAAACCAATTGCTAATATCCAGCATATGACAGTGTATCATTTTCAAAAGCAGTAGCAGTAGGGCTCTTATAAAATCTAGCTTATGATTTCATTGTGTCAAATTCTGATTATGTCAGGATCAAAGCCAATCTAATTGTATTAAGGCCTGAGAAATATATCTATGTATTGGTGTGTGTATAAAACAAAGTAGGAAACACAATTATATAGTTGGCAGTGATTAATTTAAATCATTAAAAAAACCAAAGCTCTGTGGCTTTCTGGCAATTTAGAGCTAAGTCCTCTGAGGCCTACCCTATGGCTAACCCCTAAAAGCTACCTATTATAGAGGAAACACTCCCACTATCTGTCTGGGAAAAGCATTTATTGAACTATTTTTGGTGATGACTCAGCTAATATATTGATCTTTGAATTAAGTCAAGAATGTATTCATGGCCAGCCACTAATTTCCTCCTTTGACATTTCTAAATTAATCTCGCAATTGAAAAATGGAAAAGCCACCTAGGGGATATATGATTACACTGAACTACTGAAAATGAACATTGATTGGTAAGCTCCAACTTTGGTGACCTTATTCACTTTTCTAGACTGCTTCTTTCAGATCCCTGAGGACTTGGCTGATCTATTATTGCAACTATTTTTTAAAAAAAAAACCAGGATGGATTTAATCCAATCAATTATCATTCAATCCATTTATAAAGTATGACCAGCAAATTACAATTACATTGTTTGCATTAGAAACTGTTAGATGAATTAATGCAGGAAAATATTCTGTCAGAGGAGCAAGTAGGGTTCAAATAGATCAGTTTTCGACCAACATATTAAAGTGAATTAAATTAGTAGCTCTTCATCCCTTTAGGAAACTTGGTGCTTGATTGTAGATCTTAAATCAAGGCTTGATTTGATTCCTAGTGACAAGCTCTGGAAGAATTTAACACTCTTCTCTATAACCTGTTGATTATTATTTCTAATGAAAAAAATCAAGATGATAGCTGGACACAGGTAAAATAATGGCCAACAAATATCAATATCTAGAGCACGGGTGTCAAACTCACCACGTCACATTGCTGTCACATGACGTATCACAGCACTTTTTGTCTTTGTGGAGTTGTGGTGGGCGTGGCCAGCACATCATGCATCTGGCCTGCAAGCTGCCAATTTCACACCCCTGATCTAGAGCAAGTTAAATGTTTTAAATATGCTGAGGCTACTTTTCAGTTCTCTTGTACTGGAAGAAACAAAGATTAATCTCATACTACTTAAAAAGGGAACAGTTAATCAGTCAAAGATTAATCCAGAACGATATTTTAAATTTCTTTTAAAATCAAGATATGTTGTGAATTCACATTTGCTTCCCCAGCACGAAAGACAGGGCATACACAAATACCCCAACATTCTTCTAGGAGGAGATAAGCCACTGCTCATATCAGCAGGAAGAGATTCCCTCAGCTGCTGTGTTTTTCAGGCTTTGCCTTTTAAAAATCTGAATTAAGACACTAGGAGAAAAGGAACAAGGTGTGATGTGAAAGAGAAAGAGAGCCAAGATGATTTCGCAACTTTTAATTCTAAGCTGCAATTGGTTCAGTAAGTATTTGCTGATACAGTACCTGAAAGAATAATTTTCCAGGGAGAAAATTGGTATAGGGATAAATTTAATGCCAATCTATTCACTAGAGATATAAGGAAAAATAACAAAGTTTGAATTTTGTTTTATCTACAGTTAGTCCTCAAATTATGACCATTCATTTAATGATTGTTCAAAGCACTGAAAAAGCTGACATGACTGGTTGTCACAATTACAACTGTTGCAGTAGCCGTGGTCATATGATCAAAATTCAAGCACGGTGACCAGCAAGTATTTATGATAATTGCAGCATTCTGGAGTCATGTGATCACCATTGTGATTTTCCCAGGGGGCTTCAAACAAGCAAAGCCAATAGGGAACCTGACCTATTTAACAACCATGTGATTTAACAACTTGCTTAATGATTGCATGATTTCCTTAATGACTGCAGCAGAAAGGTAATAAAATCAGTTGCAACACTTAAATGACTGCATCATTTAGCAATAGAAGTTCTGGTTCCAATTGTCATAAGATGAGGACTACCTGCATTGCATTGTACTCTATGCACAACTGTCTCAGTATTTGCTTTCTGTAAATGTATGTATGTTTCATGCACCTTGGAGTCTCTTCAAAAATTTCACATTAAAATTATAAAGAAAAAAAAGAGCATATTTCATTTCACATAGATATTCCATAAATTTAGTTTTTATGCTTCATTTCTTATTCAGATGGCTTACAGAACAACCCCATACAGCATATGTTTTTTCCCACTATTTTCAAGGTGGTTTATTTTTAGTTAATATTCTATAGCTGCAGGGAACATACTACTTAAAAAGGGAACAGTTAATCAGTCACTGCAAGCCACAGTTTGAACTGCTAGGACACCATGAATCAAGAAAGTTCTAGAAGATTGTCTTAGATGCATAAAAGACAACCTGTGGCGCAGTGGTTAGAATGCAGTATTGCAGGTTAATTCTGCCGACTGCCAGCAGTTCAGTTCTCACTGGCTCAAGGTTTACTCAGCCTTCCATCCTTCTGAGGTCAGTAAAATCAGGACCCAGATTATTGGGGGCAATATGCTGACTCTGTAAATCACTTAAAGAGGGCTGCAAAGCACTAGGAAGCAGTTTATAAGTCTAAGTGCTATTGCTATTTTGAAACAGCTTCTTATCCTACAGAGTGATAACTGTTATAAACAAAATAAATATATACGTTGAGTAAACATTCAGCATAAAAGTTTCTAAACAAATACTTCTTGGGGCAAATATTCCAATTCCAGTCTCTTTAAACTTGCAGAACTATTCTACTGGCATGCAATACAATCTAAGGGGCTTTGAAGCAATGAAAAACATGAGCTGAGATGTTCCACCATAAGAACAAACAAACAAAGAAACAAACAAAAATTTATCAGTGGCCAGAAAGGACATTGAAATGCTTCACATTTACTAAAAAGTAATGAATACAGACCTGAGATGGTAGAGATCTGACAGACTTTTGCTTTCAACAACATCGTGAGCAATGATTTCAGCCAAGTGAAGTAATGGAAGAGTCATGTGAGTACACGACATTGACTGTAGTTCCTTAAGTAAAAGGTCTAAATAATATAAAGTGCGTGTCTAAAATTAAAAGAATAAATGACAAGTTCACTATGATGGCAATATTTGTCTCTCAAGTGTACATTTTCAATTCTTCTTCTTCAGAAAAAAGGCTCCTGAAATAAATCCCACAAAGGCAGTACTACTAAGAATGTAAATGTTTGCAAATGGGTAAACATGTACTTACACAAATGTGAGGATAATAATATTTCGTATTTTGAACTACTAAATAAACTATCTTTGCTACTTACATGCACATGTAACACTTTGGACTAACTTGCAGATATTACAACAAAAAAAATACACCGTTCAGTCAGAGACCATTTGAAGTTACAACAGTGCTGAAAAAATAACTTTACACCCTTTTATGACCGTTGCAGCATCCGTCAATCATGTGATCGCTAATATGGACAGTAGCTGTTGTCTTGTGCCTATGTTTTTATTCTTTTTTTCTCCCCTTGCTGAGCAGATTGATTGGAGAAAAAGGGATTGCAAGAAAGCAAACTGTTTGCTCTTCTACACATCAATAGCAATGCAATCACACTAGTTGGCTGTGGCTGACAGCTGGGTACTCTGTGCAAACAGCTTACAGCACTCTTTTGAAATCTCTTTCTCTTCAATCTCTCTGCTCTATGAGGAGGAGCATGGAGGAGTCAAGTAAAGGAGACATTGCCTATAGAAATTGCTTCCCCCTTTCCCCAGAGTGGAGAGATTGGAAAGGAAGAGATTTCAAGAGAGCATTGTTAGCGGTTTATAAAGAATGTCTGGCTTCCAGTCCCTTGGCTACCAGCACAGTAGCATTGTTTTCAATGTGTACAAAACAGCATTCAGGCATTCAAGCTTTCCAAAGAGCATGGGAATAGTTAGGAGCCAAGCAAAAGCTGAAAGTGTGAAAGTGACTAGTCTTACCTCTGTTCAATCTTAAAGGAGTCATAATCATGTGATTTCCCACTTAATGAATGCTTCACTTAGTGGTGTAGTTATTAATCTTAAGTAAACTTGTTCAGAACTGTACAAGGACTACTATAACTTCAATATATAATAATAATGAACAAAAGAAGCCAGAAATAAGTCACATCTGGAAGTACAAAAGAGCGAGGAATAGATAATTTCAATTATGTTCTATTGCAAGATATTACTCACAGGTGCTAAAATGGTTTCTCTGTTTATAGCACAGCCACTTGAGTCCTGTTTAAAGGCTTCTCTCATCTCATCAGGGCACTCATAGTTAGCCCACTCCTCCACATTTCCAGGCAAGACATCAATTGGCCCCTTCCTTTTCACCTTCTCTTTACTGCCTGAGCGTTCCTGAAAATTGGACTCTTATGTTTAAGGAAGTTTCTTTCTTTCTTTGTTAACATAAACAAAATCAAAATACTGCATTAAAGGAAATGTACCTTTTTTACATCTTTTGGGGATTTATCTTTATCTTTCTTAGAAGGGCTTGTAGGGCTTGAACCCTGAGCAGCATCAGGCTTTGGAGAGAAAAAAAAGAATCAGTGATAGATTTTTTTGTAATAATGCATTCAGTCCTACTAATGCTTTTTTTCTTAAAATAAATCTCAACTCTTCTCGTCTTGGATTTCCAAGCAGAAATAATAATAAAAAGTACTGTTAGCTATGTGAAAATGACTTTCTTTACTGTCTTTCTTTCTTCAATGGATAGAAACTCCAAATTTGGGAACAGTATGGAGATAATGTTTTATCCTTCAGTCTAATGAGGAAGAAAAGACTCGCTATTTATTTATTAAATTTGTATGCCATCCATCTTTCTGCCAAATGACTTTGGGTGGCTTAAAATACTATAAATAACAACAAAACAATTACAGGAATTATAAAACAATTGTTATATGCTCCACAAATTAAAAGATGCTCAAAAACAGCAAAAAAAAGTGACAATCAAGCCTCAGTTTAATTTTAGACAGATGAGTCTATATAAATAAGAATCTGTGAATGCATCCATCTCACTTTGTCTAATAAATGGTCACTACCAAATTTGTGATGATTATGCTCGTGAATGTTTTTGACAATGTAAAGTTCTGTGGCAGCATTCATTTGATGTATACATTTGTTTCCAAGTAAAAAGCATTCATTTCACTGCTGATATGTTCTCAGATATAAATGTAATAATGGAAGTGTCAAAGTTTAACCTCTCTAGATATTACTGCATTATCACCCTTATGATCCTGAGCACTAACTCTGCTAATTTATGTTGATAAATCCTGGTAAACCAACAAGCCTAGAAATCCAGATGTTCTCTACCCATGGGTTATAAATACTAACAGTACTCTTACTTAATAAAATAACATTTATGGAACCTGGCAGTATTTGCAACAAGCCATATGCTTCATGATGTCATCATAGCTGTAAACACAATTATGAAATTGTGCCAGGTCTGTTAGCTATGTCATTGGCATGATGACACTATAGCATATGATTGTTTTCTGCCCCCTCCACAAACTCTCACAATGGGAGGAAATGTTTTGATATGAAGACAATGTCAGCTTTTGAGGGAGAGGTGCATTACCTGTTTTGCATCTTTTTTGTCTTTTGATTTTGGAGTTGCTGATTGAGCTGGTGAAACTTTGGTCTGTGCCTTTAAAAACAATCCTACTGTTGTGAATGATATCTGAAAAATAATTACATTTACTTTGGGGAAGAAAAAAAATGCAAGGATTTTTTTAAAAAAAACCAATTAAATGCTGAATTAGTTATGGAAAATAAAACATAATATTATTGAGAATAAAGCCCCCTTTTAAAACACATTTATAGATTGCCTTTACTTTCCATACAAAAAAGTTTCTATATATAAATTTTAATGCCATGTATCATAATAGAAGCTAGTTTAAGAAAATTCCTAGAAAAGTAAAAGGATCTTTCATATTTCTTTTTCAAAAACTTAATTGAGCCAATGAGTACAGTATGATCTACTTTGAATCCCTAAATTTTTACTATTTTTAAGGGGCAATTAAAAAAATCGTTTCTTAAAATGGCAGGGGAACATTGGTTTCTATGAAGAGCAGAACCACAAAAACTACATTCTCTCTGGCTAAAAGCCTGTTTAGTGTTTACTATGACTGTTTTTCTTCCTTGGTTGGGATGAGCCAATAGGTTGTAAAATAGTAAGTGATCTACCATTTTCCTGCTAACATACATTGTTATATTTGTGTTCTGATTTACTCATTTTGATATATTCCAATTTAGGTTACATTTTTCTCTAGAAGACTGAAATTTTGAAAGCTTCATTGCCCTTTGTTGTCTTAATGCTGACAAGTTTGCTGATTCAGTTTAAATAGTTTTGTGTGGCTAATATAATTGCACTTATAAAAATATCAAAGAAGTAGAGTAATTTTGTTTCCAATTAAATCTTGTTATAATGTCAGCACCCAGCAGAAAATGAGATACATTTTTGTTCAGATTAATAGCATTACAAATTCTGTAATTCTACACAAGTGGGAATTTCTTTTGAACAAGTTTTTGGAACAGACTTGACATTCAAGTATGTCAAGAAAACACTTGCATATAACTTATCTTCATTAAAAGCTACAATAATTCTTTATGGAAGATCAATGTGATTGAGGTAAGTGCTTTGAATTCAAGTTACTGTTCTTTAAAAAACCCTAATAGATTTACATAATGTATTCAGCAGTCTTCTAGTCACATTTTCTTATCTCACCTGCCACATGCGAATCACAAAAGCATACGCCATCAAACAGTATTGCTCGTAAAAAGTTGAACCGTGGCCAGAAATGACTGCCATTATTGTATAAGCTCTAAATAAGGCTTCTAACTGTTTTATGCTCCTTAATTCTCCAATACTGATTTGGTTTCTTAATTCTATAAAAAAAATATGAAGAATCAGTCAGTATCATTTTATATAACGATATAACAATATAAACACGTTGTTGGTATGTTTTATGTAACAGACATGTATTGCATAACTCGTAAGCTCCACCTGCAACTGTTCCAGGTAGTCCCAAAAATCTCAAGCATTCATTTTATTTCCCTCACCCCTTAATTTAAAAAGCAGAAATCATCAGGCCTAAAACAATATTTTGTTTAAATGAAAAAGGGGAAAAATGTCACCTGTAGAAAGCCACAGAGAAAAACATGCAAATGTTTTGTAATATCAAAGGGAAAAAATATATCACAGTACACCCCCAATGCTAGAATAAATACAGCTATTTCCGGAAGATGGCTAGAAAAATGTACCTTCTTCATCAGGGCTTTTTTGGAGAGGTCTGATATACAATAATATATTTATTGCCCATTCCAGGTGTTTAATAGCCTCACTAAGAGGAAACTGCTTGCAATACAGCCATTCTGCAAATCCTAAGATATTATCCACTTTCTTTAATTCAGATTCCTTTTTCTACATGAAAACAGTGAGCAGACATTTAGAGTAATTCTTGATGCACATTCCCTTTCAGAAAACGAAATAATGTAAATTCAGACAGTCCTTGACTTACAACAGTTCATGAAGTGACTGTACAAACATACAATGGCACGGAAAAAAAAAGACTTATGACCATTTTTCACAGTTATGACTTTTGCAGTATCCCCATGTCCATGTGATCATAATTCAGATTCTTGGCAACTGATTCATATGTATGACCATTGCTGTATCCCAAAGTCATGTGATCAACCTGTGACCTTCTGACAAGCAAAGTCAATGGGGAAGCCAGATTCACTTAACAACCATCTTACTAACTTAACAATTGCAATGATTTATTTAAAAGTGTAGCAAGAAAGGTCCTAAAGTCAGGCAAAACTCTCTTAAGAAATGTTTCACTTAAGCAACATAGAGAGTTGTGGTCGTAACTCAAAGACTAACTATATACAAAAGCCCCCATTGCTTTTAGGCAAACTGCAACGTCATATCAGAGAATCATGGAATTATAGATTTGGAAGAGATCACAAAATTAATCTAGCTGAATACTTTGCAGATTATTGGTTGCTGTAACCAAGTACTGGGGAAAAGGGAAGTATTTTTTTTAACGTCTGTCAGGACCAAAAGCCTCGATTACGTTATGTAGCAACAGGGGTATAAGCCTAATTCTTGATATATCTCTAAGATACATACAGTTTTTTCAATTTAGAGATAGTACTAGGAATTTGAACTGCAAGGTGATCAAATCAGTCAATCCTAGAGGAGATCAACCCTGACTGCTCTTTAGAAGGCCGGATCCTGAAGATGAAACTCAAATACTTTGGCCACCTAATCAGAAGGACTCATTGGAAAAGAGCCTAATGCTGGGAAAGATTGAGGGCAACAGAAGAAGGGGACGACAGATAATGAGGTGGTTGGATGCAGTCACTGAAGCAGTCAGTTGAGCTTAAATGGACTCCAGAAGATGGTAGAGGACAGGAAGCCCTGGAGGAATATTGTCCATGGGGTCACGATGGGTGGGACATGACTTCGCACCTAACAACAACAACTAGGAATTTAGAGGAAGGGAAAACTATTTAGGAATGGCATGAAAGAAACCTTTCAAAAATAAAGTTTACATCATTGACTTGGACTTTCTATTTCAGATGCCTCTAATACGCGGTACTCCAAAGATGTCTCAAGGACAGCTACTTAAGGCCATGAAAATCCTTAACCATATTAATTCTTAGGCCTCCCTGGATGTTTACGTGGGGAATCACAGAAGGCTACTAATCTTCTCCAAGGGAAGATAGGAAGTCTCTGGAGAAAGACCTATTAGTTTACTGTACCCAAAACAAGAATTAGGAATTATATAAAGCTTATATTCTTTCTACCACTGTCAGATATTGATTTTTCATCAAGAACTGCAAACTAATAGCATCTTTTAAAAAGAAGATATGTACGAACCTGTAAAACTTCAATTGCATTTTGGTAGCAGGATAATTGTCCCACAATATCAAAGGAAACAGATGCCAAACGATGCCACATATATGACATGTAGTCCTCAGTTTCATCACGGAATTTCTGGATTTCCATTATATAATTACGTCCTAGTCTTGCCTTTACCATGACCATATGCTTAAAAATTGGGCTATGAAGGAAAATGTTATTTAGTCAGTATTTATGAACGATTTAATAAGTTGACAAAGTGGTACTTCAAAACTTTTTTTTAATAAAGTACTAGTTCTGTACCTGTGCTTCACTACGAAGCTATGTGGTTGGGCTTAGTTTTGGGTGAGGAAAATAAGGGGGAAAAATTGTGCCTCTGCCTAACAGCATTCATCGATATTCATCTGGCTAGCATCCTGTCAGTGTGTGAGAGCTGAGGGCTGTTTGGAAACTGAAACAGTATTTGCTAGGTGAGTGAGGAGACAGCAAGGAGCCTGGACATGGCTTAGCTTAGCTGTTCTGTATTAAAGCTGCTTGGTGCTGTGAAACTGAAACTGAAACACCTCTGCTCTGCTTGTGTTTTGCATTTGGAACAGATTTCTTTTCAGATGGGGAGGGGGAGTAGAACTCCTTAGCATCAGAGAATGTTAATAATAATATATGAAATAGTAATGCTCTGATGGGTCATTTCGAAAAATCCTTTCTTAGTGAGCACCTAGAAGCCAAGAGGAGTATACATGTCAAATTTCAAGTTTGTAGGCTTTACCGTTCTGGAGATTTTGTGAGGATGCGTGAAAGGTATTTCGCTTTTATACATATAGATTTTAAAATCAGAAGTCACTATTTGAATTGCAGGGACATTTAGCTCCATGAAGGAATGAAGTTCATTCATATCCAAATTTTAGCATGACGTAGTGTGTAAGAAATTTAATATATCAATTTCAGGATTATACAGAGCAGAATTCCGACAATGGGATAAATACAAACTAATTTAGTATTCAAAAGAGGTTACTACAGGTTAACAGAGGCTACCTCCAAGTGCACTCATTTGTAGATTTAGTTTTAGCACTAAGTAATAGCCACATTGAGGAAAATATAGCTGTGACAACAAATCCAGTAAAAAAATTGCAACGTGGAATGTTTTAGGCAACAGTCGAGCTACAAATGCTTGCTGAAATGCAATGAGAAATCATTTTTACTTCAAGACATTGGAATGAAAAGGAAATAAATTGAGAATGTGTATGTAGGAATATGTATGTGTGACTATTAAATACTGTGACTGTACTGTATACATTCAGCTTTTGTTCAAGGCAGGAAATGTTACTGAGAAATATAGGTAGTCCTCAACTTATGACCATAATTGAGTCCAACATTTATGTTGTTAAGTGAATTTTGGCCCATGTTATGATTTTTCTTGCCTCAGTTGGTAAGTCAGTCACTGCAGTTGTTAAGTGAATGTGGCTTCTCCATTGACTTTGCTTGTCAGAAGGTCGCAAATAATGATCACATGACACCAGGACACTGAAACCATCATCAATATGCATCAGTTGGCAAGCAACTGAATGTAAATCACATGACCATGGGATGCCGCAACAGTCATAAGTGTGAAAAAAGTTCATAAGTTACTTTTTTTCAATGCCATTGTAACTTTGAATGATCACTAAGTGAACTGTTGTAAGTTGAGGACTATCTGTATGGTGCTTTGACATGAAGGAGAAATTATTTTTACTTGTTGAATAAACAAACTCAGTCACAGATTGTCTGCTATTTGTGGATATCCACTGCCTAATTTAATTGTCAAAAGAAGACTAACTTGGAGGAAACTTCTTAATAACATAGACTTTTGTTAAAGAGAAACCTTCTCTGCACCATAAAAATGGCATAAATGAATTCCAGGAAGATGACGTGTGCAGTGAATGGATATTAATAGTGTCCTGGAAACATCCCTGTTTCAAAGGACTGTCCCTTTCATTTAAACCCAGGTGTTTGGAAGTTGTCCCTAAGGAATAGGATTAATTAGAAGCTCTTAAGAAAATGACATTGGAATTCCTTCGGTTCGTGGATTATTAGAACATCTATAGATTGTATATTTCATTATGTGTAAAGAAAACTGGAGGGAAAAAAAGCAAAATTGGGGGGGGGGATAATAGATTGGGCATATTACAAGTTCTTAAGACAAGAAACGTGTCTGTCAATTCTGCATCAAAGCCCCTGCCTTCTAGAAGATTCTCTCTTCAGATATTAGGATAAGCGTGACCCTACTGGCCTTTTGTAAAGCTATGAATTATGCGCCCAGGCCTATAGCCCAAACTATATATATAGTTTTAAATGCTTTTAATGATATATGCTGCAGCAGTGGGATCCTACCTGTTCCACTACTGGTTTGATGATCGCGCGCACGCGCAGCTTTCCGCACACCAGCTGAGGCCTGCAGCGCCAATCAGCTGAGAGGATAAAGAAGAGAAAAGCGCAGGGGAGGAAGTGAGGGCCGATCCTGCACTTTTCTCTTTTTTCTCCTCTCAGTTGATCGTGGGAGGCTTTTTTTTTACTATCGGATCAGCCCAACTGATAGCAATTTTTGCTACCAGTTCGGCTGAACCGGTACCATACCACCACTGACATGCTGCCTGGTACTGTGGTATTGTGTTACTTAAGATAACCATAGCCATAGCAATGCATATTGAGTGGAATATTTTGCAAACTATCCAAGATAACTTACAGTCTGTGCTTTGTGCGAGGAAGAATCTGAATAGCTTCATCTAAAACTTTAAGGCCTGTCTCCCAGTCATTTTTGTCAGCGTGTGCTTGGAACAGTAACACATACAAGAACGTTCTTAAGGTCAAATCTTCTTCAGCACCTTTGAAATACATGAACACAATATCTCAAATATTACAAAATCTATTCAGGTAGATCATCAGCAAATATAAAGAGAATGTTTAAAAGATGAAGTGGAAAAGAACTTACCTGGAAAAAAATGCCCATCTGATGGGCTGATGCTATGAAAATCTACTGTAGGCCATTGATGCAAGTGTAACATATGGTCTGCTTCCTAAAAAAACATATGAGGTGCTGATTGTAGTGGAAGAGATGTCACTGACATTTGAACTGTTAATTTTGTGAATATAACAAAATAAACTTCTAAAATAAAAAAGGGGGGAAACCCCTGAGATAGTAGAATCTATTATCTGATGGCAGAAAATAGGAAACTATCAAGAAGAGGTTTGAAATCCTTTTCAAAATTGCCCATTGTACTGGGAAAGTCAGGTTGTCTAAAGGTAGTCAGTCATTATTTTATTATGTAAAACAATTAGTTATTAATAATTATTTATTATAATTTATTTATTTACCTTTTTACACTACAATCAGTGGTGGGATTCAAATTTTTTTACTACTGGTTCTTTGGGCGTGGCTTGGTGGACGTGGCAAGGAAAGGATACTGTAAAAACTCCATTCCCTCCCTACTCCTGGGGGAAGGTTACTGCAAAATCCCATTCCCTCTTCATCCCACTAACCTGCTTTCCAGCTCCATTCTCCTGTGCAGGACAACAAAAAAAGACTCAGCTGATCAGCTGGGACTTGGGAGGCAGAGAATAGATGGGGCGGGGCCAGTCAGAGGTGGTATTTGCTGGTTCTCTGAACTACTCAAAATTTCTACTATGGGTTCTCAGAACTGGTCACAACCTGCTGAATACCACCTCTGATTACAATGTTACATTATTATTTTCCTGGTCTGGTTTCAGTTTTGTTTTGAGTATTGGAAATCAAATTAGCTATGAATCCAGCAGGAAAGTGCTATTTCTTACCTGCTTATTTTTCGCCTCTAATGCTTTAATGATGCTCTTGAGAATGACTTCAGTAGGTGCTTTGAGATGCTGCCTGTCTGCTGAAGAACCAATGAAAGGTAAACATGCATTCCAGAAATTTCGAGCTGCTACCATGGCAAGGTTAAGATTTCCTGCTTCTCCTGCATATCTAAAAAAAATATAAATGGAAAAATATAATAAAACCACATGCCTGCTGTAGCAGGTTGTAAGCAGTAGGTAATGCAATTGCAATGATTCTGATTAACCACCTTCTTAGATATATTTCAACATTAAGGCACTGGATTTTTTTAAATTAAACGGCTTATCCATTAATAAAAATTAGGTTTATGTTTTAATTTTTCTTTTCATCTATCTCTCAATCTCTCTCTCTCTCTCTCTCTCTCTATCCATCCATCCATCCATCCATCCATCATCCATCCATTTATCAAAATCATACAACAGAGATAATTTTTAGTAATTAATCATCCCTGAGATTTTGTCTTCTAAAATAATTTTCTACTGACTCATTAAAAAAAACCCAAGAGTATATATACAGTTATGAATACACCCTTGTAATATTTCCTATACATAATAAAATCCCAAAATTCTCCAATGAATTTCATATAAAGTTAATGGTTTACGTTTCTGTTGTTGTAACAAGTTAGCAATTATTATTTAATTATCCTGATTAGCAAAGTAAACAAGTATAATATATTTATTTAAGCCAATTTCTTAGTTCCCTCCAGAACTTGCTGTTTGTTGGATGCTGACAACAATTATCAAGATTATTTATAGGTTTTACATGTACATCTCAATGTCAATACAAATAGTAAAGCTTTCATTCTCTCTTTCTTTTTCAGTACCGTGATAAATGTTTAATAATATTAGGTGATGTTTCTCTTCCCAAAGAATCAAGTAGTCCATAATTACAATCAACTCCCATTATTATTTTCTATTCTCAGGAGATTCTACATTCTTACAGATTAGTTTGTTATGCTTATTATGCCATCTGTTCTTAATTTCATCAGTTTCCCTTTGGTGAATCTAATGTAAAAAAAAGTTACATTAGCAAATATTTTTCCTTGTGTCAAAATTTATGGGGTGACCTGTCTCTTGCACTCCATTTATGAAGTGCAGTTTTATTTTAACAACACTTCAAAGATTTCTGAAACTGTTTCCTGTCAATAAACGTTATTAAGTTTGCGTTTGTTTCTGAAATAAAAACATTTGGGGCAATGTTTAAGGTGCTGGATTAGAAACCAGGGCATTGTGAGTTCTAGTCTTCCTTTAGGCATGAAAGCTGACTGGATGATTTTCAGCTGGCCATTTGGTCTCAATCCAACCCACCTCACAGGGTTGTTGTGGAAAAAGAAGAAGAAACGGAGGCATTATGTACAATTTTAGAAATTTTGTATTGACTAAGCCAATTACTTTTCAATATTCTATACTGAAAATGCAAATTTTTAAAAGCTAGTAGCTCCTAAACTTTATCCATGTCCTAAATATATATTTTGATTCAATTTTTAATATTTTTATATTTAATCTTTTGACCTATTTTTATATTTCATTGAAAGTTAAAAGTTTTAATTTTATCTAAAGTTATCAAAAGTCACAAGACAAAATTTCATCCCGGTTTATTTTTTAAAATTCAATATGAGATCTTTCCTGCAACTTGCTAATGGTTGAGAGACAGAAAGGGAAATTAAGGGGAAAAAAATAAGAACCAAGGTTTCTACTCCTGAAATAGTTTGATACAACTTATATTACTTCATTGTTAAATGGTTAAATGAGGAGGTGCACTCTATTCTTTATGAGTGACACCTGTACGATAATGCTCAATGTTAATGAAGTTTCTGATTTTATTAGTTTATTTCAGTGCTTTCAATACACAGTTGCTATTTGCCTGGGATTTATACATTTGCTGGTGTTCATATTCAGATTTCATTAAAATAAATAAAGATATTTTTTAAAAGAAATACAACATACCTTGCACTTTCAACAAATGATTTTGATGCTGTAACCCGCAAATGTTTTTTGCCAGCCAGGTTTTCCATTATACTCTTCCCTTGAGTACAAGAAGCAATACTCAGCATTTCTTGTCTGGCACTGTAATCACTTCTGCATAAAGAAGTCAAAAGCTAACTTTAGACTAATAACTCCGATTTCAAGACCCTGCCAGAACAGAGCAATCTGCCACTCTGCAGGAATTGAGAAACAGACAATCAAAACTTTCCATTCTCCCATTTGGGCTGGATTAGGAGGGGATAATTTTTTATTTAAAAAACCACTTATCATTTTATCAGCTAATGTCATAATGTGTATTGTTTTGTTTAATTCTTTGTACAAAGAATCTCAGATGAACTAGATCGTCCTCACTATACAATGGTTTGTTTAGTTACTGTTATTACAACAGAGCTGAAAAAAGTGACTTACTACCATGTTTCATGTTTATGCACCTTAAAAAAAGCATGGAGAAACTGTGACAGGTTTTAGAGGACAACTAAAGGAGTCTGAAGAAGCTGTAGCAGGTTTGAAGGACAATTAAAGGATGATATGGAATCTGAAACTAAAATCTATGAAGATTAGTTAAAGAAGATAAGCATAGTTAGCTTGCAAAAGACTGAGAGGATTTTTTTTAAAAAAAACAGACAAATGTGTATTTGTTCTCTGTTGAAACAAACAAAAAAACGGATAAGAACCAATAGGCTGAAAACATCAATTGAACATTAAATATATTAATATATTTAATATATTAAACAATGGAACAGTCTGCCTAGAACAATGAACCTCTAGTTGATGAAGATTTTCAGAGTCTGGATGGCCAGTTGTCAGGAAGGGTTTACTGATTCCTGCACTGAGCAGAAAAGCAGACTTGACATCTTATATGGTCCCTTCTAACTTGGACTTTTAGTCTGAATCTTGCTTTCATTTTAAGATATCGCCAGTGCAATATTGCACTACTATACACCATGTGGAATTGGCAAAAATTGGCATTATTGTACATCAATATAATGGTATAATAACTGTATCCATTAGAGGTCAGTATTGCTCTATTTACTGTAATTCCTTTCTTTTTAAAAAATGTCTGAAACTAGTTTTCCTCCAATTACTGATATTTTAATGGAAAGATTCATGATGTATTAAGATGATAAAATGAAAAACCCTCTTGGGTTTAAGATGAATTTTAAAAGTTATAGAAATCTGGAGATACTTTCCATCTAAAAATTTAACTGAAAGCTTCAAAGCATTTCACACAAAATAATATTAAAGACCAAAATATGAAAATAACACTGTGGAGTTCAGAGAAATCAACTGTTACAGCTGGTATGAGGTGGGTTCTAACTAATAGTAAGGTGCTTGGTAGTGGGACATAAGATATCAGAGTTTGTTTCTGCATCTCATACCATCACCTGAATAAATTAATTCCTCCTTTTTTACCTCTGGTTAGCAAACTAGGAGGGCCATTTGGACATCTACAATCCTATCTAGAACTCTAAAAGAAGCCTGAATTCACATCACCTAAATATGGTGGCAAAATGACTGTGCGGAACATCACAATTCTTCCTTCTTTTGAAAAGAAGGCATTTTTAAGACAAAGGTTATGTCATGCAGATTGCTCCATTACCCTCAAATCATGTGAAGAATGGTCCCACTCTTTCCAATAAGATCCCCATTTCAGGAGCTTGGTTTAAATGACAATCACTACAAACATGGTAGGGAAGGCAAACCAGATCCCATACTTACTCAAGTTCTTATACTAGCTTCAAATTCTGATCGTGATTCCTTGAAACCTAACGACCTTAATCCAAGGCAGTGCTGGTAGGGACACAATATTTGTTTAAAACGAAATAGGGATCATTGTGAAGAGTTTTTTTTTTAAAGGGCTGGATGGAAACCTGTAGCTAAGAGATCAGCTTTTTTTATATCGGTACTTCTCTCTAGGCAAGAATTATGCAAGTTTTTTTTTAAATAAATCAGTATGTAAAGATGACTTGTCTACTTACATTCCTTTTTTCTTTGGATCTGTGATAAATGGCATTTTATCTAATTCCAAAATCTTCTGAAAACAAGTTATCACCAGTTCATGGTCATGGAGATTATGTGCAAAATGCATAAGTCTGGTCAGGGTCTGAAGCTGCACAAGCGAGTCTGACCAACTGCATTCCAGAGCCATTTTTACCAACTACAAGTAAGTGGATAAATATGTGGTCATGAATTGATAACACTAATTTTTAGCACATCCAGTCTACCATGTTTCAGAATAATGACTTGTACATTTTTGTAAAGAATGGCTTAGGGGGAAAGAAATGGTACTGATGCAGTAAGTGCTTGGGAATCTGCATTGCAGATCATTAACAATCTCATATAGGTGTTTATAATTACCATAAATCAAACAAATTAGAGAGATGAGCCAAGTAAGAAGTACTTGGAATGTATCTCCTTTGAATTTTATTCCAGTTTTAAAAAGGATAAAATGTTTTCAGATTTTTTAAAAAATCCGTATTTTTTAAGAGGTTCAAAATATTGATAACATGTAAAACCACTCTCCTGATTATCTGAGTCATGGAAACTCGAGGGATGTTTAATTCCTTTATGGAAGAGAAAAGAAAAAAGAAAGGGGAAATATCCCTTTTCTACTACCCCATCTGTATGAGAGTGTGATTACAATCAGACCATGGTTCTGATGATACTAACATTTATTAGAACCTTGGTCTGATTGTACTGTTTATACTACTCATCTGACTGGAATCTTTTGCTCTTTTCACCCAGATCTTTTATTTCCTTATCCTTCACACCTATTCTTTGTATTCCAAAAAAGCTTTGATTAACCTGAACCACAGTAAAGTAGCAGTCTCAGAAACTGAAGTTTAATTCTCCTTCATATATTTAACGTGAATGTTTGTTAAGCACATTCTGTTCGTGGGCACACTACATACGTAGAAGAATAATTAATGTTTTGGATGTGCCACTGTGTTTTGAGTTTGACGTGGCTTTCTAACCAATTTATAAAAAGCTACGACTGCTACTGCTCTTATGACAAAAGGAGGAAGAGGATGAAGAAGTACATATATATACCTGAGACAAATTGGGAAGTAAAAAGTCCATAAGGCTCAAACCATTGCAGGAATACATTTCCAGGCCAATAAAAACTTTTGTCATGGGACTTGTCCCATCATCATTACTCTGCAGAGAAAGAAACACTGATTCAACAAAGAACAAGGCATCATATTAAATAGGTACAAATATACATTTTTCTAGAAGTTTGCAGGTTAACGACAAACACAGGCTCAACCTAACTTCTCTAATATGTTTCATAGAACAATCTATCATGCGAAATGACTGAACGGGGAAACATTTACCTTTTTTTATACTGTATGTGTGAAAGAATGAGAATAGGACAACTTGCTGCAGCCAACTTACTGCGGCCACCTCACTATAACCAACTTACCATAGCCAACTCACTGCAACCAACTCACCGTGGACAACTCACCATGGACAACTTGCTAAGGGATAACTTGCTAAGGGACAATTTAAAAATTCTATTTAATTATTTACAATAAATAAAGATTAATTTAATTTCTGCCATTCACATTTCATTCTGTCCCTTCCTTTGCATCCTTTCTTTAATGATTCTATTCCATCAATTCTTTGATATTAGCATAAGTCTTGTCCCACAGTGAGCTGTCCTGCAGAGAATTGGCCATGGCAAGTTGGCTGTGAGTTGGCTGTGGCCATTTGGCTATGGCAAGTTGGCCATGGTGAATTATCATAGACCCTGTGAGAATAGAGCCATGCCCAAGATCTACTATCTATCTATATACAATGAAATTCCCAGACTGGAGTTCTGTTCTTCAAACTAGTTCTCCCTGGTGTTAGAGGCTAAACAATTTGATGCTCACAAGCAGCATTCAATCTCTGAAATCCCCTTTGTGGCAGCCACCTCGTCATACTTTCCTTCGGTTCTGAAGAGAGAAACGCTAAAGCATGGCGTATGCACTTATATTAGGCTTAAGGCAGGGTAGAGTTGATTTAAATCAACTCAATTTAAATCGTAATTTTTAAAGAACAACTGTCACCTCTGACTTGTAGCAGCTCCTCCTCTGACCCGCTGTTGACTCACTGACAGTTCCAATATTGCAGAATATATAGCAGGGGTGGGATTCTACCAGTTTTGTCCACCTCTGTAGAACCAGTAGTTCTGAAGAGCAGCAGACAGAGAACATATATAGAACCAGTTCTATGTCTGCTGCTGTTTTGGCCCACCCGCCCGCCTGGACTCTTATCTGACCTTTATTTCCTGCTTTTTCAACCGCAGCTGCTTTGTGTGCAACAGCTGTGGTTAAAAAAGCAGGAAAAAGGGCTTTTCCAACCGCTGAGCACTTGCACGCAGCGCTGCTCAGCTGTCCGGGCAGCACAGAAGGTCATAAATTGCACTCGCACGATGCAGAGAGACAGAACCGGTAGTTATACCGGTCGGATCCCATCCCTGATATATAGCCTCATGCTACATAACTAAGCTCCATTTCATGCTGAATAAACTAAATTATTAATGTATATTAAATGGAAAACTATCTTTAGATTTTTACTCCAACAGCATTTTATTAAAATAAATTTGATCAAAATTAAAAAAACTGATTTAAATTAAAAAATCACCAATTTTTATCCACCCTGGCTTTAGGTAATTTATAATACAAGAACACCCCGCCCTTCCCCATATTCTGTGTTAGAAAGCACTGATACCTCCTCCTCAGATCCATGCCACCTCACAATCTGTTGCTGAAGTAATTGTTTGGCTTTTACCCAAGTTGCAATAACTTGTTGACGTACAGCAATAGGCACAGGCTCATCAGGTGCACTTCCATTAGGTAAACGCATAGCAAATTCACAGACCTTAAAGAAATTATGTTATAAATGCTATCTTAAAAAAAAAAAAACTAAAGCAGAAGCATATGAACAAATTTTGGGGAGCATGAGATGGAGAAATAAACATCTTTTTTACTGTTAAAAAGCTCTTCCATCAAATAAACTAGAATTGTTGGTTTGCCAATAAATAACTACATTTGTTTGTTTGTTTATCCATCCATCCATTTTATATGGCAGCCAATGTCAATAAGTGACTCCAAGCAGCAAACAGAATTAAAATAAAACAACAACTATGACAAACATTACTGAAATACAAAGCATCCAAGAAACATCCACCCAAATCCCTTATACAACCAAGAAGTGGGTCTTTGCACACACTTGGGGCCTCAGGCTCGGGCACAGAACCAGGTCTTTAGGACCTTATGAATGTCCAGCAAGGTTGGAGCTTTCCTGATCTCTGGAGGGTGAATTTTCCATAAGATAGGTGCTATGGCAGGAAAGGCATGTCTCCTTGGTCCACCAAGAGGCATTCTTTAGCCAACAGGACTCTAAGCAAGCCACTGGGCTTGATCAGACTAAATGATAGAAACAACTGAGAAAAGACATGGGCCCTCAAATAACCTGGTCCTAAGCCATGAAAGGCTTTAATGGTGCTTTAACCAGCATCTTGAATGGCATACGAAAGCATACTGGCAGCCAATGCAGCTCATGGATAGTGTTGTTACATGTGAACAAATAACTAATGCCATTGAAGGCATGTGTTGCTGCATTCTGCCCAAGTTGAAATTTCTGGTTGCCACCTGCTCTTTGAGTTCAGGACTCCCAGATTACCCACCAGGTCTATCTGAAGCAGTGCCACTCATGGAAGGTTCTCAGCACAAGAATGTCCAAACACCCAAAGCCACTCAAGTCTTGCTTGATTTAAATAAAAGTTCCAATTTTTAAGATTTGTAGATACATTTCCTCATTCGGCCCTTTCTCCTGCTTCCAACAAAAATGCTTACATATTCCATGAAAGAAAGAACACACATCAAAACTGTAGCTACTTTATTCAATCAACCTCTGATGAACAGTCAACCATACATCTTCAATCTGCTCACATAGGTTGAAACAGACATTTAATCATGAATAGTTTATTGTCTCATAGAAAATCACTATGATAAGAAATATACCTCTACGGCTGCTTTAATATCATGGATTCCAGCTGGATCCACAGGTGTAATTAAAGCAGTGAATGATTTATCATGTCCTTTTAAGGCAGTCTTTTTACGCTTGGCGGGCCCTTCCTCATTAAGTTTCTTTTCATCCGTTTTGGAAACAATTTTGGGAATCCAAGGAAGAATCAGCCCTCTTGCCAGAGCATTGCATAATGTTACTAAAACAGTAGTATTCCTGAAACAAAACAAAAGAGAAATTGTTTAAAGTTAATATTATACATAAGTGCTTTACTGTGCCAAATTAAGATACACATTCATTAATACCAAACATGTAACAGATATGCTAACATATCTGTTACGTTAGTTATGTATTTATTTGGTTTAAGTAGATCGATCCTCAGATTACAAGTCTCTGAATACTGCCTATTTGTACAGCCTTCCATAATTAGCATTTCTATTTCCAGTTATATCTTAGTGTTCCATCCCCATCATGTACACTCAACAGACCTAATATACTGCCCATAGGTACAAAAAGAAAAAAAGAAACTCCATCATGTAGAAACCAGTATAGACAATTTTACAATAAAAAGTAGTATATTACAACTGAGGAGGAAATTGTTTAGCTTATTATTCCAAAAAACTGCTCCTTCTTTCAGAGTACTTCATCAATAGTGAAAGAGGAAAAAACACACTTAGAAAGTGCTTTAACCAAAAAGTGAGGAAAAAGAAAAAAAATAGTATGATAATCATTGTAACAATAATCGTTTATCACCTGTGGGATATAAGCTGAACAAATAAATAAACTATAGCCCTAAAGAAATGAATGTAGCAAATACTAAGTCCAATTCATTTTTTAGCCAAAAAATGGGTGAAGAGGGAGAGCTGGCTATAATAAAATATCTAGGAACCCTCCTTTATCGATATCAAATAAAATCTATATGCTGGTGTAAGTCACTTAAATGTTTGGATGCAGATGTAATTCAACTTTTAAACAGCAATTAAAGAGCAGTAGCATTTTGGATGAACACAAAGTATTTTCTTCCTCTTGAGTAATTAATTAGAACCTGGGAAATAATTTGGGGATTGAAAAAACAGGAAAGCTCATCTTTCTTTTCCAGACTTAAGAGTCTAGAAATAGAAAGACATTAGACCTATCCAATATTTTAAAACACTGCTCATAAATAAAATAGTGAGTTAAAAAATGCTTGGACTTCACCTTAACCTTGCTCTGACTCTATAGGTGAATCTGCTCATATAGATAGGAAAACAGTGAGTGATTTATGTCCAAACTCTCAGTTTGCTTTAACTGGGATATAGCATTATTTTAATGGTATGCTATGTAAAATAATGAAGATAGTTCTCCTCAGTCATCTTGAGCCAAGAACTCTATTCCAGCTCTATTCTTATGCATCAAACTAAAATTCTGGACAGGGAAGAGGGGGCAATGGTTTTCTGCCAGATTATATAGAACTATACTGAGCCCTGATGCTTATTATCTCAGTTGATAATAGATAATAGATAATCAGAGTTGGAAAGGACCTTATAGGTCATCTAGTCCAACCCCCCACCCAAGCAGGAGACCCTACACCAGGCTTGTCCAACCCGTGGCCCACGGGCCTCATGCGGCCCAGGTCGCCTCGTAATGTGGCCCAGTGCCCACCCCAACCTTTGTGCCAGAGCCAGCGAGGAGGAGGAGGAGAGGCAGGCGCGAGGCGGGGCGAGGCGAGCGCCAGGCCAAGCAGCAACAGAAAAGGCGAGTGCTGTCAGAGCGCCACCTCCTGCTGTTGCCGCCGCCGCTACCGTCGCCGCTTCTGCCCCCGCCGCCGCTTCTGCCCCCGCTGCCACTTCTGCCCCCGCCGTCGCTGCCGCTTCTGCCCCTGCCGTCGCTGCTGCTTCTGCCCCCACCGCCACTGCCCCCCCGCCACTTCTGCCCCCACCGCCACTGCCACTTCTGCCCCCACCACTGCTGCTGCTTCTGCCCCCACCGCGACCCCCGCCGCCGCTGCTGCTTCTGCCTTCCAGTCCTGCCTCATCCAGCTGGGCCATTTGCAGGAGGAGAGGTAGGCGCGAGGCAGGTGAGCTTTCTCCCCCCCCCACAAAATTTGGCCGGAAAATAAACCATGATAAAAAAACGTGATAAAAAAACCATGATAAAAAATAAATAATTTTTAATAAATAATTAATAATAAAAACATCTCACTAACTTCATTTCCAAATAAATTTAATATGTTAACTATGTTTTCTATGGGTTTTTTTGGATGATCAGGTATCGTTACTGTTATTTTATTTTATGTGCGGCCCAAACCAAATTTTCATCTTCTAATGTGGCCCAGGGAAGGTGAAAGGTTGGACACCCCTGCCCTACACCATTTCGGACAAATGGCAGTCCAATCTCTTCTTGAAAGTCTCAAGTAATGATGCTCCCACAACCTCTGAGGGCAAGCTGGTTGATTGTTCTCACTGTCAGAAAGTTTTTCCTTATTTCCAGGTTAAATCTCTCCTTGTTCAGTTTCCATCCATTATGCTTTGTCTGGCCTACAGGCGCTTTAGAAAATAGCTTGACCCCTTCCTCTCTATGGCAGCTCCTTAAATATTGGAAGACCGCTATCATGTTTCCCCTGGTCCTTCTCTTCACTAGACTAGCCATGTTAGTAGGAAGAAGTAATCTCTCTTGAATTAATGAGGCAAATCTGGATGTTGGCATATCTTGGATACCTTGCAAAATATATAAACACAAGCCTTTTAATTTGTTAAACATATGGAAGCAAGGAAAAGAATTACTAGCATTTCTGAGGAACTCAGAATTTAACCTTTTGTAAAAGAACAATTTCACAATAAATAATTTAAAAGCTGCAAATTAAACTATCAGATAAGTAGCTTAGCAGAAACCACTTATGAAGCAATTTACTGGAGCAGAAGCTGTTGTTAATTTACATAGCATTATGTATTCAGGATATTGGCTCACTGTCAGCCAATGTTAGATTTGAGATACTGAGTGCTTACAGATTAACATCAAAATGGTAATGTCTCATAGACAGTTAATAGTTTTTGAAATTCAGCATCAGACACCACCTTTTACAACTTTCATGACAAACTACCAGCTTGAAATATCCTGGAGATAAAAATAACAATTTACCCAGATCTGCCTTTCAATGAACTAAATTTAAGAAAATATTTTGATTTGGAATATATTTCAGCAAGAAATAGGATTGTATCCAACAATGTTCTATCTTTTAATTTGGGGATGAAAATTCTTCTTTTGTGGTTCTCAAAAAATCTGTGCTTATCAGATAAATAACGAACTTCCTATTTTTCTTTTTCTTTTAACAGTTGTTGCTGTAGGAGTATAGAACTTATTTTTTTATTTTATTTCCAAATATGGAGAAGTAACTTAAACCAAACTGGACTTATAAGTAGAGATCTTCCTTCCTTCCTTCCTTCCTTCCTTCCTTCCTTCCTTCCTTCCTTCCTTCCTTCCTTCCTTCCTTCCTTCCCTTCCTTCATTTCCTGTTTAATGTTAGTATACTAGCAGTACTAGGATATTGGTAGTTGGATACTTACTTTTATATAATTTTTGTTTTATGTTCAATTATGTTTAGTTTAGATCCATATTCATTATTTAAATATTTTCTATTTATGTTTCTGTTGCTTATTCAGCCTAGTACAACATAAGATGTAAAAAGTGGGAAAAAAAATTTTGTCTACATATTGGCATGGTACTTACAGTAATCAGCTGGAATATAAACAGTTTCAGATTGAAAAGAAAGGAGGGACGAGATGAAAAAATTATAACCAGGTATTATGCTGCAAGAAAGACATATTCCCTTGGCTTCTAAGGAGGCCTACAAATATTGCAAATTAGCAGGTGTTTATTAAGGGGGAGTCAGACATCCAATAGTCCTTTTTACTTTTGCTCATTTATCTATTTTTTTTCAACACAAACACACAGGATTTCAAAATTGTCGAATTTTAATATTTCAATTAAAATAAGATTTTAATATTAAGTAATCAGCTTAAGATCAAAACCTCTATAATGCAACAAAAACCTTTTTATGCTCAAGTTCTAAACTCAATTCCTAAATTGTAACCAATTAGAATAGAACATTTTTCTTTCTCTCCTCTCTTCTCAATACTCTTAGCTATTTAAATAACTGAATGCTAATAATCTTATATATATATAAATATATATACTTATCATAAATGAAACAATGCAATATACAGTAATGAAAAGGGGGGAACTAAAATTATTCATGCAAATATATGTATTAAAAATGTTTGTATCACAATCAGACAAAATAATACATAGCATGAGAGATCTGACCAGTTAAGGATCTACATTGTGAAAAAACACCCAGAGTATCTTCAGCCAGCAATAATAACAAATGGAATACCTATACTAGCTTCAAATTTTTCAAAATGGAAAACTATAAATGGAGAACTATAAAGGCTTGCCTTAGTAAAAAAGATTCACCTGTTAACATCATTGTTACGAATCGAAAACCAACAATGTTCTTACATCAAAAGCCCATTAAAGGTTGCACTTTCCTATTATGAACCTTAAAAACGTCAAACATCCAACTAAACTCTTGTAGAACTTACCCAAAGTTTCCAATATTCTTTACAGCATTGAAAAGAATTTGAAAGGGTTCGACAAGTTCTCTTTGCCGTTTCGAAATAATCAGATGCTTATTGTGATTTAACACATACACCACAGTGTTGTGAACAATCCAGGCTTCATTTAATTCCTCTCCAATTCTGACAGCTCGCAGAAAGTTTTCCATAGCGTACTGAGATAACCGTTTTATCCAGTTGCTTAACAAGTAGAAATTTGAATTATTAAATTGCCAAAAAGAAAAGGAAACCAGAAAACAACCCATTGTGTATATTGTGTATATCAGGAAAATAATTATTTTTTTTCAATCTATGAAATGTAACTATTTTCAAATAATGTACCATCATAAAGTTCTTCTACAGACTAGCCTTAAAATTTCTCTTTCCTCGGATGTCTTTTGGATATCTTAAAAACGTAACATTATCTTCTCCTACATTTACACAATATAAACTTGCATACATGTATATATACGTAATTACCCTAACTTTCATACCGAGTATTATTAATAGTTCATCTCATTAAAAATCATGCAAATAAAGAGGTCAGTCAGTCAGAGGTGGTATTCAGCAGGAACTGAGCAGTTCTGGAGAACAGATAGCAGAAATTTTGAGTAGTTTGGAGAACCAGCAAATACCACCTCTGACTGGCCCCACCCTCATCTATTCTCTGCCCCCCGAGTCCCAGCTGATTGGCTGGGTCTTCTTTTGTTGCCCTGCACAGGAGAACGGACCTGGAAAGCAGGTTAGTGGGTGGGGTGGGAATGGGGATTTTGCAATATCCTTCCCCTGCCACACCCACCAAGCCACAGCACGCCCACGAAGCCACACCTACAGAACCGGTAGTAAAAAATGTTGAATCCCATCACTGCAGTAACATCTTGATTACTGCGGTTCTAACAGGGCAAAACTTTTACTGATATGACATTTTCAGGAGTTTGAAGAGAGGAAGCAAGAAATCATTGCTTTTCAGTTGCAAGGCCAAAGTTGTAGGGCAGCTTCACAGTAGAGATCAGGCTATCCCCCCCTTTGCTGATATTATAGAAGTTGTTAAAGATGGAGTTGTTACAGAACCACAATTTATCATTTTATTGTAGCATATTTAGCTTTTATTTTTATTCTATTTTTATTGTTGTGCAATAATGTTTGGGTGATCCTTATAAAATTGCTTTCATGGAAGTCTGTACAATCAATGTTTTAAATGTTTTTATATTACCTGTAAACTGCGAAAGTCTTTGATAGTGGTGCTATAGTATTGTTAAAATAAATTTGCTACTTCCTGTTCTAAGGTTCTTAGAACAGTAAGTGTAATCTTACAAAATTTACTTCAACTTCCAGGCACCAGGGGAGGGGAGACTAAGGGGAGACCGTGGGGTTTCCTGCTTGGGTGGGAGGAAGATTGGACAGGAAGATCTCCAAGGTCTGTATGTATGTAACTCACCGCAACGGGCATAAGTGTGAAAAATGGTTATAAGTCACTTTTTTCAGTGCCATTGTAACTTTGAACAGTCACTAAATAAACTGTTGTAAGTCGAGGACTACCACTGCTACATATCCAGATTTTGAAAGAAATATGTACTTGTTCAAAATTCAAAACACCAATTACAAGTAGTCTCGACTTATGACCGTGACTGAGCCCAAAATTTATGTTGCTAAATGAGACATATGTTAAGGGAGTTTTGCCCCATTTTATGACTTTTCTTGCCATAGTTGTTAAGTGAATCACTGCAGTGGTTAAGTTAGTAATCTTGTTGTTAAGTGAATCTGGCTTTCCCATTGACTTTGCTTGTCAGAAAGTTACAAAAGGTGATTACATGACCCTGGGACACAGCAACAGTCACAAGTATGAACCAATTGCTAAGTATCCGACTGTTGATGATGTGACCCTTGGGACACTGCAACAGTCATGTCAAAAATGGTCATAAGTTACTTTTTTCAGTGCCATTGTAATTTTGAACAGTCACTAAACAAACAAACACACACACACACACACACACACACACACACACACAAACACACACATGGTATTCAGCTTGGTTTAGGTATTTTCCCACGTCTTTATAATTGCGCTTTTAAAGTTGTAGCGCCGTTTTGGCAGAATCTCATCCGCCATCATCAGGCTCGTGTATTGGGTTCATCTTCATCGTGTGTGACAGGCTTTGGCAGCCATTTCTGTTTTAAATTTTGGTGCTAGCCTCATACTTTTTTTGAATGGTTTTTTTCTTCATCCTGATTGGTTGAGTCTTGGTCTTGGAGTTCTGTGTTCTGCTTTCTAATACCTTCTGTCAGTTTTGTAGCATTTTTCTGTGTTGATTGTTCGGGAAAATACTCGAAGCAAGCTGAATACCATACATTTAATACCCACAAAAACATAAGAAAACAAATATATATCTATATCTATTTATATCTAACTTTAACTTTATTTACGTCTTTGAAAGCATTTTTAAAAAATCAAAGCAGATAACAGTGCTTCAAAACAACCTGTATATATTCCAGTCGGATTCTTTTCCATTTCTTGTTGAAAGTTGAGAGTATCCTGAAACATGTGTATTTGCTTCTACAGGGAGGACAGGATAATCATTGAGCTTGACACCTTCTGTTCTTAATAATTGAATTGTAGCCTAAATACAGACACCAGGAGAATAAAAAACAACTATCAAGGTACGAATATAAAAAGATCAAAACTGCATACATTTCTTAGTGATAGACACTGACTATTCTTATTCTTATGTTTTCTTATTATGCACAGGTGCCATAGCAAAGCTAAAGCTGGATTTTCACTTCTCAATTTCATTGCTTAGACCAGTAGAAAAAAAACCCTTCCATTATTAATTTTAAATTGGCTTCCAGCATATTCATTCTGATCCTGGAGGTTTGGGGTTTATTTTCTTTCATTTGGTGGATATTTCAGGATATAAATCCATCACTTTATCCTAAAGGTGAGTTTCAACAAATCAGTTCTTCATATTCACATATCACAGGAAACCAAATTGGTTGAAAAAAATGTAAGTGAAAGGGATTTTTTAAAAGAAAGATTTATTATTAATCTATTATATTTGAATGAAGCCTATATTATGACAAAACAAGAATTTTAGTCTTTGTTTCTTAATATAAAGTGCAATAGAAGCTTAATTTCAGTTGTATTCTCAGATGCATTATTTATGAGTAGTCCAATGCTAGGAAAAAAATTACTCAGTTATAAAAGCTCTTATGCAGACTGTATAGCAATGGAATTTGCATTCTACACATATTGGTATGTAACTCCAGTTTGGACTAGTGGTTAAGGCATAGGGCTAGAAAGCAAGAGGCCATGAGTTCAAGTCTCACCATGGCCATGGAAGCTAGCTAGGTGACCTTGGCCCAGTAATACACTCAGTCCAACTCACCTCACAGGGTTGTTGTGAAGAAAATAGGAGGAGGAAGGTGTGTTGGATATATTGGTCACCTTGACTTCTTTGTAAAAATAATAACGGCGGAATAAAAATAAATGGATAATTTGTCTGTTGCTGGTCACACTGAATGGGACTTCTAGGAGCTGGTGTAGCAAAATCAGAAGTATTCTGATACTTCTGTTTTTTATACCAGAAAAGATTTTTCCTTATATGCATAACATGTAAAATCTTATGATGATATTAAAGTTTTCATTTTCCTGTGTCCCAAAACAGTCAGTCTGAAAAACACGGTCCCCATGAAACAGTACTTAAGAGAATTAAAAAAAAAAATTCCTTTATTTCAAAACTACATGCATAAAGGTTATGAACATTTTTTTTTACTATTGGCCAGAGTTTCTCAGAGGCCCTTCCCCCATAAAAAGCTGCCATATGTAAAGAAGCTAGAATAAGGAAGATCAGCATCCTGTACCAAATGCACAAAAGGATCTTAAAACTACGGTATCTCATAGTTGCATAATTTACTAACCTCTGCATTAATACATCTTACTTCTGCTAAGGTTCTAAGTAGATCTCTTTCTAAAGAAAATACTTTCATAGGCACTGGTGACTCTCCTAATACATTTCCTTCAGGCTCATCAGCTGTTGTACTTATACTAGCTTTCTTCTTCATTACTAAAAGACACATAAAATGCATTAGTTTAATAACTTTTTGTGTGATCATTTAGTGAAACTTACAATTTAGAAATTCTCTGTGAAAGATTGGCTAACTTAAAATTTGAAAAAAACACTGTTCTGTGGGTTAGAAGTGGTAGGTTATGCAGGTAGTCCTTGACTTACAACAGTTCATTTAGTGACCCTTTGAAGTTACAACGGGACTGGAAAAAGTGACTTATTATTCTCATTTTTCACACTTATGACTGTTGCAGCATTGCCATGTCCATGTGATCAGAATTCAGACGTTTGGCAACTGACTCATATTTATGACGGTTGCAGTGTCCCAAAGTCATGTGATCCCCTTTTGTGACCTTGTGAGGTCACAAGCAAAATCAAGGAGGAACCCAGATTCACTTTATAACCATGTTACTAACTTAAGGAGCCTCAGTAGCGCAGTGGTTAGAGTGCAGTACTGCAAGCTACTCCTACTGCAATTTGGCAGATCGAATCCCACCAGGCTCAAGGCTGACTCAGCCTTCCATCCTTCCGAGGTGGGTAAAATGAGGACCCAGATTGTTGGGAGCAATAGGCTGACTCCGTAAACTGCTTTGAGAGGGCTGTAAAACACTATAAAGCGGTATATAAATCTAAGTGCTATTGCTATTGCTATTAACAACTGCAGTGATTCACTTAACAATTGTGCAGGAAAGGTTGTAAAACTAACTTAACAAATGTCTCACTTAGCAACATAAATTTTTAGGTTCAAATATGGTCAGAAATTGAGGACTGCCTGCATAAGAGGGCAAAAGCAAATCCAATAACAATTAGATGGGCACAGAGAGTTTCTTACATTGTATCTCTGCTGCAATCTAATATTCATGTGGAATTCTGTAGCCCAGATCATATTAGCAATGCTATTCTAAGGCAATCTAAATTGCTGACATCCAAACTAAATTATTAAATTTCCACATCCCATTGACTAAAAGAAGAAGCACTTTTAGCAGTGGTACTAAAATTTTCATCTTCCCTTGTGACAAGAATAAACTAATGATGGTGATTAACAGCACGAAACCAACATTTTCAAGTGATGATTTCAAAAAACAGTCAGGGCAAGACATACGTGCATGTACATCTAGTAAATGAATAACCTCAACAAACAAATAAATAACCCCAGATCTTTTTGTATCTAACTCCTGCTTAAATCTTCATAATCTTAACATAAAACATCTGCCAGGAGAGTTAGGTAAGTACACCAGAACTCTTGCTAATAGTGAGGAAACCTGATAACGTCTTTAGGAGCATCTACATATTTGAAACAGTAAAGACAAACACTAGGATGTATATTCCAAATACTCTTTTATTGCTTTGATTGGAAACTACAAGGCAGTCCTTGACTTATGACCACAGCTGAGCCCAACATTTATGTTGTTAAGTGAGACATTTGTTAAGTGAGTTTTGCTTCATTTTACAACTTTTCTTGCCACAGTGGTTAAGTGAATCACTGCAGTTGATAAGTTAGTAACCCGGTTGTTAAGTGAATCTGGCTTCCCCGTTGACTTTGCTTGTCAGAAGGTCACAAAAGGGGAATCACATGACCCCCGGGACACTGCGACCATCATAAATATGAGTCAGTTGCGAAGTGTCTGACTTTGGATCATGTGACCGTGGATATGCTGCAATGTCGTAAGTGTGAAAAATGGACATAAGTCACTTTTTTTCAGCCCTGTTGTAACTTTGAACCATCACCAAATGTAAGTTGAGGACTACCTATATTTTCCCAGAGGTTGAGCACTTTGATTTGATAAAAGGGCTCGGTATCTCCAATGACCCTGAGTTTGATGCTAGAAGAAGATGAGCTCTCAATTGGATCATCAGTCCTGGAAAGACTGACAGAGAAGGGCAAGGGGAAGAATGAAGCTAAAAGTAATTCACAACAGGAGTGAAGGTAGGTGTGGCTCCAAAGACATGAGAGAACTAACTCTCATTTCCTAACTCGCTTAGGAAAAAAAATACACAAGATCAAGGCATTGGCAAACCAATTCTATATTGGTGCCAAAAAAACATGACTGAAATATTTAGATAAATTTAGATGCCAGTTGATGAGGCAGGAACTGTGGTAACTTTCTATGAGAATGGGATAATGTTCATCCCCCTAAATCAGAACCTGTATGTCATATGATGGTAGTGGTAATAAAGGCAACCACTAATGGTTTGTCTATTTCAGATGTAAGTAATACTAGTTCAGGAATTAGAATTGAGATATGCAACTATATCTGATGTAGTTTTCTTCTGTCCACACCCGTACAACCTATTGTTTTTTAAATTTGTTCTAAGGAGAGGCATCACTTTTCAGCATGAGAAAATTGCTAAACTCATTTCAATTGTTTGTCCTTAACACTTCTTAAATAAGGTTTTTAAAAATCTGTAGGAATGCTTAACTATGGCAAGGAAGCCTATTCTCACAGATATCATGTTTTAATGTCTTTCAAATATATAAAAAATAAAATGATATTTCCGGTATCCACACTCCTCCAAGTCAAACTCTTCAGTTGAGGAGATAGTTAGCAAACAAAAACTCACATATTTTGGACATGTGATATAAGAAGATGATGGACTATTACTATTGGCAAGACTGAATAAAGTAGAATGGAAGATGATAGTTAAGGTAAATGGACAAGCTTGAGGATATCAGTTGAATGTCCTTGGAATATCTGTAAATTGTTTGGAATATTGGAGAGAAAGCATTCGTCCACATGGCAACTAATAAACTAATTTGCAGATCTTAATGGTCCAAGCAACTAGGCATTTGAATGCACTTCCTGTGAATAAAAAGGTTCTACCCTTGCGTCTGTACAGAAAAAGAGATTATTTGATTGATTATGAAATTATGCTATACGCAAGTACCAAGACTTACATTTTTTGCGTTTTGATACCTTTATCACTTGATTATCATCATACAAGAGACAAAACCTACATGCAGCCCGACAAACATCCCAAACACTTTGCTTCCGTGCTGTTTTTGCTATTTCTGACCATAGGCGGATTCTGTAGTAATGATTTAAAATAAAAATTCATTTTCTTTTAAGAGGACAATTTAGGGTAAAAGTTGCCATTTTCAATAAAACAAATCAATATTTATATAAATATTTATAATATTTACATACAAGCCATGCCCAGCTAGTCACATGACCATCAAAACACACCCACAAATTAAGCCATGCCCACAGAACCAGTTGTTAAGAAATTTGAATCCCACCTCTGCCTCTATTTCTGTGTGTGTGTGAGAGGGGGGGGGAGAGGGAGAGGGAGGGAGGGAGAGAGGGAGGTTAGATCAGATCTCTCTCTCTCTCCCTCTCTCTCCCTCTCTCTCCCACCAACGTCAGCAAGCCACTGTCAGTCAAAATTCATATTAGTGGTCCCCAGAATTCAAAATTATGAGTTTGGTGGTCCCTGAGGTCCAAAAGGTTGGCAATCTCTGGTCTAGCTGATCGGCATTGTGCCTGTCTCCTCTCTGCTCTACCTCTTCTTGGATCAGGAGGAAGTATGGACTCCACCTCCTTCTCATTGCTAACAGTTGGCATCTGTTCCCGGTCCTAGCATGGAACCTTCTGGCCACTTGCTGTGACTTGCTGTGACTGCGGCTCTCCTGCCTCAGCCTGTCACTCATCCAATTGACCCAGCCAATCAGGCTGGCATTCTCTGAGCCCCAATCCCGACCAATACTCAGCTCTACATTTTCCTCAGAGGACTCAAACAACAGGTTGGATCCAATTTCTATACCCTTTCTAATACCTCTGCCCAGCATTCCCAGTCCCTGTACACAATTTCTTTCCAACATTACAACTTTCCAAAATATAAAAAAACCAGGAACAATACTTATTAACTAACACTCCAGTGGTTTTTAAGCTAAGGAAAATTGTGGACACCAGGGTATAGTTTTATCAAGATAAAATAGCTTTTAAGAAACACAACAAATACAAATAGAAACACAAAGAAACACAAATAGCTTATTTTTAAATGTTTGTCTACAACCATAATTACCTTTCTTTTTCATTTTCATGTCCTAGTCTCTTCATATGTCCATCTGCTTTCTCTATATTTTTAGTGTGGTGCTCTGCTTTTGCACAGAGATAGCTAACTTGATCTTTATGTTTACTTGGGGGAACTAAATAGGAAGAAAATTTAACATAGTTTGGGTTAGATTCATGGAATTGTTATTACAATTATTTCACAATAATTAGTTGAAGTATTGGACTAGGATTGGTAAATAAAAGTTCTATAGAAACTACAGTACAGTCCAACACAGTACAGTCCTTAAAAAGTGACTTATGACAGTTTTTCACACTTACAACTGTTAAAACATCTCTATGGTTATGTAATCAAAATTCTGATGTGTGGCAACTGACTCATATTTATGACAATTGCAATGTCCTGGGGTCATGTGATCATATTTTGTGACCTTCTGACAAGCAAAGTCAATGGGGAAGCCAGATTCACTTTATAAGGGTGTTACTAAATTAATAAGCACAGTGATTCACTTAACAACTTATGGCAAAAAAGGTCATAAAAGGGGGCAAAGCTCACTTAATAACTGTCTCACTTAGCAACATACATTTTGGGCTCAATTGTGGTTGTAAGTTGAGGACTACCTGTAGCTGCTGTTGGAACTATCAGTGTTACATGTTTATTCCTACATTCCATATATGTTAATATACAGAGAGGAGGCTGTTAGACAACTACACACCCAGGGCCTGAGGGAAATCAGTGCCAAAGTAGAGAGCATGTTTTTTGCAGACAGGTTGCCAAGAGTTCCAGCAAAGCTTCTCAGTGCAAGAGTTCAGAAATGGAGATTCCCTTCCAATGTTCATAATCTGATTGAAATCTGGTTTTGAATTCTGTCTGCTAAAATCACAATCTCTACTTTGATACTGATCTCCCCAATTCTGGAAAACCCCAACTAAAAATATGTACAATGAACCTGGTCTGCCGTTATTCCCCTGAATCCTTATATTGCAGAAAGTTCATTCCTTAACCTCTTTTTAAAAAATCAGATATATGCAAATGTTTTAGGAAACCTAAAGTATTAGTAATGGAATGCTACATTACAGCATGTTACTTTCTACTTTTCTGTTTCCCTTCAACAGTTTAGAAAACGGGAAATATTCAAAGATAGGGAAACACAAGAACAAAACAATAACTAGGCCATCCGATATGTGCTTCATTTTTCCTTAAACAATTTGCACAAGGAAACTAAGGTGACAGGAACTGATTTTCACCATTTCCCCACTGTCTGCTGCTATATTCTCTGAGAATAATTCTTAAAACGTTCTTGGCTTTTAGAAAGCACTTAAAACCTGGCTGCTTGCCCAGGGATGAGAGCTGAGAAGTTAGAGAGGCCCAGGTTTTTGTTTGTTGTAACAAAAATGCCATTTATTTTCTGTTTAGATTAGGCTGAGATTTTAGAGTTATTTATATGGCTTTAATCCCTCAATTTTGTACACTACCCAGAATCACTTTGGTAAGAGTGTCATCCAAATAAATAAAATTAAATAAGTAAATAACAAACAATTAAAAGGAAAAGATGTTTTTGTAACCACAAAACACTTTAAAGTTAATATACGCATGCATGCACAAAAACATGGATGTGTTTCAGAAGTCAAGCATTCCTCTGCTAAATGGTACAAATATTTAAAGCAGCATCTTTTCAAGTCTTCCAAATCTACATTTTTACCAGCTTTCTTTAATCAAAACATCTCTAATTTATACAGAAAGTTTGCAGAAAAGCTGTGGATTTCTTATGGCTTGAGGGAACAGTTTTCCTATAGCATTGAACTACCATAAACAATTTATGTGGAATATTTTGAAAATACTTTTTGCCCATAAGGATCTTAAATTAAGTCTCAAATTAATTTCATGATTGTGAAGGGGAAAAAAACCTCATGAAAATGTGATTTATTACTTCGATGTTTACTTTTAATTATAACTGGTCTGTTCAGTGGTGAAATAACTCCACCAGAAGTGAAGACCAGAGGCAGGAAAATGAGTTCCTGTTCTCGTAATTATCATGTTGTGCAGTTCAAATTCAGATGTGAGAAGCTGCCATGGATTATTAAGGGAAGGAGAGGTCACTGTTAATGGAGCTGTCTCAAAAATTAATCACTTGGCATGGAAGTTATTTAATTTTGCCAATTGCAACAAGGGCTCATTGAATCCAAATCTTAGTTTTGCCAAGACTAAAAACTTAAATTACCTTTAGCCTCGTTTTCACTATCAAGAACAACCTGAAAAGCCTCCGGTGCTAGTGCAAGACCAGCATTCACCAACAGAGAGCGTTTTTTCCTCACACTATCATTTGCGGTTCCTTTTTTAGCCTAGAGAGAAGAAGGACTAATTATACTGGTAAAACTTCAACAAAACATGATCAATGAAAAAGACTCCTTCTGTTCAGGACCTCACCCCAATTAGCTATGTCCCCTTCAAGATACAGTATTTTCCCCCTTCATCTTTTTTCTTTCCACATGACAACAAGCTTTGATCTTTTGCTGCAGCATGTCACTGTTGGCTGCTGGAAAGCAACAAAATGAGGAGGAAACAGCCACTTCCTATCCTCTTTTCCTTACATGGCATTTCAGTGGCAAACAAGGGGAAGAAAGGTGGCATTTATTGGATTCCCAGCAATATATGTGTATCGACCTCAACCCTTTCTCTCTTATCATACTGATTACAATGTTTAACATTGTAATGTGTGGTGGTGGTGGGAGCACTCCAACAGCTTGAAATGAAAACTTTTTTTCAAGACATGTGCAGTCCTGCTTTTTCCAATTCTATTGATGCTCTAATAACATATCCTGCTCTAATGTATCCAATATAAATATACCTGTTCAATCATCAAACTTGCTTGGTCTTCTAGGCGCTCCAATGATTTATACAGCATGGTATTTAAGCTAAGCCGATGGAAAGCCATTTTGAGGTATTCATGGTACTGTCCATTGTTATCAAGGTTGATGGCCTTCTCTAGATGTTTCATTGCAGTCTCTACTCTGTCTGCTTTTTCTTCAATACGAGCAATTTCCATATGAACTTGACAACGCAATAAAATCAACATGCTAGAAAGCAACCATAACTATTTTCAATTATACACATTAAGATATTCTGTAAATTTTCCTCCTTATGCAAAACATATGTATTATAATTAGATTGACTATTATGACACACAACAATGTGAAATCACAGCCTCCTGTTCATTAGCTGGTGTTGGCCTATATAGTAATTATAGCAATTATAGAAAATAAATGACAACTTAGTTTTGTAAAAGGGGTGGGGTTAAGAACAAAGTCTCAAAACAGCCCCACCTTGATTCTTTTGGTATAAAAAGGAACAGGCAGATTCACAATTCTATTACTATGGCTTGTAACCGTAATGTACCATTCCTAATATTTTTTTCAAAATTGGCTGACATCAGGCTGACATCAGATATATCATTAAATCTACTAAGCTAAAAGACATCATGCTATCTAAAACAAAATGGAAGGTAGACCAAGACCAATTTACCTGTCAATCTTCTCTAGCACTTCAGCAATTGCTAACAGAGGTTTTCGTACATGATGTTGCAAATTGTGTTGCAACAATGGTAAGCAGATATTCCATTGGGTAGTACATACTGCTTGAATAATATTAGGATCTCTCAGCCGAATTGCACGGTTCAAAATTAAATCAAGTTTCTGTATAACATTTAACTGAGCCTGTAGGAACAAAATACGGTTTGCAATTATTATGGAAGCAATGCTTTAATGAACCCAATCCGAAAGCCCCCTCAGAATTGGGATAGCACACCGACTGATCTGTTAACACTATTTTTTTTTTCACTTTTATAGTTTGTGCCTTTTTATTGGTAGCCACAACTTGGAAGCACAATTTATGATTTACACAAACAACGGATCCCTGAATTAAGAGATCATTCTCATGCTTTCTAAATTTCAACAGAGACAGACACTGAAATTATACATCTAATGCGGAGAGTGTGTCTGCCCTTACAGAATAGTATCAATTAAGGAATAAACATACCTCAACAACACTTTTAGTATAAGTTTCAATTTTAGGCCCAAGGGCTTGGACTTCGCAGTCACATTCCAAGCAATCTAATTCAATTTCTCTTCCTGGTTCCTATTAATATAAGCATAATTAAAGAATACAAATAATCAGGAACAATCTTTGTTGCTTTCAATTATTTTATTAAAATGTTCAGATTTTCTCTTTGTAGATACTGTCTAGGCCTAATTAACATATACCATTGAGCTGTAATATGCTTTGGTTGTGGTTTTGGAGTTTGGTTTCTTGTTTTGGTTGGGTGTGTTTTTTTTGTATACGATATGTGAATTATTTATTTATTTATTTGACTTATATGACTGCCCATCTGGTAAAACACAATGCTGGATGGCTCACAACAATAATAAAATCAAAACCAAGAAAAAAAGAAATCTCTGGATTGATCCATCAATCTATACTGCGATGTTTTTTTTAAACAAAGTATAACTAAAATTTATTGACTTAGAGTGATCTATGATGAGATATTAATTGGTCATCATCATCATGCAAATTCTAGAAAATTACTTTATTCATGGGAAATTTCATGCAAGCCTATTAGAAGTTAATATCATTAGGCCTCTTCCAGTCAGCCACTCTTTCTCTGCCCTAGAAAAAAGCAAGGGCAAACAACTTCTGAAAATATCGCCCACCCTGCCCTCCCCCCAAACGAATGTACTTATCCAGGGAAGCCTTCCAAATATTTCATTACTTGAAAACGTGTCACTTTATTTATAATGTGACTATTACAAATATAATATTAGAGTGATTCCAAAGCACTGGCACAAACCTAACAACATTTATTAGATAATCCATATCCTTTAAAAAAGGACTGTGCAGGGGGGGCACTAGGTTTTTAAAAGTATTTTTAAAAAACACTTGGGGGAAAATTGCAGCTTTAATTATTTTAAGATTTATCAAAAAAAATTACTTGTAATTATGCAAATTCCAAACCATTCTTTAAAAAGATTTTTGCATATCCCAATAAAATTTAAAAAATCTTATTCACCCATCTGAAGGTAACACACACAGCCAGATAAACTGTAATATAATTTCCTATTATATGTAATGTGATTTCTTTATGTTTTCAATAAATACATTCCTTTACATTCTATTTCTAATTATTGTTTTTAAAAGAACAACTGTGCTTGTAGGGGAAAATGTATCTCCTGGTCTTTGATCATTGTTATGTTTCAACTAAGTATCTTTGGAAAGATTTTTTAATTTGTTTCTTTTGTTTATATGGCACCTGTCAAAAATATATTAATATACAAGTAAAATAAAACAACCAGCAATCTTTTGTGATGAGGATGCTTCATGGCAATATAACTCAAGGTAGGATTTTTTGACACTCACATGAATTTTATAATTCTTCAACTCTTTTAAACATAACATTGCAATAGTTATACAGTTTAATCTCAAAGAAAGTCGTGCCAATTCTAGCAGCAAAGAAATTCTGCAAAAGTAAAAACAAACAAACCAGAATCAGAATAAAACTAGCAAGTAACAGTGACTTTTACATAGTGCTCACTCAGAAGTGATTTCAGTTGAGTTATGAACAGAAAAATAGGAAAGTGGCTGCAAATTTAGTACCCCAATTGGTTTATTGTAAGATAGAAGGGAAGTGGTGGCTCAGTGGCTAAGATGCTGAGCTTGTCAATCAGAAAGGTTGGCAGTTCGGTGGTTCAAATCCCTAGCACTGTTTAACGGAATGAGCTCCCATTACTTGTCCCAGCTTCTGCCAACCTAGCAGTTTGAAAGCATGTAAAAATGCAAGTAGAAAAATAGAAACCACTTTGGTGGGAAGGTAACAGCGTTCTGCGTGCCTTCGGTGTTTAGTCATGCTGGTCACATGACCACAGAGACGTCTTCAGACAGCGCTGGTTCTTCGGCTTTGTAATGGAGATGAATACCACCCCCTAGAGCCGGAAACGACTAGCACATATGTGCAAGGGGAATCTTTACCTTTACCTTAAGACAGAAGTACAGGGAACAGTAATATAAATAAAATCTGATATACATACATACATACATACATACATTAAATTTAGTTAGAAAGTTGGAACAATCATCTATCTACCTTATTTCTCTTGCTAAATAGCATGCCAAGCCACAGCAACTAAGACAGGTGTGACAAAATTGAGAGAAAAGGAAAGAAAAGAATCCTATATTCTTCTTCTCCCACTATATTAGTTTTAAATAAATAGTTCTATGTTTCAAGCTGGCAACTATAATCTTGTTATAAGTAACTGGATTAAACATCTCCCTTCACACAAGAGAAGGCTTAGCAGCCCAGATATGGGACACATCACAGGGGGAAATAAAGCCTTGTCCTTCCATCAGGCTTTTCTTAATATTTGTGGCATGAAGCAGCAACTGTATTTTGTGGGTATTTCTCTCTATGGTGCTCATTATTTGAAAGAGGCAAATCTCATTCAATCATGAACGTATTTCAGAATGTTTGGAAGACTCTGTCAGGAAAGGGAGTAAATCAGAACCATAACAAGGAGTCGATTTATGTGATAAATATACAGAGAATTATCATTTATTCTGTGGAGAAGTCATTTGGTATCAGGGAGATAAATAGTTCACACTGAGAACAGAAGGCATTAAATTTACTTGGGTATTTGTTAGGCAGGGAAGAGAATATTCAATGCACGATGGTCCTTGTGTGCAGTTGAATCACAAGTGGTGGCTAGGTCAGTCTGTGTCCTACTGAGACTCGAGTGGATTTTTTGTTTGCCACCCGATTTGGTCGCAAGCAGGAGCGTTTGTGATCTGAGGTTCCACGGTAGTTTTGGTATTTTGGAGTGAAGCACTGGACAGTAATTTTGACAATCAGTGAAAGAGCCAGACAGCCAGTAGGCATTGAGTAAATCATTATTGTACAGGTCAGTGTTTCTCACCCTCAGTAGCTTTAAGACATGCCGTGTGTGCTTTTTCAAGAGGCAACTGGACTTTCTGGTTTTTCTTTGAAGATGTTTCACTTCTTTTCCCAAAAAGCTTCTTCAGCTCTGACTGGATGGTAGGAATGGAAGGGTTTATACTCCTTGCAGACAACTGGTCATTTACATTCTTTTAGGGAATTGTTAAGGCCACCTGGAGGTTTATGTGTCATCAGGATCACCTGACTGGTGTAAATGGGTGTGGAGCCTTCTTGGAACGGCTTAAAGGACTATGTTGTGGGCTGGTGATAGATGATGTTGTAACCCGCCCCCTCTGTTGCGAAAGGGCTATTCAATTTTGACATAGATGTCCTCTTTGACCCCTCTTTCAAACCAGAGGTCTTCTCTGTCCAAAATGTGGAGTTTGCTGTCTTCAAAAAAGTGGCCTTTTTCTTTAAATGCAGATGGATTGCTGAATTTAGTCCTGATGGGTTTGTTCTCCTATGTTGTGCCATGAGTTTATAAAGTGGTTGTTTTGTTCTCCCAATTTACTGAAGAAGCTTCTTGAATGAGAAGTGAAACGTCCTCAAAAAAAACCCAGAAAGTCCAGTTGCCTCTTGAAAAAGCATCTCTATGACAACCATGACTTGGATGACTGAGAATCTTCATAGACATTTAAGAAGTGTGGACTTTGACTCCCAGAATTCTCCAGCCAGAATTCTTCTGTGTGTGTGTGTGTGTGTGTGTTGAAATCCACACATTTTAAAGTTACTGAGGGTGAGAAACATTGACCTAGGTAATGACTCTTTTCCTAGAGTAGCTGAAGCAGGAAAAGGCAATCAAATTGTCAGGCTCCTTTTATCAAGACTTGGCAGTAAAGACCTTTTGACTTTATATGGTTAAATTCATTTCCTGGGTTACAACCTTGACAGAAATTTCACAGACATTTAGATAAGAAACTTTAGGGCAGTGATAAATGAATCCTAATTAAACAGCTAATAGCCCACTGCCAGTGTTAAAGGTGAAAGTATCTTATACCCACAGTTATTCAAATTGTAGTTTTCCCCACTTTCTCAGGAAGGAATGGATCTTTTGCACAGTCCTTGGTGTCCTTGAATTTGAACGGTTGTTGCTTGCTTAAAAAACTATTTGTTTTTTAAACAAGCTTGTTTAAAACTTTTTGCTAGGTAAGTTGATCTATTTTTAAAAAATGCATGGCTGCCATTCTTAATCAAGTCTGGGTGGTTCACTGTAAAGTATAAAACAATCATAAAACAGTAAAACAAAAAAAAAACAAAAATCTTGCACCGGGAAGTGGAAATGCTCAACCGTGCAACAAAGCATAAATCTTGAATTTAAAAAATAGTTCCATGAACACTCATCCACCTCAAATAAATTCTTTAGAACACCAAAAATACATACCAAAAATATATACATCCAAAACAATATAAGCATTATATACTACAAACCTGCAAATACAAATTTTACATTTAAAAAGGCAAAAAATGCCATAGTTACAGGTTTCCTACAAGAAGAAAAATAAAACAAGTACATCAACAAAATATTTCTACAAATATATATCTCCCCTCTTATTCATATTCAGACACATACACACAATTTCCTTATATTCTTTTACACACACACAAACACACACACACACACAGAATGTGTCACAATCAAAGAAAATTTCTTTATTGCTATTAGGAAGTTTGGAATACCATAGGTATACTAACAGATGGAAAACAAACCAGAACTTGGCCAAATAACTAATTACTCACCAATCATTAAAATAAATACTGTTTTAAAATTATATCTGAACAAAGTATATATATCAATTTTATATTTTGGATCTGGATACAATATCAATAATAAATACTGATATTTTTAAAGTTTTCAGAATGTTGCTAAATATGAAACTCACCTTTCATTATGGTTTACTTGCTTTTTAGATCCTTTCAAAAGTTCAAATATGTTATTCAAATCTGTAGAAGCATCTTCTGGAATCTGATTTTTATCTAATTGCCTGAAAATATTTTATTAGTAGATGATTAATATTTCTATCTATGTATATGCATCCATCCATCCATCCATCCATCCATCCATCCATCCATCCATCCATCCTAGGGACTTCTATGCCTTAATCAAATCCATCTTGTCAAATAATCAGGAGCAGATCTACATAAGTTCTTGCTCCCACAGGAAATGACAGGGGTTTGGGTCAGAAGATAGGCTTCCTCAGTAACGGTCCCATCATTGAAATATGGATATACAATAACTTTGATTATTAGCAAGGAAAGAAGATGGCCGTTGTATTCTTATTTTTTATTGTTGTACTATTAATGATTTATGCATATATGGAGTTTGCTTATGTTGAGATATTTTTGTACTTTGCTCAGTCATTAGACTGAAATAGTCAACTATACTTTAAGCAGGAGGATTTATTTTTTTAAATAAAACATTACAAATTCAGTTTAGGATAGATAAGAGGTTTAAAAAAAATAGGAGCAAAAAAATGCCACCTATGCTGCCTTGAGTTACTGAACTTAAAACAGGATGTAATTCTAACAGATCAATAAATTCCATTTGTGCATTTTCTTTTCATTATGATTTCCAAGATACCAGTCTATCTTTAGATATATAAATACCAAAGAATTACATGAGTAAAAGCTAGTACTTACCCTTTGATTGTTTGAATTTTATATATAATATTCAAACTAAGACAGCTTTCAAGCTTGTCTTCTATTTCTGCAATGTCCACTAGTTTGTTACGCACCTATAAACAGTTACAGTAACTATATCATCATTATAGAAAACAGGAAAATGATCAGTGTTAAGTCATGGGACGATGTGGGATAATTAAGAAGTAGTGGTAAATTTTCTACAAGTTGATTACAATAACAATGTGTTATAAGAGGCTTTTGGAATTTTAATCCTATTTTTTTATTATTATTGTTCTTCCTGTTAACTATTTTGTTATAAATATAGATGACAGGTTAACAACTTGCAAATAAATTTAGTTCTTCAGTAGTTTAAAATTCTTTCGGCCTGTTTCATAAGGGTGGGAAACTAATATTATAGTAACATAATCAGCATTCAATTGTGGGGATAATATGTGTATATGTATTAGTTTTTTTTAACGTGTTCTGACCAAGGCTTCCTGAGACAGTAACAACCACATGCTGTTCTCAAAAACTTTTTTTATTATTTCAACGGCTGTGAATTATATGCATTCACATCCTGTAATGAATCCCGAACAGTTTATGAATAGTCAAACAGAAGTCTGTCAGTCTTTCGGGATAAGGCTGATAATCACCCAACTTTGTCTCCCTTGAAATGCTACCAATGACTAAATTGCCAATTAGCTGTACAAGACCAAATGCAGCACAAAGTCAACATGAAGCTTCAGATTTTAAATCGACCAGAATGAACAAAGTTGCTTCCTGCAAAGGCTCATGTCCCTTTGCTCCTCCTTTATGTCTTATGGGAAGGGACAATCATCTCCAAGCCTTACTCCTGAGTCGCCCCTTTTGTCTTAACTGTTCTTGCCTTCTGGCAGCTGTGCGCAAGCGCGCACTGGGAACAGTCTCCACCTGTTCCGCTGCCTCACTGATGTCAGCTTCTGGAGGCTCCGGAGTCCGTACATAACTCTCAGATGGCCCTGGCCCCATCCCTGTGTCAAACATAAATCCCTCCTCCGAGCCTCCCCAGACTCCAGAACTGGCCCCTGTTCTTCCTCACTGTCCCGACTCTGCTGCCAGCTCCGCAGGCCACCTGCGGACCACAACACAACACCTTCTTCTTTTTAATGTCTTATTTGTTTTGTTTTCTAACAGTTTGCCTTTTTCTTCTTATATTTTTATTTCATTTTTTTGTTTCCTACTTCTCATGTTTTTATTATGTGTCATAAACTACCCATTAGAAGGATATAAAGCAAGATGCATTCATTACTCATTACTCATGAAACACCACCTTTCATACCTGCAACTTTTCTAGGATTCTGTTAGCATCAAGGGGAAAATTTAAGTTGTTTGTTACATTTTCAAAAATTACCATTATTGAAAATAAATCCTTATATCTACTTGGCGCATTTTCTTCAATGAATGTGGCTGCAGTGGATGAAAAGGTTATGGCTTCTTCCATTCTGGAAGCATCCAGGAAACACTCAAGCAATTCTCTGGGATGAAAAAATGTTTCCATTAAATATCATTTTCAAAAATACTGGTAGGTAAACAACTTTTATGTGATTTATTATTTTTTTTTTTACAAAAGCCCGTTGACAACTTGAAAGTTTTTTACTTTATAATCTTGAGATACTGAAAATGAAGATACTATTTTGAAATTATTGTAACAATAGTTTAGTTTCTGTACAAATAAAAATATTGCCAACTAATCATATGTCTTATTTGAAAGCTATTTAAAGCCCATTATTTTAGAAAAAGCATAGGTGAAATTCATGTATGATCTTCTGCCTTATTTACTGGATATAAAATCTTTAGCTTTTATTCCAGACTTTTTAATACAACATTCAAGTAAAATAGTCTTAACTACAAAGCCTAAAGAATGCAGTTGCTATGTTTGCTTTGTATATTTTACATCATGTATATTTTATGTGATGACTCATTTTGAAGATAAGAAAACAGAAAAAGCATTACTTAATTTATCAGAAGCACAATAGTAAAAAAGAAACAAATAAGAAAAAATGCAATCCTATCAAACATGTTTTAAAAATAATTTGAGTTATTTCACAGATAATGTTTTTAAAAACTGTTAATCTGTCCAGTGTAGCAGAATAAAATTAAACATGCTTTTCTTTCATTTCCTCTTACTGAGAAATCTGACTAATTAGTCTGCATTTTTGTTAGAACAAAAAGGATGACCTCTCTGTCCACATATTATATTTACCCAAACTTTAGGACAGGGGTCCCCCATAGCTGGCTGAAGAATTCAGGGAGTTGAAGTCCACAAGTCTTAAAGTTGCCAAGTTTGGAGACCTCTGCTTTAGGTCATAGAGTTTGAACTAAAAACCATGTCCCATGAGAAAAAAATTATCATAACAAAAAGGGAAGATCCTTAAATCTCTTACCAAATTAGTTTTAAATCAAGTGCCAGGGAAATTAGGAGATCCAGGCAGTTCAAATGATTGATTGCAAGCTTAAGCGCTCAACAAGAATCTGACCAACTGGCCATTAAGGGAAATGAGCAGGAGATAAGAGAGGAATTCAAGGTGGGCTGGACTTAAATCTCTTGTGGACATGCAGAGACTCATGACTTATGACATGCTTGACCCTCTCTGGGGCTCATCCTGGTCATCTCCAACACCTGTGATGGTGAACCTATGGCCCGCATGTTGGAAATAGCACACAGAGCCATTTCTGCTGGCACACAAGTCGTCACCTGGAACAGATCCACTGCACAAGTGCGCACGCCCCCTGCCAACTGATTTTCAGGTATCTGTCTTCAGGGCACACGTGCGGGGGTTTTCGCACACATGCGCAGAGGCATGTGGCATGGGGTGCTGGTCACGTGCACATGCACAGAGGTGTGCAGTGTGCATGGGGTGGTCATGTGAGCATTGCATTATGACATCACATGACGATGAAAACGTTAGCCATCACTGTCCTACAGTATCTTAGGTAGTGGTGGGATTCAAAACTTTTCACCACTGGTTCTGTGGGTGTGGCTTGGTGGGCGAGGCAGGGGAAGGATACTGTAAAATCTCCATTCCCTCCCCACTCCTGGGGGAAGGTTACTGCAAAATCTCCATCAAGATCTCACTAACCGGCTTTCCAGCTCCGTTCTCCTGTGTAGGGCAACAAAAGAAGACCCAGCCAATCAGCTAGGACTTGGGAGGCAGAGAATAGATGGGGGCAGGGCCAGTCAGAGGTGGCATTTTCTGGTTCTCCGAAGTACTCAAAATTTCCACTACCAGTTCTCCAGAACTGGTCAGAATGCCACCTCTGAACCTAGGTTATATTCAAACCAATAACTTAATGATTGGTATTAAAAAAAATCTGGAACTATAGCAGGCAGTTTTAACCCATCCTATTGCCAAATCAAACTAACTTGATTTCTGATTCAAAAACTTGACATTATACAGCATTTCATGTACAATAATAATAATCAATGTTAAGCTGTAACTTAACAACTCTTTGCTGAATGTTAACAATAGGACATAAAATCTACATTTAAACCAGCATCTCATTGACTAGAAATTCTTGGACAGCTTCTTTTCTTCCTATGGAGACATTGATAATCTAGGAAAAGCCAGCATTGGTGCAATGACAAAAAAAATATGTCATATTGATTTTACTGACACGGAATCATTCTTTTCCCAAATAGGAACTCAGCTTACATCATAAGTTTTGCTGTCCAATCTTTGTCTTCCTCATCTGGATGATTCAGTGCAGACACAATCTGAGAGAGACTTGGTATAAGAAAGTAGAGGGACCCGGGCTTTAAAAATGGTCTTATATTTTTCCAATAAATAACTGATGCATTATATATCAAAAAATAATATCTGGAATAAAAAATACATTATTCATTATTATGTAAGATTAGTTGGCTCCAAACGGAAATACACACAAAAAAATGGATCTAGGACATTTTCCTATCAAGATTTTCTACCATCAGGTTATTATATTGGGGTTTTTATTCATGGATAACCTGTAGCTAAATGTAAGGGGTAAATCAAGGATTATTCCGAGATATTTTGGATGAAAGTTGTGTTTTATCCTCTTTCCACAAAAATATATGTTTAACTCTTTCTTTGTTGTATGATTGCTTTGGTGGAAGGTGCATACTTTGGTTTTATTTGGGTTAGGGCACAGTTCACCAATGTTTCCAGCTTTGTGGACCAGTGTGGGGGGGGGAATGTTTGTGCAAACGATCAGCAAGCGTGCACATGCGCATGCAGCTCCATTTGCAAGAACATGCACTTGCCCGCTGCTCATGCACGCTCACCAACCATTTCCATGGTCCAGTTGCAAACCCTTCATGTCCCCAACTCCTGGGCCATGGCCCGGTACAAGGCTGTGGCTCTTTGGAACTGGGCCATGTAAGCAGTGGGTGAGCACACTAACGTGTGCCACTCCACTTGTCTGAGCGGCATGTGTGCGTGCTGGTGCACGAAGCTCCATTTATGTGAACAGCAGGTACGTGCATTTGCTGCTTGTGCAAATGGAGCTGCACGTGCAAGTGTGTTTGCCTGCTGCTTGTGCAGAACCATTCCCTCTCCCCTCCACAGCTGGCACACCACCACTAGTCTGCAAAGCCAGAAAGATTGAGGACTGCTGGGTTAGGACATAGCCCCCATTTCTCATAATATTGGCTTAGTGACCTCTTAATTTGGGTAGCTATTGCCGTATCATTGGCACAGCCAATTTTTCAAAGTTGGTTTTTGGTAAATCACTTGTATGCAAATTAAATACGAGTGGGGCTAGAACTGATTCCTGTGGCAAGCCACTCTTAATGGAAAAGGATTTACTAGTGGTGCCTCTTACAGCAACCGTGAAGTATCATTTTTTTTAGCATGTTCCCCAGAAGGCTTGTTACTTTTAGATATGAAATAGTTTTCTTCAGCTTGAGCATCAAACCATCAAGCACACCATGTCATAAACTCAGTGGTGGGATTCAAATAATTTACCAACTGCTTCTCTGCCCTAATGACTGGCTGGGTGAGCGTGGCCATGGTGGGCATGTCCAGGGGTTGTGACAGGCAGCACTTGGCCTCCTGCACCCCCTGGAAGCAAAAATGGGCCGTGGGGGGGACCCCCTCCTGGTGGCCCATTTTGGGCCTAGTGGGCCTCCCTGCAGCTTCCTGGGAGCAAAAAGGGGCCACAGGGGAGCTGTGCCGCACCCTCCTACAACCCGTTTTGGGCCTAGCAGGCCTCCCTGCATTTACCTGGGAGCCAAAATGAAGTGCGGGGGGACTACTGGAAGGGGCAGGGTGAGGCGGGGCCAGCTAGCAATGAAACAACAGGTTCGGCTGAAGTGGTGAGAACTGGTTGAATCTCACCACTACATAAGCTGCAGTCAAATCAATAAAAGCCATGGAACTTTTAGTCCTTTTTGGAAACCAACTTCAATTAATAAAGTGAGGGCCACAACTTGCTCGCAGGACTTTCTTTTGATATACAATGCCTTACATTGGGAGAAAACCTTGGAGTAATTGGACAAAAATTGAAAACTAGGAATAACTTGTTTAGAAATATAATGGGAACAGGCTGGGAAGCACAAGCAGAAACACTGCATATAGTGGCACAATCACTAGTACACTCTGTTGCTGAATACTGTGCACCTGTACAGGGAATAAATTGTCACACAACAAGATTAATGTACACCTAATTACCACAATGAGAATAGTATCTGGAATCGTTAAGTCCACACCACTCAATTGGTTCCATGTTCTTTTTAATATTGACCCTCCTGATCTCAGGCGACAACAACAGACAGTCCAAAAGGGGAGTAAGATAAACATGCCATTGACTCCTAAAGATCTTCCAATACATAAAGTATTAGGTTCTTTACCTCTCATCAGGCTTAAATTTTGGAAACCAATTTGGGATAACATAACAGTCTTATGATCTGATGAAAAATGGCAATGAAAGACGGGAGAATTTTAATAGCTACAACCAAACAGATCATGCAGATCCAACAAAACCATTTCCAGGAATTGAGTTGTTCCAAAAAATATGGAGCCCCTTGAATTGAATCAGGACAGGCCATGCCAGAACTAAGGCAAAGTTCTTTAGGTGGGGAATAGCCAAGAGCCCACGATGTGGTGCTCCGGAAAAAACTGTAACACATATAGGTCAAGAATGTTTCCTCAGGAAATGTCAAGGCAGCTGGGATGTCTCAACGCAGCTGCACCAGAAGCAGTTAGATGGTTAGCTTCCTTAGATATCAAATTATAACATATATCCCACTGCAATTCTATGGCCCCTTATTATGGTGAATTTATTATGGTTTTATCTTAATTTAATACTTTATCTCTTAGATTGTATTCTCCATATGTCTGTCTGTCTATCTATCTATCTATCTATCTATCTATCTATCTATCTATCGATCGATCGATAGATAGATAGACAGATAGATAGATATGTGGAGAATACAATCTAAGAGATAAAATATTAAATATTCATCTATCTATCTATCTATCTATCTATCTATCTATCTATCTATCTATCTATCTATCCACACACATACATACATACATACATACATACATACATACATTTTCTGAAGCTTTGTATATCAATGATTGCATGGCCTCTGTAGATGCCATGCTTTAAATAAATAAAACCTGAAGCCTAGCTAATGAATATAACTAACTAATATAAGCAGTAGCTTATCATGGGAATGTGATTAAAAATCAAGCATTCAGGTCTTCTAAACTATTCTCGTTATTGCTCCATGCCTTAGCATATAAAATAGATAACCACATTATGGCAAAGCACAGTTAAGTGACTACTCTTTCTGTTACTGATGTGCTATCATCATTAGGGAAGTAGTGAAACATCTGCAACAGAACAACCATGCTCAGAAGTTGCCAAGAAGCCAACAAAAGGACAATGCTTTTCATGCTATAAAGTAAGTCTTATTTATTTAGCCAAGCACAACAATTGTTTTCAGCACATTATTGAATGAAGTCAGGAAGATGATCTTCAAAAAGAAAGGAATGAAAAAGATCTTACCTTGAATCACTTAATGCAAAATCAATTGCTTTCAGCAAGTTTATATTGAATTTTTCAAATTGTTCCTAAAAAGAAATGTAAGTATTTGAAAAAAAATAAAACCTCTCATATATCACTCTTCTAGTACCAACAAACCCCAAACTATTCAGAATTCACAACTTCTACATACTTCAAATATACGTATAATTCCTTTTCTATTTATAATATGATGTATATGTATTATTTTTTTAATCACCATGCCTTCTGGTGGAACCCTTTTTTCCTTCAAGTTGTGAGTACGAAATCCTTCCAGTTGTTAATATATGTAACGTAATATATCTATCTGTTTTATTGCATATTTGTGTTATTATACCTAATAAAAAAGTTTCCGGATTAAATTCAATTTTCTGATTCGTGATTTCTTCTATCCATTGTCTAATTGTATTCCAATATTTTTCATTTTCTGGCATGTCCACCAGGTATGAAAATAAGTGCCTTTTTCTTTTCCACATTTTCAACAATTTGGGCCTGAATTAAACATTTTTGCCAATCTAGCGGGAGGAAGATGCCATCTGTAGAACATTTTGTATTGATTTTCCTTGTATGCTGTGGATGTAATTAGTTTGTAATTTGATCCCCACATTCTCTCCCAATTTTTCAGGTCTATATTACGGCCAACCACCATCGTCTCTTTGACTACCTCCTCTTCTATTTTAAAATCTAGTAGAAAGTTATATATTCTTGAAATCATTTTCTTTTCCATATCTTGTAGAATTTTCTCTAATTGATGCTTTTCCATGCAGAAACCAAATTGTTCTTTGTCCTTCTGATATCTCCCCTGGATTTGCATGTATGGCCACCAATCTATCTTTATATTTCGTTGCTGTAATTCTTGTCTCGTTTTTAATCTTCCTTGTGGGTCTAATAGGTCTTTGTAACTCCTCTTTTTTCCCAGATCCATTGCGTTTGGGTATATTTGTGCTTCCATAGTTGACAACCAGTTCGGTATTTTAGTATAATGATTCTTTTTAATCTTGTTCCATGTCCGAATTAATGAATCTTTAATCATGTGTCTCTGAAAATATGCATGCTGTTTACATTTCCCATCCCATATGCCACCCTCTCTGCAAGTCGTGACCCTCTATCAACAATGCTCTTCTATTTTCCAGGTTGATCCAATCTTTAATAGATTGTATAGAGATGGACAGGCTAACGATGAAAATAAAAGAGAAGATTCAATTTATTATAGGGCCTGGGATGCCTGGTATGAGTGGTTTAGAAATAAAAAGAAAATAAAATGGCAATTAGGAAAAGAATGAGGGCATATGTAAAGATGTAAATATACCATGAGATGTAAGGATAAAAGATATTGATTTATAGTAAGAGTAAGATGTAATGGTACAGGAATAAGTAAATATATATACTGAAAAATGTGAGGAAATGCAAAAGATGTCTTGATGTTGATAACAATGTATAAAGTTTTGTTTTATGTTTTTTAAAATTTGGAAAATTAATAAAAAAAATTTATATACATACATATATGTGTGTGTGTGTGTGTGTGTGTGTGTGTGTGTGTACACTATACATAAGCCTGATGATGGCAGATGAGATTCTGCCGAAACGTTGCTACAACTTTAAAAGCACAACTATAATGACGTGGGAAAATACCCGAACAAAGCTGAATGCCACACACACACACACACACACACACACACACACACACACACACACA